ATCATGTTCCAGCCGTCGCCAACTGGAGAGGATCAGATGGGACTCATGGAGACGCTGCAGTACGTCCTTGCCAGGTAATGACAAATCATGCACATGGAAAACACGTCTTTTAAAAAAAAAATCATGTTTGGAACTGATAGTTAATTGACATTTTTACTATTTGAATTGATACATTGGTATTGATGTCTTTCATAAATCTTCTGGAACACGTACAGGTACACACCAGAGCAGCAGGAGGCGCTGGTGAGCAATGTGTTTTTGACAGGAGGGAACATGCAGTACCCCGGTATGAAGGAGAGAGTGGAGAGAGAACTGCTGGCTATGAGGCCCTTCCAGTCACACTTTAAGGTACAAGGCCCTTTTTTAAAAACCTTATGGAGCATTACACATTCCTGCTTGTCAGGTTTCTTGTCATTTTATGTGACTCATCTACTGACACAGCTTGAACATCTAGTAAAATCCAGTTAACGAGGCGTTATTGCTGTAAATATTCCAAACCAAATCTTGTGAACACATTTTTTTATCTCTGACCGACTCTGTCTCAGGTGACGATGGCGTCTCGGCCGGCCCTGGACGCCTGGTACGGGGCGAGAGACTGGGCCATGCAGCATCCACCTAGCGAAGGAGAGGGAGGAGCAGCAGCGGAGGGCTGGATCAGCAGACAGGAGTACGAGGAGAAAGGCGGCGAGTACCTGAGCGAGCACTGCGCTTCAAATGTCTTTGTTCCCATGAAAATCACCAAACCCGTCCCTGCTCGCCCCACCGAGCCCTCTGCTACCACGCTGACATCTACCGGGGCTTCTGCCGCTGTCACCACGGTTACGTCTGCCCTGTCCCCCTCCTGTTCTACTGTGGCTGCTAATGTTACTCTGGTTACTTCCTGAACTGAGATCTCCGTTATCGTTGAGTCTATGCTGTCAATGTGTCTGGACTGGATTTCACTGCATTTTATCCAGTTGGGTTTGGTTTGTGACTTGTAATCTTTTACCTTTTTAACCGGTCAATCAAAGATAAAGATTACCTTGAAGAATAAACTTAATAGACTCTTTGATTCAGCTGGTTTAAAAACAGAAAACAGTGGTCCTGCCCACGCATGATTGTAACTGCAATGCATCTGTTGTGTTTACCTGTAGAAAGGTAATGAAGCGCAGCACGGGTACGGTGCCACAGCTGTAGCTGTTTTTACCATTTTAAGACACCGGAGTTTCCCTATTTTGAACCAACTGGTCCACTATTCATCAATGCAAATGGACCTCTGTTCTGTTCTCAATCTTCATCCATCTTTGTTTCCTGTGACTTTTGTAACTCATAACTGGAACTTTGTTGAAGGAACAGCTCTATTTCATCTCCATGACGTTTGCTGATACCACAAGAGGCCATTCATATTGAATGGTCACCAAGTTAATGGTCTGAAAAGGTCTCGTGGGAATATTTTGTAGACAATGTAAATAGAATGTGTTGTTTGCATGTTTTTAATAAAATATATTTTCACTGATAGAAACAGCTGTTTGCTTTTAATTGAATGACTGGTTGAGATGAAAGTCAGGCAGCTGTCTGATGACTGGTTACAGATGACAAGTCTTACATTTACTTCAGTCCTGTCATTTCTGTTTCTTTCACTGCAGCGCACTTTAAACCAATTAGAGGATTAGTTTATGGAAGTCACGTATTTTCTGCCTGAGTTGTATCCATCCACGAAGAGACGTGTGGATTTGATTCCCAAACAAATCTTTGCTGCTCCACAAACAACATTTAGGGGAATTGTTTTATTTGGGTGAACTGACCCTTATGAAGGCAAGCATTTATGATACGGGTGTGCAGTATAATTTTACACCACTAGACTGCGCAGATAAACTGACAGCTTGTTGGCATATTACAGTGGCAGATCTATTATATAACACACTTAGATTGACCTATAATGTCTAGTAGATTTGCTTCAATTCAAGAGTTTCAAAGTTCCTCTGAGACTGATTTATGCGAGAACTGCAGCAAAGTGCTGGTCAGACATCTCTTTGAAGGAGACATTCTCTCTGTTGTCTTACATCAATGCTAAAAACTCATGTAGGATTCTGAGTGCCAGTTGAAACAAAGGTTTTTTTTTGTATCTACACTACTAATCTACAAACCCACAGTTTAATCAGCCAAAAACCCTAAATATTTTTCTCTCTCTCTCATCTGTTCAAAAGGTTTTAACGCTTACTGTCAGAACTGTCAAGTGACTTGCAGGTGTTTTTTCTGCACTATTTTGTTCCCTTTGTTCTTTAACATTATTAACCCAGCAGACCTCTGCAGTCTAATGGCATCATGCGGTGACAAAATGTGCCACAACTCAGGGTTCAAAAGTCTGCCAGCTTCTTCTGTTTCTCCTCAAGCAGCAGCAACAACAGCAGCAGTAACAGCAGCCACACACACACACACACACACACACACACACACACACACACACTCCCTGGTTTGCACAGCAGGCCAGAGCAAGGCTAATCAGAGCCAAAACAGGCCTTCCACTGCAGGGGGATTGGCTCAAATTCAACAAGAGGGATTAAATGGAAGAAGAAATCCTTTGAAAAGCAGGTAAACAGGATTAATTTCTATGGCTACACTACATTTCAACAATACTTTCTTAATGATACTCAGGGAGAAGGAAACTGCAGGTGCAACTCAAAGGCGTCAATGGATCATGGGTTTCCCGACCTTTCAGCTTACGTTTGTGCTCGGCTAATGGGGGATGCTACTGTGTGGCTTTTTGGTTTGTTGTATAACGAGCTGGTGGAAAAATTCTGGTAGTTTATAATTACAGCATTTTGTGGCTGTGTGTTGGCCTATAGTGTTTCTGAGCCCTTCAGGATTTGTCCCAGCTCAAAACAAAAGAAAAACACATACGACGGGTGGACATTGTGCCCACTTCTATCCATCTTTCTACCTGCCGTCAGCTCCCTCAACACCTGCCGTGTCAGGTGTCATCGAGGAACAAGTCAAATCGGCTGCTTGGACCAATATGCGTCATCATTAGCTTTTTAAAATGGATTCTCGACCAAGCATCTCTTGGGACTCTGTCTGCCCGGTGTAATGGACCTGACTTGGCTCTGCTTGTGCCATAGTGTTGGCTAGAGTCCAATTAGGAGGGTTTGTCTGTGAGCGCTGCGCTGCAGGTCAGGCAGGACTGAGCTCACGTCACACCGTCCCGTGTCAGAGGGGAGGATAAAATGAGGAGTGACAGATGCACATTGAGGGCTTTTTAAATGGTTGGGCAATCCTATTTTTTCTCAATTTGTTTTGTCTGTGAAAAAACTCGAGCCTGCGTGTCACACGTTCTGAATACTTCCGGAGGTAACAGTATGATCCATACTCCAAGACTTTTTGGGGTCTTGTTTTGATAGTTACAGAGTTCGAAATAGCCTGTTGACAGAATGTCCCGTTGTCACAGTAACACAAGGTGAAGACAGGTTGAAAACCAATGTTACAAACAATCACCTCTTTCTCTCCATGCTTCCTGTCTCCCTCCCCTCTGCACAGGGGAAAAAACGCTGCAGACTATCGCACACACAGACGCCATGTGTTCAAGGGTGAGAAGCCTGAGAGGGATCATGACTTTGTTTCCAGCGACTTCTAATTGGATGGGGCGGCTTAACGGTGGGGGGTGGAAATGGAGTTATAGCATGATGGCTTACTGGTCTTACTTATTGTGCTTGAGATTTACTTTTGGGTAGTTTCATATTGAATTATTATATTATAGGTAATAATCTACATGTCATTCTTAATCCAAAAGGTAAACGTTAACCATCGCTGTCAAATTGTATTGCAGATGAAAAAAAAGTTCTATGTTTCATTATAAAGTAGCATCAAATGAAAATATCGTACTTAAGTGTAGTACTTTCATTACCGACCAATCAGTATTCCTTGGTAAGAGTTCACAGGGATTTCTGTTTAAGGGATATTACACTTAAAGTCATTTGATTATGAAAAGCTCTCCCGTATGTTTTTAAAGGTGTCTATGAAAGGTTTTTCCTAAGACCAAAGATTTACAAAAAGTCCATATCTTTGACATTTTATTATTTATATTTAAAAATTGAATTATTATGAACATAAATGAAATCTGCATTGAGAGGAAAAGTTGAATTTTCCACAGGAGCTGTTTCAGAAGTTTCTGCAGATGTCTAAATACTTTTTTACTTCTGTCAAACCTGTCACTACTGCAACCTTTGAAAGTGACATAAAGCCAAACCTTTCAAAGCCACCTGTCACCCTGCCGGGGGTCCAGTGGGTGTTTTATACCGGGACTGTAGATTTTAGTTGAAGTTTTGCTATATAGCAGCTGTGAAACGTTGGTTGAATGAGTTATTGTCCAGTGAACAGTCCACGTGACCACACTGAAATACTTATGCACACACACACACACACACACACACACACACACACACACACACACACACACACACACACACACACACACACACACACACACACACACACACACACACACATCGTATTAGTTTTAACTGTTGGTTTAACCAGAGTGCAATGAATCAGAAACAACAGAATTGGAGGTTGTTGCCTTCTTGCATTGATCTTGGTTTTGTTCATCACTACTGAATATTTGCTTCACTTTACTCAAGTAGTTTCCTCTTTAGTTGAGCAGATTTCGGTTCAATTGTTTTTTGGGGGGGGATATGTAATGAATACATCCTTACGGATATGATTTGGCCCACCGAAGAGGCCCATAGAACATGTATTCCCCTCTGGGACACAGTGTTTGTATGCTTTTCCATTTCCTCCACTCAGCTCCCAAAGGGCCGAAAGTCTTCAAGATGCAGCAAAGGAAGTGAGGGAGACGCGACCTTTGAGCTCCTTCTGATTGAATACAATATGAGTGGAACACCAATGTCTCTGGCTGGAATATTTAATGAATATTTACAATGATTTGAATATAAACTGCACAGAGTCCAGCACAGAGTAATCACCCCAACAAGGGAGGTGCAGTTGCTCTAATCAGATGTAAATGGCCTCTTTCTCCTCCTCCTCCTCCCCTCCTCCCTCCCTGCACTCCGCAGAGAGCAGCAGGTCTAAATCCTGTCTGTGCACGGCCACTTGCAGATATCAAAGGCCTCAAACGCTGCATCTGAGTCCTTTTATTTCATTGCATTCTCCCTGAATATACATATAAATACAGCAGCAATGATCTTTCGGACGGCAGTAGAGCACGCTAAGAGGCACCCTGGGGTAAGTCACCTTCATATCTTACATGTTTGTTTCGTTTTAGCACTTTATTGTCAGTGAAAACAACCTGTTTTCATTTCAAAAAAGTTTGTGAGTGTGGCTGACGTTTGGATTTGTTTGGAGTGGTTCATTTTCCTGAAATAATTAAATAATGAACTCACGTGACATTCCTAAAATGTTGATGTGCTTTTCTGAATCATTATTTGGATCCAATGTTTCTAATAACGAGGCAGGTGTAGATTTTTTTCCCTGCACACTATTCAACACTCATTCCATTTTACATATATATACATATATATATATATATATATATATATATATATATATATATATATATATATATATGAATACATTTTAGTTAACTAAAAGTTAAGTATTATAGTTTTTATGAATTGATTTGTTTGATGATTTACTATAACAGGCGAAGTGTCGTTATTTTATGTATTGTTGGTCTAGTTGAAGCCAATTAGATGCTCCATCACTAGTTATGGTTTGGAATTCAGGTTCAAATTATTTGTTTAGGCCCCTTATCCAATGTACTCATGTCTTCTACAATAACCATGTAATATAGATAACATCACATACAAACACATGTAATATATTCACATTTTATCTTTAAGCAAATTAGTTCAATTTTCATTTAGCTGACACTTTTATCCAAAGCGCCTTACAATAAGACACAACATTACTTACTGTAACACAACAAAACATGACAAAGCTAATATGAGTTAACCGAATGCAATAGCTGACACATGGTTGACTGGTGGGTTTATAGAGTGTTAGCACATTAAGTGACGCGTTCACAAACTAATTTGGTCTCATCTCGGTTTAACAGGTTAAGTTTCTCCAGTTGCTCATTTGAAATCAAGCCAAGCTGAGAGAGGCTGAAGATTCAACAACACACCGTGACACGAACAAGCCTCCTAAAACCAAACTGACAAAATATCATTTTTAAGGAGATGAGTACGTGGAATAAAATACATTCAAAATGTGAGTTGTCCCAACAGGGGATAGGATTATTTCTGCGTTCTTTAACCAGCTCGCTGCTGTCAGAGAGCGAAGTGACAAGAGCGTTAACTTCTTGTCATCAACCTCCCATGAGAGAGAGAGAACGAGAGAGAGAAAGAGAGAGAGAGAGAGAGCTGCAGGGAGGAAAATCCCTCTGAGACTCCAGCAGAGCTCCTCACGCCATCAGACAGGCAGACAGACAGCGAACAATGCATCACATTCCACTCTGCAGGCATTTAATCACCCGTAAAGAGACAAGTTATCAGAAAGTCAGAGGGACGGACATGCCGGTACAAACACGCAGATTGACACCTAGACAAAATTAATATTTTCGCTGTAGATCTTAAACTAAAAAAGTTTATTTTCACTTGCTCCCTCTCTTTCAGTGTTTTATTTACCAGAGTAAAATAAAGTAAAGGCTAAGTAAAGGCATGCATAGCAGCTAAATTAACTGCTGCAGACAAATGTATTTAGTGGAGTAAAAAGTGTTGTTGTCTTGTTAAAATGTAGTCGAGCAGAAGTATGAAGTAGCCTAAATACTTAAGCGCATTACTTGTATAGTTTCCACTGCTGCCTTGCACGCACACACACACACACACACACACACACACACACACACACACACACACACACACACACACACACACACACACACACACACACACACACACACACACACTACTGTGTCAGCAGGTTTATGCAGGGTGACTGAGTAAGAGCCGCCCTGTAGTCTGCAGATTAACTATAATCTGCAGACAGGAAGTGACAAATAAAGTATGTACGCGTTTTAACCAGAGGCTACTGAAAATATGCTTCACTTCAGCAAAGACATTTCCCACTTCATTAAAAAAGCACGTGGACTAAATTAAATATGGATACAGTAGTTAACCCTCACTGTAACAGTAATCTGCAGACAGAAAATGACAAATAATAGGTAATTTAACTCGTACATGTTGATTGATATGTGATTTAGAGGAGAGTTTCTCTCAATTGAAGAGGTAGGTTGAGAATATGCTTTCATATGTGCATAATCTCCTAGAAATCCTAGAGTTAGGAGCCACAAGGTTGAAGCTGACTGAGGCTGACGCTGTTTATAAAAGGGGGTATGGTTTTTATACTGCACACAGGCTTATTATTCAGCAGGCATTGCTTTGGTTTTAATGAGAGGAAAATCAGCTTGGTACACACCTGTGCAGCCGACATATTTCCAATCATTATGCAAGGAAGTCTCAACCATGACGGTTCCATATTAAGTCCACATTGCAAGTATAGCATAATTATTAATCCAGTAATCCATTCACATAATGTACACAACAGTTAAAGTTGAAAGAAGTAAATACACAATTGTAACAGAGCATTGATTCAACCTTTACCTGGAATACTTTGTCAAAGTATTGCACTTTACTGAGTTTCGTTTCTACACATTTCGTGTACATCATCAGTCCACCTGTGTACACGTGTCACATGATCTGTCAAATGATCCAAGCACCAGTACTCACTAATCAAGGTATTGGTCCTCTGGTAGGCTGTTCGATGGATCAATGGTCGCTCAGGCTGCACACAGGTGGAAGTTTATTTACAAAAGGATTTGACCTCTAAAGGTAAAAGCCACATAAAAAAATATTAATGAATGGATTTAGCACACAGGGGATGAATACATCGTTAATTTTTAAAAAATATTAGCAAAAGCAAAAGCAATTTCTTTTTTCTCATTTCACTTCAGCAACTTTCAAAGGTTTGTGAGGGTCCTTTAGTATCCACAGAAAAATCAATTAATTTCCAGGTTGAAGAAGGCTGCGTTGCCATTTACAGCAGCAGCACAGTGTCACATGTGATTTGTAATCTTTGGATTATCTCTCTCTGTGTCTTCAGCTCATCCCCCAGTTCTTCTTCATCTGCTTGGGGATCGGTGGGGCATCTCTGTATCTGTTTCGATTGGCTAAAGGACCCCATGTCACGTAAGGACCTCTGCTGAGATGCAATAAAGATGATGTGTCTTATCTCAGGAAGATATCTGGTAAAACAAAAAGTTTGGAGGTGGCCTCCTTGAGCAGTTTATGACATAACTGTTACCTGTTCGAACATCTATATTTTGTTAATATATCACATGGGTCAACATGTCAAGGAATCTGCAAATGATCTCAACAGGTGTGTTTTCCTGTTCCTGACATCTCTTCCACTTGAGGATAACTAACAAAATATTTACTAAGTAGAATCCATGACCCCCTACAGGACGGCCCCAGGTTGGAATACACCACTGCCCAGGAACACCGTTCACTCCGTAACCATAACGGAGGGATTTGTTTTATGATTGTTACTGACTAAGCGGATCCCGGCTCGCTTATATTTCCCCCTCCAGCCGCCTCTTGCCGGGACTTCTTCTCCTCCCGCTGCTATCAGAACTGTTTGATGATAGCCCAGTAACAGCAGACACAGCGAGGGCTTTTAACGCGAGCTCACAGGTGCACTGTGTTGTGTCTTTGCAGGTCTTTCATCATTGATTTGCGGCCATGATTCTTTACATCTTAATGACATTTTCCTGTTGATGGCAGAGCAGGCTTACTGCATCTGACCCACGACTTCACGTGACTTGTTTTTATTCAACCTCTCTCTGTATAAGATATTTGGGTTCTCAGGGGTATCAAATCACTTAACTAAATGTTGGTTTGCTTGGTCTGAAATGAGAGCTTTATTCACGTGTCTCAGATCAACAAATAGCCTAAATTATACAAATGTTGTCCGTATCTGTTTGTTTTTAGCTGGAACAAGACCAACAACCCTGAGCCATGGAATAAACTTGATCCCACGTACCAGTACAAGGTAATACCGCATGCTGGGAAAGAGCGATGACATCCTGTAGTTGATGAATACATCTCTGTTTGCACGAGCGATGGGATACAGAAATGATTTCTGAGCACAACAGAAGCAAGTTTCCACTCAGTTTGATCTTCTTCTTCTTCTTCCCCAGCTGGTGGCCATCAGCACCGACTACAAAAACCTAAAGAAAGACGGACCAGAGTTCTGAATCCCCCGCTGGCTTGAAATATAATAAGAAAATCCTGATCTGGGGTTGAATCCACTGCCCCTCCCCCTTTCTATGAACTGTGTATGTGGAAGGTGAAATGCATCGAAGGTCAACGTCCGTAAACCTTTCGTGTCTGTGAAACATCTGGTGATCCGGTAAATGGAGCCATCGTGGTCAATGAATGAACTCATAAAGCACATATGGATATTGAAAAAGTTTAACATGCACTCTTTCCAAGTCACACACATGCAGGAGAGACGTGACCCACCTATGCACGTACTTTGCAATGCCCCACCCAAGAGGTATTGCATTTTTAGCTATTATTTTATCACGGATAACTGTTTTCACTCAGCATGATGCTGTGGTTTTAGAAATGTCTGTGTATCATTTTTAATGTCCCAGCCTCTGTTGGTTCCTGTACACCTCTGGGCTGGATTCTTCCAATAAAGAGTCTGTATGTTTCATGTTTGAACGAGAGCCTTTGTTGCAAACCTGCTTTGTGACTTTCCTCAACCACCTGCAGGGAACTGAGTCAGATACGGATCTTTTTCCACATCGAAATACACAATCAGTAACTCTGATAGAACAAGTCCATCTGTCGGCAGTGCAGCTGTCACTTTGCAGCCTGATTGCTGCTTCTATGACCACATTTAATGGCGTGTGTGTGCGTGTGTTAGCTTGCGTGTGTGCAGCAGTGTGTGTGACAGCAGCCTTGTGCCCTCTTTGATCAGCGACAGCAGTGGCAGGATGCTGAGCAGTCTCCCAGCATGGTGTTGATGTATGACAGCACAGTGTGTACAATCTAAGTGTAGACACACAAATGCACGCACACACACACACACACACACCAGGCTCTAGAGACTCAAGAATACATGCATACTACTACTACATATGAGGAGGTGAATCAGATAACAACTCTCTTTCTCCCTTTCTCATTGACTTTTATGATCAATATCCACATCTGTCTTGAAAAGAAGCCACGGATAAAGAGAAGAAATGTGGTGGTCAATTTACTTTATAACTCTGCAGATTGAAATAACAAACCACTCATGAACTAAGATTTTAACCCAAAATATCCTAAATAAAGTTGAGTGATGGTAAAATAAATTCATGGTAACTCCCAGGAGACAGATTTTGTCTTTAACTTGAGACATGTCATGTTAAATATGGAGATACAGTATGTATCCCTCCCTCAGTAAGACCTCTGCTACTTCCAAAGGATCAATTTAAAACAAACTTCTAGATTCTGACAGGATTTCTGATTTGTCCAGTGAAAGTGAGACTCTTAAGAATCCTTCAGACGCCCCTCGCGTCTCGCCGCGCTCGTTACATCTCTTTTCTCCGTGTAAAACAACAACAAGAGTAAGCGAGTAAAAAAAGTTTTATACACAAAGTTTATTGGGGTAATATGGAGATGGTTCAAAACGACAATGGTGCATGAGACATTACGTGATTTTCCGAAAGGACACTTAAGCGCCTTAAAACACACACACACACACACACACACACACACACACACACACACACACACACACACACACACACACACACAGTGGATTAAAGGAGTTGTCAGGTCATGAGAAACTGCCACAGAGATGAGAGGAGGAATCATTGTTTGTGTTGTGATGATGCATCTGTGTGTCCTTATTTTGTTTGTGTGTTTTTTCTTGCGACAGAGTTGTGAGAGCTTCTCTGACCTGTGATCTTTGACACAGCTGGCCGGTCCCTGTGGACGGGACACATTCCTCTGGCACGAACCCAAGCAATGACCTTCAACCGGAAAAATTAAAAGACAGACCGAAAAGAAGGACAACGCCCCAAAAAAGTCTGTTTAGTTCAATATTTACGCTCCAATAGACATCATTTGTTGCAACGTTCATTTTAAACTTGCTATATAAAATACTTTGTATATCAGAGGAAACTGATCATTTAAAGTAAGAAATGCATAAATCAAAATAAAACAACAAAGTCTCATCCAGCAGTGAAAGAAAGAGGAATCCTGCTCTTTTTATCCGTCTGTCAGTATACAGATGTGACTGCAGCAATTTGACAAACGTGTGTAGATCAATATACGGCCGAGTTCTGAAGGTAGTGGAAGGACAGTGAAGGACTCTGCTGTTACATAGTGCTCCTATCTCGCCTTGTACAGTATATAAAGAACTATCTGTGTTTACCTGCATTATGTAATGTGGGGTAATAGAGTGTCATAAAGACATTCTGAATAAAAATGAGGAAGATCTCACCTCGACCACCTGCCTGTCTGGTGAACTGTCTTCATGCAAGGAAGTTACTGTTAACGTCATGAAACAAGGCGTAGACATAAGTAGCAAAACCATCTGTTCGTTGGAGACAAGAAGTCTTCCTTGGACAAATTGAGCGTTTTAAGCCCCTTGAAATAACGCCGTTTTTCGCCGTGTGGAGATCTGGCCTGGATCTAGCTTTTATTTTTGTTTTCTGGACGTCTCCCTGAAGTTGACACTGAGAGGAAACGGGAGGAAATGCCATCGGTTGAAAACAGATGAATGTTTATAAAGTCTCTAGCAAGTCTCCTCCCTTCACAGACCTGTAAACATAAATTACCGCCTCCCTAACAAATGCGTATGTGTCAGATGACAGCAGCTGTTCATACAATGCAAGGTGCAACTCACCACAGAGAGCGTTGGAAAATTGAACAAAAAAAACGTTAAGCATCTAATTTTATTAAGCCTAACATACTATGTTCACAAATAGAGAAGGAGAAATAGTACGTTAGCCTTAAAACAAAGGTTTTTGCAGTTTGCCCTTGTAGTTTGTGGTTTTGAGCCTGTGTTCACTTCCTAACGCAGCTGCTGCAGGTTTTCTGCGACAAAGCCTTCCGTTGAAGGCTCTAAACACTACTTATTGACAAAAAGCCAAATACCTTGAACACTTACGGTGCCTCTTGGCTTCGAGCAGCAAACAACAGAATGTTGAAGTGGGGAACGTTTTAGAATGATTGCAGCGGATGTGAATGAATTAACTGCACGAGAAGTAAGTTACTGTGCATGTAACATTGTTAGGTTCCTACATTCTTAGTGGAAAAGCATCCTCATCAACATCATCATCACGCGCACAAAACAAATCATTTTCTTATCTCGTAGGTTCAAAAATGATTTCCCAATGCGGCAAATGACAACTTTGCAAATCACTGTAATAAATTGTCCAACTGAAATACATTTTAAACTGATCCTAAACAGGTTGCTAATAGAACAAAACCTGCTAAAATGTGTGAAAATTACATTTAGTTCAAGTAACATTTGGCATTAAGCATTTACATACACTTTAACAAATGGTTCATAATAAAATAGTTGTATGCAGATATTGAAATCTTCCTAATACAGTATTTGTCAACAAGCATAACTTCTCCTATGCTCATATATTTTATATTATTTCACCGGTTGTTAAACGCCTCATAAGAGGTTATATTTCCTCACAAATAAATTAAGAAAGTTTACATGTCAAACCTGGCAATTTGCATTACGTGACTTTCTATTTGTTAGGCTTTGATACATCATATTAGAGTCTTTGTGATATTTGGTAGATAATCTCTTCTGGTGAGTGGCTGACTACACCTTCCTGTTTAAACATGAAACTTGTTCCCATGGCAGCGTCCATGGCAGTAGAGGAGTAGTAAAGGTGCAACTGCCTTTCTGTGGGACGTGCTGTTTGTGGTCAGTGAACCCCGGCACGGGAAAGCGTCTGGCGAATAGCTCCACCCGCTGGCGTAGCTCCGTGACGCGCATCGCCGTCTCTTTGTCACCAGCAGGAAGGACTTCAAGCTCGACAGATTATTTCAAATTTTACCATTTATTCCCTTGAATCCACATCATCACGTAACTCCTGAACACCTGATCTCTGGTTCTGGTTCTCCTCGGTCCCGACTCCCTCCCTCTCTGCTCACCGGCCTCCTTGAACGGTCTGGAGGTCAGAGTTCCTGTAAGAAAAAATACATAATTATAACATATTAGGGTGAGGCTAACAACACACCATGTGCGAGCTTTACTCGTATCTACTCCTCTGAGTTCTGAGTCCTCCTGGAGTGAGAGCGCTCTTGTCTCCAGGGCAGGTGTTCGTGCTGGCGGTGATGGACACCAACTCCAAGACCCTCTCAGCTCGAGCACCGTCAGTACCTGCCAGCAGTGTGTAGCCTTTCCTCAGCAGAGCATTGGCCATGGACTTGAGCAATGAGCCGTTTGAACATGGGAGTGGACGCCTGCAGAGACAGAAGTGCATGTGGAAGCTGCATGTGGAAGGAGAAAGACCATATCAGCACCCTCTGGCCCTCCATAACTTGTGTGTTATATACTAGATAAACTGCTGGAATTAAGTTGGTGTAGGATCAGGATTTTCTGTCTCTTTTTGTCTTGCTGGCTATTGTTACATTTGTATGATGCATTTTGATGTTTGGAGCTGTTTGAGGGCGACAGCCCCCCCTGCTATGGCGTGGTTTGTATATTTCAATGTAATTCACCTGGTCATGTGAGAAATAGATATTTCTTTATATTATTTTCTTACTTTTGAGAAGTAAAATGCTCTTGTCTTGTACTCTGGGTGTACTGTTCCATCATTTCTTCTATGAAAAATAATATAAACTATTTGTGTACATTTGTATCAGAATACTTGTAACTAACTCTAAAGTTAAGTGTGCAGCATATACAAGTTGCATGTCATCATTCACCTATAAGCTACCATAAGCTACCAAAAACCTGCAGTAATGACTCGGATTTGTGTTTTTTATTGTAATACACTGTTATGTATTGTATTATACCACTATTTATTATGTCGTCATAAATGGTTCATACCGTATTGCATAACAGTGTACTATGTTTTACAGTAATGATATTAGTATAGTATAATGATATTACTAGTTCTAGTTTGGGGGAGTAGGATTGCTATGCAATTAAGTTCGACAAAATTGTGCTCTTCGGCTTTTTAAAATATTATAACAATTAATGTTTTCATTGTCTGTGTGGTTAACTTTGTCCCTCAAAGTATTTGTTGTTCAGACAAGAGCCCTGAGCTTCAAGCGCAGCAGAAGTTCTGACAGGACAAACAAACTGTGTCCCAGACCCACAGCCAGACATATATATGTCTATATATATATATATATATATATGTACTATATATAGAGAGTGACTGAACATCCCTACTCTTTTACCACACGGCCCAGTTACCACAGTCCAGACTTCACTTTTCCAGGATGCAATAGACATTCTATACATTAACCAAACCAATTACACAATAATAAGGCAAGTACCAGAGTCAGAGGATGGTAAGCATGTTTTAATCTGTTGAATGAGTTTCATAAATCACAGAATGTTCATCAAGGATTAGAGGGTATATTCAAATTAAAAGAGAAATAAGGAAGGATCTCAGTCTTGTCAAATAGTCCAGATACTTGGGAGTCAGAGGAGAGATGGAGCTGCAGGAAAAGAAATGAATGCAAATGAATTTTTCTCCCTGTGTCAGTCTGTTTTTTTTCTCTCCCTCTCCCACTTCTGCTCATCTTTTCTCTGTCTCCCTCTCTCCTCAGCCGCCCCCTCTCCCTCATTATCATACTAAACCTGTCACTGCTCTGGGATCCCTCAATCATTCAACTGAGATTTAAACCCAGTCCCCCGTGTGACACAAAACTCGCTCCATGACATTCCGAAACACCATCTCCGCGCACACACACGCATGATCTCCTGTCCTCGTGATCAACAGTAGAGATCTGCGAGGGAACCTTAAGAAAGACGGCTTCCACTTAGATGCAATCACCAGCAAACAAACAAACAATTAATTAACAATTAAAAGGAACTTTCCGAAGAAAACAATGAATTCCAGAAACGTAATCCCTGGTGCAGTTGGAATGGCGTGTGTCATCGCTGGAAGCAATTTAAATTGGCAAACCCAATGCTTGTAAACCTCTGTCTCTCTCTGATTCCATTTCGGAAACCAATTGGGGATTGCAGCTCGATAAGAAACTGCTCCCCTCCAGCTGACACCAAACCGACATCCAACGACCCTGATCCCTTCACCCCTGCATCCCTTTACCCAAAACCCCTCCACCCCCATCCTCCTTTCGGACCCATGATCCATCTCAGTATGGTTCTCCTCCTTCTTCCAAATACTAAATGCTCCCAAAGCCACGTAGCTACTGACATGGTCGTTGTTGAACACCGAAACTCAACCTCTCCTGTCTGTCTCCTCTTTACCCCCGAGGCGGTGAGCTCCGGGCCCCGGCGCTGGCCACCTTCTCCTGCTGCAGGAGGCTCCGCATCTCCACGTCGTCCCCGGGGGCCAGGCTCTCCTGCCCCGTCCACCCGTCCACCCGCCCGCTGATGAGGCTCCGCTGTGACCTGCCCCCCCTCGGCCCGGACATTCGGACGCCCTGAGGAAGAGATGCTGCACGGGGCGGAGGGTAGACGGGCACGCAGCATTATCGTTTTGGCCACTTCTTAAACAATATACTTGTCTCTGGTAAGACCCCTGGAGAGATGGTGCTGTATTTCTAAAGGCCTACTATTCTATTTAACAACTCTGTGCGCAGTAAACAAAAGCTGCATGGGGAGACAAAGGATTTGATGCAGCTCTCCATTGTTATAAACTGTCCGTGCAAAGCAAAAGTTTCTGCGGCTTTCTGTTGTTGTTTGGATCGCTCCTTTGGTGTCTTTGGAAAACCTCGGGAAGAGTGAGCTTCTGCAAAACACACTTTCATCACTCAGAATTATAATGCTTTGCACCGGGGGCTTGGAAACAAGGGAGTTAGAATAATGGGCCTTTTGATGTTCTAAACAATCCATTAAAGGAAAGGCAGTGGAAAAACAAACGCGCTATAGAGTCTGGCGGTTATGGAAAAGCTTGGACAGGAAAATTGATATGTGACCACACAGGCAGTGACTTATTTATCAGGCTTTTGTTAGTTGAAGGCAGCTTGTAGCTGCATGATAGTCACATAACTATTTATTTGGCTTAATACAGTGATTACTGTTCAGCCATTATGCATGTTGAAGCAAGTCTTTCATCTATTGTGTTTGTTGTGTATTTTAAGCTTTGATTAAATTACATCTTGCACAAAGGGCGAAATGTACAGTCAACTTTCCTTCAAATATCCTCGGACAAACAGCCACACTCAATTTACTTAATGACCTGCGATAATCACAGTTATCATTTTAAAATTCAAATTGAAAACACAACACAGAGTGACACCCATCGAGCTCCTGCGAACCACACATTTCTGTCTTGGTGGAGGGGACAAGGCTGACAAGGTTGCCTATTTTGTCTGTAAGAGGTGAATTATTTACTACAGCTCTTAGTGACCGGGGGGATAGTTATTCTAAAAAAGGTACAAATGTATATAGGAGTACATTTTAGAAAACCTCTCAAACAAAAGCACAATGTACTCAGCCGTATTGTTTGCCGTAGTGTCAGAGAAAGCATGTCTTAGACGGCTGAACAAAAAAACGCTTCGAAGTGCAAAAGGTCGAAAGCAAAGTCAGTACTGGAGAAAAGACGAGCACATTTGTACTTGTGTCACTGATTAAAGTAAACCATCTGTTTCATCCCACTCTGCGTCAGTTCTTCTAGGTAGAAGCTGACCAGCCTCTACGTTGAACAGGCAAGGTGTTCAGTTTATCATAAAATAAAAGCACTTGAAGTCCATGGTTCAAAAAACTGCACAATTTTGTGTTTTGAAGATGCGTCTATTTCATGTTCCCGCACATGTCAACACAAAAACACAACACACAAATGGATCTGGTGGAAAATAAAATAACAATCAACAGAGTCAACAATCAACATATTTTAAAAACTGGAACACGTGATTTTGAAAGATGTAGGAGAAGTCAATGTTTGATTTCTGCCGATTGATCATCCGAAGTGCTGCTGGTTTTGCTCGGTCTGAAAATTGTGGTCCGGACAGACTTTCTGCACCAGCCTGTAATCGGTGCCGGTGAAGGCGATGAAGATGCATATGACCTTAAAGGGTTTGGCGCAAATCCAGGCTGCCTGGGACTGCGTGTTTTCTGAGTAGCAGGTCTGGCCTGGGTCATACATGCAGGGCTTGGTCTTCTTGGACCGGTTAGTTCTCTGGTATTCGATCCGGCAGTTGAGTTCGGTCCCCGGCATCATCATCTCTGGCTGCTGCTTCTGATGGTCAGGAGGAGCCGTGCTGGTGGACTGAGGCGAGCTGTGGAACTGGGACGTCACATCTGGGACCAGGACTGAGTTTTTGTTGTGAACGGCCTGAGCCGCTGGATCCAAAACCTCCCATCCTACCGCTTTGGAGGGCGGGACGATGCTGACGGATATGTTCCCCAGACGGGACGAGTTGTGGCGGAAGTACACACTAAAAGTGCCGTTGATGTGGTCAACAATTTTCCCTGTCACCAGGAGGCTGAACTTCACGGTCTTTACGTTAAAGTAGAAATCGCCCCAGCCCAGGATCTTCTTGGTCTTTGGGGAAGTTTTGGCCGGCGGTTTGGATTTAGAAGGGGGGCGGTATAGATACTGATCCAGGGCTTGGGAAAAGTTCTGCGGCCATCCGTACGGGCCGAGGACGCCGTAAGCAGGTGTCTTTTGCTTGGTGGAGATGATCTGCAGGTCTTTGAAGACATGTTTAACTTTCAAAGCAGCGCCCACAGCATCTTCTGCCCTTCCTTCTTCCTCTTGCCATTTTTGGCTGTATATCTCCAAGGCTTTGGCTGTTTCTTGGCCCTGTGGAGAACATTATGTCAATTACAAAAAGCCTTCAGATTCAAGTACTCTTTTTTTTCTTAATGCAATGGGTTAAATCTCACAAAACACTCAAAAGCACATTGCTCATTTAACATTACCCCTTTACAGATTATTTGGTTTTCCATTTAAGTTGTTGATCTCAAAAACCATACATATTGCTTTCATACGGCGGTGGCTGACCCTGCGCTGGTAGCTAACAGTGCAAATAGCAGCAACCGTTAAAGCTCTAATATACATTTTTTTAAAAGCAGAGTACAGATCACACAAGTTGGTTGCCGGTTTCCAGGAATTTGCGATGTACCTCTTCCAGATCACACTGACGAATAGAGAACAAAGAAGCCTCTGGATGAACAGGTCGGACATAAATGAAGGACAGTTTCGCTGTTGCTGCATTACAAGGTAGCAGATAATCGATTGAAATATAATTACGGTTTGATGTCCTTTGACTGAGAACGTCATCAAATTGGCTGCGATCAATAGATCAGCCCCTTCAGGCAAGGACTATAAGCAGCATTCACACACAAGAACGAGCACAGAGTCACATTCATGCTGCCTTTAAGGGCCCCCTTTGTGTTCTCTCTCGCTCCCTTGCTAAAACCATCAATCCATTTTTCAATGCCACCTTGATGATGGACTGAATAGCTGCTCTAAACAATAGCACTGTATACAAATGAGTAAATAAAGAAAACTGATGAGACCTTCTACATGGCACGTGGCAGCAATTTTACTGATATTTCAGAAATTTACTTGTAGCGAAGTGTGCAGGCACAATAATAAAATACCAATTTTAACAAATTGAGCCAGCGCTATGTGTAAAAATGACTGCACAGATTAATTCAAATGTCAAGACTTTATCATCTCTCACAACAAACTTCCGTTAAGTCGAAGTATTGGGATGCTGTGTGGAAAACAAGTCAAAATTAGTGCCTCTACATTTCCATTATCACCATAAGCACATTCAGCAAAAGCCTGTGTGACAATCTCTGTCTTCTCCTGTGACCAAGTGAGCTGCAGCTGTATTGTCACAAAGCCCAAATCTCCAGCTGTGTGCTGTTCTCACCTTCACTAATTGGAGCCCACTGTGTGACAGCCATGACATTGTTTCTGTGTCAAGACGCCAGCACAGTGAGTGCAACTGAGCAACAGCGCTGGAGTGGATGCGCACACGACACCTGTGCAAAGGCACCTGCAGCAGAAAAAACTGAGAAACCAACCAGGGAGCAGTAATTGCATTTTAAGGGGCGAGAGAAAATGTTTGCCATCGGCTAACGAGATACTAACTGTGCGCATTTTAAACCACTTTAACAAAGTGATGTGGAGATTATTTAACTGACAAACAGCTGCACTGTAATAGTTCAGCTATACGAAGCACAAATGAGTTTTTTTAGGTATTCTGACAATTTTGATGTGAAGGTTGCTGCAGGCTGCTGCCCATGCAGCAAAAGTAAGCTGAATTAAAGACAAGAGATCCAATTAAATACAATTATCCTCAAAAGAGAATTAGAAACCATAACACTGGAACAAAGTAAAATTTGGAGGATGGAAAAGAGTAATTTTTGTCTGAATCTCGCCTTCAGGAGTGAACTTTGATCAAGTCCCCTGCAGTCTCACATCATGAGATATGAATTCTTTGTTAGGAAGGCTGCATGAAAAAAACAAATCACAACGAAACAAAAGAATAAAACAGCGAGCTGCAAAACTTGTTGAGAGAATTGTTTCAGATTGATTCTGAAATGAGATCAAAACATTTCTACTTCAGACTAGTTAACTGCTTCTGTCGACTGACATACATCATCCTTTAAATCTGCCATATAACGGATTATTATTTATTTTGATATTCTTTTCTCAATAAAACAACACATCCTCAGAAACAGACAGTTATTGAAAGCAATAAAAAAAAACATTGGATTTGGCAGCAATAAGGCAAGAGCAGCGGCAGAACTATAAGATAAGGAAATACAACGCAAATTATTTGCAGGAAACAACATCTGGCGTTAATTACGAGCAACACGTATGCAAAGAAATCGTACTCACCGCCGAAGGGAGAAGACACAGACAGGTGATGGCAAAGTTCAAACACAGCATCCTCATTTTGCAGCAACGCTTCTCCACGCAGAAAGCCTGCGTGTCCTGGAAGCTACTCGCCCGGCTGAATAAGTGGTGAATTACTGAGTTTAAGCTTACACTCACTTCAAAAGTACTGGAGACATTCCACAAAGAGACGCTCCAAAAATCCCCATAATCTGGTGTGAACGCTTGGCTCAGTGCGCCTTCGCTCTCTCTCTCGCTCTCCCCCCTCTCTCTCTCTCCCTCTCTCTCCCTCCCTCTCTATCTCTCTCTTTCCTTAACACACAGAAATTTCTATAAATATTTACTCACGAGGAAAATTGTAATAAATCAATTTGAAATAACTTGAATTTGTACTTGGCAAATTTGCGAAGTAGGAGCTTAAAAACACAAACACACATGCACGCACACACGTCAATCACACTTGCCTCTGCTCAATTTTCAACACCTTATTATGACTCATCAACCCGGTGAAAGGCGCTCTCAGGCGGGCACAGTTTGACGGGGGGGGGGGGGACCTTCCCCGCGTACTGTATCCACGGGGAGGAGGACAACATGACGGGACCCCCTCCTGGAAATGTTTAAATTACTAAGGGGGACATTCTGCCAGCGCCTCAGCTTGCCATTGGAAGTGTCCCTAACACTGAGACCAGAGGGAATGAGGGCCTGCGTCTCATATTAGGAGCGTATTAGACTTTCATGTGTAATAATTGATGATTGTGCTGCAGCTGATTTTGGACGACACATCCGAGGAGGTCTTCTTTCTGAATGTTCAGTCCTCCCTCTTGATGTTTGTATGTTACTTTTGACACTATGACAAATTTATGAATCCAGAGCTGCCAACTTTTCAAAAAACATTGGAGTGAGATTTTGTCGGGGGTGACCAAAATATCAGGGAATTAATTTGGGATTGTACCCATGTTGTGCCCTGCAATCTGGTGGTTTGTGGGGCCCAAAGTCGTTGAGGGGCGGCCTAGAGATGAACAACATTGGTTACATTCTGAGAAGCAAAGACATGATGGTTCACCCCCAGGGAATTTTGGTAGTAGATGTTACTGGTATATGTTCATCTGATCATGACTTGTAGGGCCTTCTAGACTGGAGCTGAACATTGAACAAGAAAACTAGGTCTATGTACCACAATATAATCTAATTAATAGAGCTGTGTTTAAGATTTGACAAAGGTATGTTGATTGACATCTTGATTACAACCGTATTCAACCAATTCCTAACTGAAACCTAACCTATATTGTTAATAATTGTATTCTTAAGAGCACTTAATGATTTATGTTCAGCAAAAAATGACACAAGATTAGTTAGGGAGGCCCACCACACGTCCCATCAAACAAAGAAAGTTTTTAAAGTGCTTAAACAGTAGCCTTTGTAAGCAATACAATAGATCATGACAAAAATAACTAAAAATGAGGTATCAGATGCAGATCAGAAGCTGGTTAGTCATTTTCTAAGATCTGTGGGCAAGGTTGATTGATCACTGTATCATAGATATTACATACGATGACGTTAATAACTAATGATGTCATCTATCTAGTATGTAGCCTCATTGATCACTATATTATATACATAAAATACTATGAGGTTAATCACTATTGGTATATGAGACAATGAGACACAGATAAGTACATTTTCAATTTAATTTATAGTGATCTCTATACATTTAACTGTACAAGGACTCCCACACTAAGAGTAATACAACAGCCCTTCTTCTTCCGTTCAATATAAATAAATATTAAAAATATACCTGTCAGTGTAATCCAGTAAAGTTTAGCAGCACCACAAACTAGAGCTGCTCCTCTTCATCTTCTTTAGAAAGCGGTCTAACAATTCTGATCTGATCCATTGAGATATTTTGCCTAATTATTTGATATACTCTATAAAATATTATAAAATAATTAAATATTATATATATATATCCCATTTTTTGTATTTTAAATGAAAACTAAACAAGCTTGACTGTTAAGTATTTTACTGTCAAGAACTGTAATAAAATGTATTAGCAAAGACCAGCTGACGTGGTGACGTCATCAAGGCAGCTGCCGTTTCAATCGAAGTGACCGTTTTCCGCCCTCGAGGACCCGTGAGTCCGTCTCCCGAGTCTATTCTCCCGAGAACGCAAGTCCGCCGTGGGTGTTGAGAAAGGATGTTTCGAATCAGGTTACAGATGCGCTCCTTGGCGCCATCTACCGTCGGGGAATTTGCAAAGGAACGAACGCGCCTCGGTCCTAAATCTGATTTCTTTTTTTGCGTGAGAAACTGGATGTTTGGCGTGAGTGCGTGTGAAAACACGCAAAAGCGTCAGGGTTGGCCGCTATGGGAATCTGATTCGACTCAAAGGATAATTCTAAAAACGGTCGTTCGTTGTGGTCCTTTGCAGACTTAACTTTAAACGTGTGTTTTTAGTTAAAAATGACGGTGTAAGAGAACAATGAAAAGTTATTAGATATGTACTAAAACAAGTACTCGTAGATATTGTTGAGAAAATGTTCATTTGTGAACATCTCGCTGTCGGATCTAAAAGAGACACTGATGCAGGACGCCTTCAACCGGTAGTCGATTATCTGGACTGGAGTTCAGCCGGGTTTGCGCATGCGCATTGACTACACGCTTGTAGAGATGAAACACGATTCACATCGGTGAGAAAACACTCCACATCCTCGCTTCATTCAGCAGGTGTACGATGGTTTTTGCGAAAAGTAAAAAAAAAGCGTTTAGATAGAGTTCCCAGTTGTGGTCACATTACCATATTCCCACAATGCACTGCGTACTTGCGGTGGTTCTAAGTTAAACTTTTCACATTTAACTCTAATTAGTTTTGTGTTGGTACGAGTGTTGAAATAATGTTTTTATAACGTGTATTTGAATGCAAACACGTTTAGCAATTGTGTCATTCTAAAAATAACCCGTAAGTGAGCCCGGTAAGGCGGAGAATGGTTTCCGACTGTCTTTCACCTCATGACTAAAACAATCTCACCCCGCGTTTCTGACGCACAATACTTACTTACTTACCGGCATACCAGCCAAATCCCGAGATTAGAGTTCGAAATTTTTGGAAAGCCCTGCTCACGCGGGGCTTCATTCATGTCGAAAGTTCACCGGCAGCTTGTTCCTCAGGCAGGATCTGTTAATAATAGTCAGCGAATGAAGACTGGCGCATGCTTCTGCGTATTTAAGCACTGTTGTGTCGACGCACTCGTTTCAAGTCTTGCGTGCGTTGCAGAGCAATTCGCCTCCAGAACAACAGGGGGAGTAACGTGTTTCTGTTGAAGACGACCTAGAGGGTCACGTCTTTGTGTGTGGAAGTCGTTGGTTTGTTTATTTATTTATCATAGACTTTATTGCCCCGTGCATCGCCACTGCTGCTTTTCATCGCGGACACATTTGTCCCGTATCCACAACTTTTCGCACCTCTCGACCTGCAAACCGGCGTTTGCGGCGATCTCCCTCCGTGAATCCAACCCGCTTCTGCAACACGCAAGGTGGTCTTGCGTCGCTCTGAAAACGCAGAAGCATAAACTAGGCTTTAGACTCAGGGAGGTCAGCTGCGCCAAACTGAGTCATTGATGATGAGCCCAGTTCTGCTCGACCAGTGGTCCGATGGGTGTGGGTGCTGTGGTCCCTCCCTGCGGGGCAATCCTAAGGCCTTGGTGATTAAAAGTTATTAAAAACTTTTTGTGTTACACTGTTGCTGTAGGAACCTGATCTTCAAGGTCAAAGCAGAAGTCCTTTTGAGGGACTAAATATGCTCCAATCTTTACTAAACCTGGAAAACACATTTAAAGTTAAATATGTATTTACTTCATATGATTTCAATGCTTCCAAACTGCATTTTGGCTTGATGCCCCCTGCACATATTCATAAACTCTCTCCTGGCAGGCCTCCCTCCTACAGCTCTACGACCTCTGCAGCTCGTCCAGAAAGCAGCAGCTCGACTGGTCTTTAACCTGCCTAAATTCTCCCACACTTCTCCGCTCTCTTCACAGGCTACTGGTGGCCGCCCGCATCCACTTCAAAACATTGGATCTCACGTACCATGCTGTGAATGGATCGGTTCAAGTCCACATCCAGGACATTGTCAAGCCCTACATCCTAACCTGCAAACTCCGCTCTGCATCTGACAAACGGCTTGTTCCTCCCCCACTGAGAGCAAAACACTCAACAAGATCACGTCCCTTTGCTGTCCGGGCTCCTAAATGGTGGAATGAGCTCTTTGATGACATCAGGATCGCAGAGAGTCTTCACATCTTCTGCCGCAAACTAAAGACACACCTCTTCAGTCTATACCTTGATTAAAAACAGTTAATGAATTGTACCACTTAATCGTACTTATAATGGCTCTTAGCTATAGCAAGTTGTAAATCGGCTTGAAAGGCACTTATTGTAAGTCGCATTGGATAAAAGCGTCAGCTAAATGACATGTAATGTAACTATAAAGCAGCCCCAGCAACTGCTTTGATCCAGGTGCACTCATTCGGAGGCTACAGCTATGATCCAGTTGTGCAGATTTCTCCGCCATATCAGCAGAGTAGGCTTGAGAATAATTAATGAAGTTGGTCAAGTTGTCTGTGAACGACATGAGTGGACATGTTAAAATACGGGTGTTCTGCAGAGACACATTCAATGTGTTCAGTTCGCAAAATATATCTGCCAGACTTCACAATTTAATACTTGAGATTAGCTCACGTTCTTTGCCTCAAATGAATGGAGGGGATCCTACTTATTTGTTTACCTTTTGCAGGTCTTTGTACAGCAAGGCAACTATCCAAGTGGTGAAGTATTCTGTTTACAAAGCCAGACTTAGAATCCCACACCTGGCACTGATTTACTTGTCTTTTTGACGGCGTGTCCGTTCAGCGAAGGTCCGTTCATCGCTGCTTGCAGCTTTAATTTATTAATTAATTTTCAAGGCTGAATTGACACAATGAAAGTTTGTGTCTCCCTTCAAATGGTGCAATAATAGGAATCTGAAAACTCAAAAACTCATGTTGAAAGCAGAGATCTTTTTTTTTTTTGAAAGAAGTGAAAAGGCTATAATATCATGATGTAAATTACGGTGTAAGAGAACAATGAAAAGTTATTAGATATGTACTAAAACAAGTACTCGTAGATATTGTTGAGAAAATGTTCATTTGTGAACATCTCGCTGTCGGATCTAAAAGAGACACTGATGCAGGACGCCTTCAACCGGTAGTCGATTATATGGACTGGAGTTCAGCCGGGTTTGCGCATGCGCATTGACTACATGCTTGTAGAGATGAAACACGATTCATATCGGTGAGAAAACACTCCACATCCTCGCTTCATACTCCACATCCTCGCTTCATTCAGCAGGTGTACGATCGTTTTCGCGAAAAGTAAAAAAAAGCGTTTACTCTAGATAGAGTTTTCAATTCAGTTTCCAGTTGTGGTCACATTACCATATTCCCACAATGCACTGCGTAAAACTTTTCACATTTAACTCTCATAAGTTTTGTGTTGGTACGAGTGTTGAAATATTTTTTTTATTGTTTTTGTATAACGTGTATTTGAATGCAAACAAGTTTAGCAATTGTGCCATTATAAAAATAACCCGTAAGTGAGCCCGGTAAGGCGGAGAATGGTTTCAGACTGTCTTGCACCTCACGGTAAGAACAATCTCACGCGTTTTAAACGCACCGAACTTGCTTACCAGCACCTCAAACGGTTGTGAAAACCAACGAGATTAGAGTTTTGAAATTTTTGGAACGCCCTGCTCACGCGGGGCTTCATTCATGTCGAAAGTGCGCCGCCGAAATGCTTCTCAGGCAGGTTCTGTTATCATAAATCTTCGAGTCAGTCGAGTCAGTCGGCTGGTAATGAGCCGGGTTCTGCTCGGCCAGTGGTCGTCGTGGCGCAGGGGTTAGAGAAGGTGTGCTGGGAAGCACAAGGTTGGTGGTTCGAGTCCAGGCTGCCCCATGTTCCATGTCGAAGTGTCCCTGAGCAAGACACCTAACCCCTAATTGCTCCCCGGGCAAAAATGTGAAAAAGCCATGGGTTTAAAGTGTAATGTAAGTCGCTTTGGATAAAAGCGTCTGCTAAATGACCTGTAATCCACCACCATCCATCAGACCTCCAGTGGAGGGTGGTACACGGGGCAATGGCTGCAAACGGGTACAGAGCGCACCTCGATCCAGAGCTGGGGGGCGGGGTATTTGTTCTGCACTCAGCGTGAAGATCTAGTCCATCTGTTTGTTCAGTCTCCTCGTCCGTCAGAACTGTTTGTACTTTTTAAAAGGTGGTTCCGGGATCTTCTCGTTGGATTTGTTTTGTTTTTTTGCGCCAAAATACTGTGCAAAGAAGAAAACAACACACACAACACTCGATTATGTAGACTGGAGGTCAGCCGGGTTTGCGCATGCGCATTGACTACATGCTCGTAAACGCAGCAGAGCAGAAGCACGATTCATATGTTAAGGAAAACACTCCACATCCTCGCTTCATACAGCATGTGTACAATCGTTTTGCGAAAAGTTAAATAAAGCGTTTATCCTAGATAGAGTTTTCAATTCAGATTCAAGTTGTGGTGACATTACAAAATTCCCACAATGCACTGCGTACTTGCGGTGATTCTAAGCTAAACTGTTTACATTTAACTCTCATACATATTGTTTTGGTAGGAATGTTGAAAGCATTTGTTGTATAACGTGTATTTGAATGTCAAATAAATGTAGCAATTGTCATTTAAACAAGAAACCGTAAGCGAGAGTGGCAGGGCGGAGAATAGGGTCAGGCAGTCTTTTGCTGGTACGGTACACACTCTTGGTTCTCTTCAGATCGCATAAATCTTTCGCCTTTTACTAAAGATTTCCGTGGAGAGGACCAATAAGAGTTTCAAATAATTTTTTGATGCCCTGCTCACGCGGGGCTTCCTGATCCTGTAAAAATAAATTATCACCATATTCGACCTTGGCTCCTCCCATTGGGTGATGGCTTGGCAGAGAGCGGAAACATTGAAGTCTACGACCCCAACATTAGAGAAGTAGCCGTTGCTACGGCGGTCACTTCCACTAATGCCGGGACATTTCACTCAGTTATAATACATTTAATTTGTAATGCACTATATATTTAAGGAAATCCCAAAGTGCTACATGATAAAACAGTTAAGTGCTAACAATACAAACACACGGAGAGTTTAAAAAACAAAACGAGTTCACTAAAAAGCTCTCCTAAAAAGGTGGGTTTTTAGGCCACGTTTAAAAGCATCCACAGTCTGTGGTGTCCTCAGGTGGTCACCATGGATGCACTGGTGGGTAAGGAGGGAGACCTTGTACTCAACCCTGAGTGAGGCAGGTCAAGCAAATTTGACTATATTTCACTATATGACTCCAGCCCACTTCCACTGTCCTCAAGCTACGCAGTTATGATGCGACGGGATACTCGTGTTAGTGACGTCAGTCAGCAGCGTCGACATTTTTCCCGAAGGACTACAAAAAAGCTTAGATGCCTTCCTCCATGTGTTGTTACAGTCATGCAGACGACATAAAACCACCATATTAAAAGTATTACTTTATTAACAAGGTTGCAATATAAATTAGTTATGCAAACGATTACTTACATGATCTGCGTTTCTCGGTCATGATCGTTATTTCTCGTGAACGGCCGAATGATACGTCACTATTTAAAAATTGCCGCCGCAAAGAATTGTGGGACGGAATGATCTCCTTTTCCATTCGTTAAGGACGGTCCAGTGGTTCATCCAGCATTGCTGTTTTTATATACAATTAGTTTTTGTGTAGCTTCTCTTCATTTGGCCAGGATCACTTGTGAAACTAAGCCTGATGTAGGAAAATGCCTTTGATTTTATATATATATATATATATATATATATATATATATATATATATATGTCCGAGACCCTTGCAAATAGTTGGTAAGATGTTTTTAGTTATTTTATTCTACAATTATGATTACGATGCCTGTATTTCTTATACGGATATATAGATACTACGTAAAGGATTTGATTGCTGTATCATACCTAAATAAGCAGTGGTAAATAAGCGGTGGAATAGGTTAGATAGCAGTAGTGTGGTGTGGTGTGGTTCAAAGCAAATAAATATCTAAATTCATGTATTTAACATTAAAAGTCCATGAAAGGCACTTAGTGATTTATTTATAGCCCAATTTAACCAATATGCTGCAAGGAGTAACAGGAAATCTCACTCTCAAATCCTCTCATTCAAAGAATAGTCAAATTGATTAAAAAATATATTGGTGCGTTTGTTCAATCTATAATATTAATGTTCTACCTTCAGGCTACCTCTACTTCTCTCTGATACTAATGTTTGATCGGATGGTAACTAAAATCATCCAAGCATTTTCATTCCCATGCTCATCCAATCGCAGCCATTATATCATCCGATTGTCTCTTTCAGCTTACTAATGTACGCATTAATCGTTTCTCCGGCTTAAAGTCCCAAAAATATCACAGCAAAATACATTTCTGCTTTTACAGATCAACTGTTGATGCGTCTTAAGGTAACGAATATATAAAATGGCCGAGAGATCCGAATGCGCTGATGTGTGTTTCGGGTTCCTTCAGTGCACGTTGTGTCTTCATGTCACAGTGATCTCCTCCAGCAGATTAGCAGGGAAGTAGCCCAGCTTGCGTCCAGTGCTGACCTTCAGGTAGCCGCCCTTCTCGTCTCCTTTCTTCACAACAATCTGAAACACACAGTACAAACATCTTAGTTTGAATAGGGACTTGATACATCCCCACTAAGTCCTTTCCAGTGACCATGCATACACAATTTTTTAAAATAAACTTATGGGGCAGTTACCTGATCTTTTTTCAGTGTGATTTGTCCCATTTCTCTGTTTCCTACAAAGGAACGTGTCACCTTGAAAACTCTTTCCGATGCACGCACTTTTATGAGGTAGTTTGTGGGGAAGTAGCCTGACTTCTCCCCCATCTTTCCCTGGAAACAGAGAGAGGACGAGCTTTGAGTTCATCCTTCACGGGAAGTGAGAACAAAAAAGGGACATGACTGAAACTGGTTCACTACAAAAGGTGAAAGCTAAAAGAATCAGGAAGAGACGATGTCAACTCACCCTCCACCACTCTTCATTGGAGTCGTCCAGTACTGTGATCCGATCACCCGGGCTAATCCACAAACACACAATACATTTCATTTATCGCTGCTTTTTTGGTCAACAAATACATTTAAATATTATAAAAGTGTGGTGGACTGAAAAAAACGGTATGTTTGAATAAGTAATGTATTATAATGTGTGTAATTACTGCATGTTGGGAATTCTATGCGTCTTTCAAACGTACTGGAAGTCGAGGTCGTCTTTCTCTATGGCCTTGAAGCGGTAGAGAGCCAGGTAGTAGTGGCTCTGGGAGAATGTACCCTTGCTCTGTTGACAAAACCGCACCGATGCTAGTGTACATGACAAGAGATTCATGAGAAATAAATCATATTCTGTGTACCGATTGACAAGTCTCTGAGGCAAATTGGTGATTTTGATCTAAATGTGCAAACAATCACGACTAAAGGTTAAAAATGAATGTGGTGGAATAAAGTATAATATTAGCCTCTGAGAAGTGGAGTAGATATTTAAAGTGGTATGAAAAGGAAACGCGGTGGGCGCTTAGTTACGTTCCACTGCTTTGACTGCTTGGGAGTAAAAGATGTTTTTGAAATGATTGTCTTACCTTTTCATCTGCTTTGTCTCCTCCTTTCTCCTTCTTATCATCAGGCTTCCCTGTAGGAACATCGGACGTCAGTCACCAACAAATCCTGTTCTTTTGACGATGGTCCCAGAAACTCCAAAATTAGTTTTCTTCCTTCACTATTTGGGATGTGTCACATTATCGTTGTTTTTGTATTAAAAATAGTATTTTTCGTTTAGATTTTTTTTCTGTTTTGCATATAGAAGTATAAACAAATTCCTATTTTTAAGATTTAGTTTTTTTTATTGTACTGCCTGTAGTGCGGAGAACACTTTACCTTCTCCCCCCTCCTCATTTTCTTTGGGCTGTTGGTTATTCTCTTCTTCTTCTTCCTCCATCATCATCATCATCTAGACAAAAAAGCTGTTCAGCAAAACTCAACAATAACATCACATTACATATTTCCAAACATTATTTTTAATAATAATGATAAGCATAATATCTAGATTCCTACTGAAATATTTTTTCTCTACTGGCATTCGGCAAATTGAATGAATCAGTAGAAGTTTTGTCCGAGGATTTTAGATTTTGCAAATTTAATAAACGTTAACTGCACACTTACATTTTTCTTGTCATTCTCATTCTTTTTGCGCTCCTTATTTGCCATAATGACGCCGACCCGCAGGGTGTCAAAGACGGGGTCGTTCCGGTTCGGGTTGTCTGGTTTCGGACGAAGTAGTTGACCAGATTATTAAATTAATCAAACTAAATGAATTGTTAGTATATGAGGCACATTGTTCTTCAGTGGACTCACTTGGATCTGGTATGTCACTGGTGTACAGCGGGGAGCTGTAGGCCCTCCTGAAGCCAGGTGGCTGCAAGAAACAGCCGGGGGGGGGGACGGGGCGGTTAAGCTGGTGGGAATCTGTACACATGATTTTACTGTTCTTCACAGAGAGGGAACAGGACTCACAATTTTGCCAAAGCACTTCTGGAATTCAACATAGGACTGACATGAGTGGTGGATGTTGGTCTTGCAGTTTTTGCACCTCAGAGCAAACTTGTTGTTCACTGAAAAATAAACATTGGAAGAGCATGAACCAATATTAAACATGCGGAGACCAATCAGATGTATAAGACAGCATGATGTAAGGTTATTGACGTTTGTGTGTGTGTGTGTTGTTGACATGATTTCCAATACATACAGACTATCATGCGAGCGCAGACGTCACAGAACTTGGGTTTTTTGCAATAGTGGTCCTTGAACTTGTGGGGTTTGTCGTTGATTCGGACAACAGGTGGAGGAGGTTCTGGTTCCTTCTCCTCCACCTCTACCTCCTCGTCATATATGAAATAGACCTGGTCACATAAAAAGTTATTTCAAAAACGACATAAAAGGGCAAGTGTCAAAAATACATTATTTATGTAGGAGTTTTCTTGCTCATGACGCTCACTTCACTTCATCATTTCGCGTCCTTCATCATACTGCACATCTTCCGTTATGTCGAGTTTTTACATAAAAGTTGTTATTAGCGGATCTACTTACCAACCGAATGACCACTTAAAATGATTTGTTCAAACATTTTAATTTGGCCAAAAACCATCAACGCCTGAGGTCACACCGAGGGAAGACTCTCATTGAACTGCCCCCCTGTCAAATAAACCCCCTATTGGCTTTGCCCGTAGCTGCAGTAAAGTATTTATTTCATGTGATGTACAGTTGACGCTGCACCGCGTTCCTTTCTCAGCCGGTGGCTATTTTAAACCAGGCCCGGGAACGGCAGCGCCAACAGTTGGTGGGCCGACGCGGTCCTGTCACTCACAGTGTCTCCTTCCTCTCTCACGACATTTTCAGGAGCCGGAGGGTTGTCATGGATATCAACGGAGTTTTTGTCATCCTCCCTGACGCACGGACACAAAGAAAAGCAACACAAAGGCACGCGTTGGATCAAGTTGTGCTGCTACATATCGTTACCTGTGGAAAGGTTCCCTCTCATTGGTTTTTAAACATGTAAAGCTTGAATAGTACTTTCATAGTTGGGGTTGAAATACTTCCACAGGACGACCTCAGGGAGTAACCTGATGAACCGGCATGCTTTGTGTCCGTATCAAATTGCCATTCCGCCTAAAAATAGTTGAGTTGATTGTTCATTCTGGGACAAATCGTGTGACACGTTTTCTCAAATGAACGTTTCCACTTTATTCCTCTTGCATTTGAATACATACTGTGGCAGGACTACGTTGGACAGGAGGCTTCTGTGATTTTCTCTCAAGACTGTAACATTTAGGTCACTAGAATTTGAATGGAAACACGATGAAGAGATAAAAGCCGGAAAAGTAGGGCAAGCATTACATTTTGTGTAGGGGAGGCAAATTAACCGTGTGCAGGAAATATACTCACTGGTCCATGTTGTTGGGCGGATGAAGTCACCACTCTCCCACCTACAAAGAGGTTTTGGAAAACGTAATTTAGATCAGTGGGATAATGAAATAACCTTTATTTAATTCAATGAAAGCAACTGAGGTCAAATCCTTTCAACATGATGAGACAAAAGAGGTTGAATCGACACAAATATTGTATAATCAAACAATCAGAAAGGCATCAAGACATGACCAAGTTGATCCCCACGGTTACAAGAAAAGTTTGTGGTTAAAACCTCTGTTAACGTTTAAAAGGGCTTTGAGAGATGAAGGAAGTTGTTAATGAACTAAACCCCTGTCTCTTTATTTATCCGCAATAAATGGGCCTACAAAAAGTCAGTGTTTATAGTTATATATATATACAGTCACTATTATGTTTGTCATGTATGAATTGTGTCTTTGTTTCTTATCTTTTTTCTTCTATAAAAGGATAATTACTTAATATATACACAGCAGTATTTGTTGGATGCAGAAAACAGACCAGTCCAGTGTAGAAACACAGCACATACAGAGACACAAACCGGATGTATTCGTATGTCTGTGTTAACAACAAAAGTTACATCAAGCTTTGCACTCGCAGACGCACCCAATGGACAAATGTCCTTACCGGTCTGCCCCAAACTATTCTAGGGTTGTGAAATTCAATCTCATCACAGCTAAATGTGGCTGCTCCTGCCAGTCAGGGAAAGAACAGCAAAACTCTTCAAAAGTATAAAGGCAATAAAAATCAGTTCTTGTGAATTGGCAAAGGCATTCTTAATACAGAAGTCATTCAACCGGTATTTGAAAGCTATATGTTATACTACCTTGATGGAAGGAAATAGATTAGACTGACTTGGTTACGGACACATTTAGTGACCAAATAACCTCCAACTTCAAACTGGAACATACCTTTCGTCAAGATCCACGCGGCTACGAGAAGAAACGACAGTATCCGGTGTGGGCAGATCTGCCTGTGGACGAGTCCTTCACCTGCTGCCGATGACCGGAGTGCTGCACAACCAGTGGATCTGAGAGCAGGCGACCAATGTGCCGCCTCGACCGAGGCCCCTCAGATTTATGTGTCAACTCTTGCAAAGTCTGGGTCCCTTGTCTTTCACCTTTATGGCTTTTTAGGTGATTTCCAGGGGTGATTTCCGGCTCGGTTGTGACACGTATTTCTATTTTTGAGTACTTCTGTGTGATTTTGTGCGTGCTTGTGTGTGTGTGTGTGTGTGTGTGTGTGTGTGTGTGTGTGTGTGCGTGTGTCAAGCTGACTGTTTGCAACAGCTGGGGACCTCAGTGTGAGCGCTGACAATGAAGCGAAATCAGATACTTTTCCCTTCCTCTTGCTTGGAGACAGACAACAATACAAAAACCTGATGATAATTTACATGTTCAGGTCCCCTGTAAGTCATTGTGAAGCTGACCGACTTTGGAGGTTTTACGAAGAGGGTCAATGGGTATTTGAAAAAATAAAAAACAATATTCCAATTATTTTTGGAGCGTAAAATGGCTCCACAAATGTTGTTAATGATTCACTTTGAAAATGTAAGATTTGTCCTGATGGAGGTGCTAGAGGAAACATTATCAGGTAACCTCACCGGGGGTCTATGGGGGCTCTGTTTACTTCACCTCTCCCCACATTCTGTGCAGTGTGTATGAACTAGGTTGTGACTACCAATTACATTGTTGTGACTTAATAGGATGCACATTTTCACTCAGAGCTTTGAGGGCCCGATCTACAAGAGCATGGATTAATAAGACGTCCCTTTAAGGCCCCCATTGAGCGTCAATGGCACATAGAGCATTACCAAACGGATTTGTAATGAATCTCATGACCCCACACTAATTGCTATGAGCTGAACCAAAGGGCTCTGAGCACGTTTTATTGGGCAAGGCAGCTTTAGTAAGTTTGTCTGTTTCTGTTATCAGCCTTCAGCAATAATCATTGTGTATCCAGACACTAACAACCACACATGAGCGAGATAAAAAAAATGGTATTGCCGCTGCATTCTTTTTATTAAATACATATTGCAATAAAGGAGAATTATTGCGGATGAAGGAAGGAACACTTGTTTTATTGTCCAGTGTCTCCATGTCCTCTATGAAGGAGCTCTGCATTGATCCGTCTGGAGCACTACAAAGGTCCCGTTGCATGTCGGGTACAATACTCCCTGGGCGCTGAGTGCGCATGCCCAACACAAAACTCCATTATTTTTTTTTTCGCTCGGAATCTGTTAAAAAAAAAAAGAAAAACAGTGGGAAACTGTGAAATTTGGGATTACATGGATCGCTATGGTTGTCGGAATATATTTGAATGCTCGACGGTTTAGCAAAGCAGAGCGCGAGCAGCGGCCGGATAACCGTGCAGCGGGAGCGGGACATCCTTCAGCCTTGTTGGGACCCTACAGAATCAAGTCTTTTCCAGTGAGTAGCTCTGCTAGCTTAGCGTTAGCTGCTAGCGTTAGCCTCCGAAGCCCAGGCGCAGTAAGATGAAGCGTTAGTGCCCCTTTGTTTTTAAATCGGACCGGCAGACGTTACATAAACGCCGAGCGCTGGCGGGTCGCGCCGATGCGCGGGGTTCGATCATGGTACTCTTTATTTTACGGCTATTTATTAGCATCGGCCGTTTTCAAAACATTCTGTGGTTAGTCCGTTAGCTCGCCAGCTAACTCTCGATTCTCCCGCGAGCGAGAGAAGCGGAGACTCCAAAACTTCGCCAACACCGAGAGCTTGACGCAGAGAAAAGGTCGATAGGTTCCTGCTAACATTAACGTTAGCTGACTGTCAGTGAGTAAGTGCAACCTGATCGAACCCAACGCGTTTTTATTTTACCGATCGGTATTGTGTCTTGTAACGTGTAGCTAACACGCAAGAGTTTTCCATCGGAGTGTTTAGTGCGCCTGACAGCTGTCACGACAACAGAGTACAAAGTAGGGTAGCTTACTAGCTTAGCTGTTAGCTTAGCCGATAGCCTTCCTGCTATCCGTCGTATAAGTTAACTTAGATGTTGCACCGTGGCTACACACTGTGGATGTATCCACTGAGTACCACTACAATGTCCTCCCGAGATCTGTTATTTTCACTTCGCTCGCTCGTTCGCTGCGAGCTGCTCGTTTAGGAGCGTTAGCTAAACACCCAGTGAACCAGGGGCCTTTCCAAACACACCCTCCCACTTCAAAGTAGCCGCAGCTTTCTGTGAAGTTGTATTCTTCTGCAGAGAGTAAATGCATCGCATGTGATCTTTTTTTATTTGATCTCACCATCCGCAGGAAATGGTTCATCACACGAGACATTTACCTTGATTGCCCCTGTCACGCTACATAATACAACTACCTTCCTTTTGCAGGCTCTTTATCTACATCCTAGATACTACTCGAATGTGAACTGAACAGTTTAGATCCACAAGACTCTTCATCTTCTAAACTCAGGATCTGGGTGTTTGGGCTTCACGTCGGCTTTCACTGACAGCCTGTGTGCATCTAACCCAGCAGTATGTGCACTGGGCAGTGGATCCCCTAGCCAAAACAGATCCTGGCTTCTCAAAGATGACAAGGTAAGCACTTACACTGCCCGGACATCAAACCAAATCATTCTTTTCTTCACCCCCCCCCAACCACCCAGTGGTGATTTTGGGGGTATTGAATGAGAGACCACACTGTAGACTCTTGATTTGTCAGGACCCCCCCATACATTTAAGAAGTCTAGTGTCTCTGTGGGGACATGGGAGACGGTTGGAAAGTAAGATTGAACACTGAAATAGTGCATTACATTTAATTAGAAGCCTTTAACGTACAGATAAAGGCTTCTAAATTCTAGTAGACTGTCGATGATGGTCACGTTTCGTCGTCTTTTATGTTGACATTTGGTGTTGTGTAATCACATGAATGTGTGACGCAGCTAAATCATGGCATATACATTTAAGTTCCTTATCTTTACAGGAAACATTTAAAATTCTGTTCCACATTTAGGATGCACGTGTTAACCCTGATATACTTGAAGACTTCACAGCACAGACATTTGTTCATTCATTCTATGCATCATTCATGTGCTTATTTCGAGACTTGCATTGAGGCGACAACAAAATACGCTGATTAATTTTAAGTAACTTGTACGTTTATTAGTATTCTTTTGAAGCCTTAGGTCTTGAAAATAAACGTGACTATTTTAAAGCTCAGTCAGGGTGTCTTTACTAACATATATTGAAATGTGATGCTGAATATTTATCTAGTTTTTGAATACTCCACACTCCTTTAGTATGTAACTTCTAAAAAGAGGACTACAGCATTGAGGAAAATGTCATTGTTTTTGATGCATGCAGTGATTTAAAGCCCCTCAGGTCTTTTAAACAAATTCGACCTGCATGTAAAGAGAAGATGCATCAAGACTCTGCTGCTTTTGGAAGGTGCTGGCAGGCCGCAGCTACAAAATGATGGGAGGCAGTGAGACCGTCAGTGGGGACAAGGATGGGGTCCACGCCACAGCAATACACGTCCCCATCGGCTGGCAGAGGAGAATGGAGGGCGGGCAGGTGATCTATGTCAGGTGGGTTGGTTCAGTAAGCAGACGCAGACTCATTACTCCTGCTTTTATTGGTACTTGCGGTTGCGATTTTAATGTTTCTGCTTATGAATGTTTGCGAGTGTTTCATTTATTCTGGAGAAATAGGGATGCTGGTTTTGCACCACATCTTTCATTGGTCAGTGGCTTGGCTCGCGTTTAAAAATTTGACTGGGAGTCAGGAACCTGATCACATTCTGATCAGTTCCTGTATTTTGGAGGCTTATGTTCTCACTGCTTCAAAGGTGGGCAGCAGATTCTGATATTTTTAGTTTACTTTGTTCATTTGCAAGATTTTGCCCTTGTCATTCTTAATCTTTGCTGGACGTTTTGGGGTTGAATTTCTTAATAGTTAATCAATATTTCCCAGATATGATAACGGATTTATTTATATTTTCTCATGATTGGTGGTGATTTTTCTTATGACACAGACTGCAATGAGTGTGCTGAACGTTGAGCTTCTCGTTGTTCACATATCTGAAGTTTTCTGTTCCAATCTTTCCCCGTCTTCTGTTCATAGTCCCAGTGGCACTGCTCTGTGCTCTCTGGACGAGGTCAAGACCTACCTGTTGACTGATGGCACCTGCAAATGTGGTCTTGAGTGTCCACTCATCGTCAATAAGGTACAGTCTATGCTCTTTATTATTTTTTAAATGTGTTATTGTTGTGCTCGTACATTAAGGTCGCCACAGAAACCGGCAAAATAGTCTAAGTATAAAGTTAAAGATATCCAGATAATATCTGGACTTTTGAGCTTTTAGACGTAGCAACTCTGTGACACTTGAATGTGAACTTATATTTATATAAGCAGGACGATGACTTTTGGCCCCTTCAAACTCACTTGACCACAAACATTGTTTGTTCGAACACTGAGAATATCAATACATGTCCTTGTGTTAACCGCAAGTGTTTTGGTATTGCTGTTGATTTAAACATGCTTCCAATATCAGGAATCCTGTTTGCAAACTGTAAACTCGTGGAGATATTAAAGGAGAAAACTACTTATTGGCAGCACTGGAAGATTCAGGCATGTGACGTACCCACGTGTGTTGAATGGAATATCTATGACTAACTTTTTGAATTAAGTTGGTCCAACTGTAGAATCATGGCTGACCTTTTTCTTCATAAAAAATGTGTGTGCACTTTGTCTGCAATAAGCAACAGTCTTTGTGCGCACATTGGAAGTCTATAATACCGCCACTGATGCCTTAACAGTCATGCATTTGATTCAATATTTTGCAAAGAGTTCTCTCCGGATGTTCTCCAATCCTCTTCTGTTTGGCGACGTGCAGGTTTTCAGCTTCACGGTTGGCGTGAAGGTGGAGCAGCACAGCCAGCCAATAGGCAAAGCCGAGCAGGACATGACCAAACTGTGTAACCACCGCCGGAAAGTGGTAGCAATGGCAGCGCTGTGTCGGAGTATGCAGGCCTCACAGCTGCCCTTTGCCAACCTCCATCATCCAGGTAAACGCCGAGTCATGCCTGATACTCCTGCACCTGTGGACAATCACACATAGAAAAAAACCCTTTAAATGATCTATTAATAGCTTTTCTATACATATCCCTCATTATTGTTAAGGTTTCTCCAGACTCCTGGTCATGTGTATTAGATTTGACCACGTAGCATCGATGCTGGTTTGCATTCGCTGCGTGCGTAGTATCCGCCTCGTGAAGAGGGCTCTTATGGGACCATGATCTCACAAATCCCCCCCCAGGACCCGACCCAACCCAAAGTGACTCTGTGGGAGAGCTTTGTCCGTATCGTCATCGTGATGGGATGAATTAGAATTTAACTGAGGCTGTTATTATTGGGCTCAACCATGCATGTAAATAAGTGTTGTTACGGATCATAAAACCGTTTCGGATCGTATCACAAAGCCGCTCTGCAAAAAGGCAGCAAATTTAACTTTTTAGAGATCCGTTATCATGTTTTTTTCATAGTAAATGCTGATCCAGATTGTTTGCTCATACAGCTGGTCTACAAGGCACATGCCACTATGCCAAAACAATTTTTTTCTCATTTAAAGCACAATTTAAATGGTCAGGAAATAAAGGTTTGTAATTTTTATGGATTAAAATCTTGTCATTAATAGTTGTAATGATGTTTTATAAGCTAGTCGGGTTAAACGGCTCATAATTCCCTTTCTAAATGCTATTTCTGAAGTTGTGAAAACATATTGTTCTAACACGTTTCTCACCACCCTGAGATGTGAACATATGATAATGTAATTTTCTGTTGCCTAATACTCCAAACCTTCACTTTCCGCATGTCAGTTTAAAACAGGGTTTTGTTGTTTACAGTAACACCACAGAGCATAAATGCAGATTAACCTGTATAATTAATTTGCGGTTCACATGCGTGTCAAACCGCGCTGGGGGGGGGTTTGTACTGATCCCGGATCACCAGCGGTCCTGTTAAACCACTAATTCTTTGTCCTTCAAAAAACCACATGCCGTCAAAAGACCTATTCAGATATTTCTGTTTACTTTGTCCCTCGCTGCTGTTCCTCCCATTTGCTCTCTGTCTCTTTCTCTCTCGCTCTCCTTGAAGTCCTATCCATCTGGTTTGTGTCTGTTTTATGAAAATCAACTTACATTAACAGAAAATGCTCCATATCCATGTTTGCATATATTTTTATGGATTTCCCTTGAAGCAACGACTGAAAGAGCTGAATGTGTCTGGTTTCCCTGTGAGGGCCATAAGGATTTTCAATAGAAAATGTTCTGGATGTTGCGTGCGATCCGCTCCCCCACAGTCCGTGATGGTCGCTGGTCCTTTGGGAAGCAGGTGGGCGTGGGTCCGAATAAACAAGTGCTGTGGTCAGTGCGGCAGCCGTCTGCCATGCAGAATTAAATGGAAACAGCGATACTTGTGAAGCGTGTTTCATGGACGCTTTGTTTGCTCCGTAGTCTGACAGCGCTCAGAAGAACCGTCCTATTGACGCGTTCCCGTCAAACCGTATCCATTTGTGTTTGTATTTCTAGTTGGTCGATAATGTATTTGAGTTGAAAGGTAGGCTTTTAAAGAATGAGTGTGCCCTCCTCACCGACTACCTCTAGCATTAAAAAAAAAAGTTCCACTGGAGCACGCAGACATTTATTAAGAATTATTTATAAATAATTCTCAGTATTTAGTTTCTACTTTATGCAAGATCTGCTAGGAAAGCCTTTAACGTGACTTCACCATGACCCACGTGTGCCTGTGTGTCCACTTTCAGAGGTGAGCGGTGCAGTGGACAGCCGCAATCCAAAGCGAGTACTTGTGGATCGGGAAGAAGACGACCACAGCGTTTACCATTCCAAACTCCATCCGGTCCCGGCTCGAACCCGCAGCCACCTCCATGTGAACCCCTCTGCCAGCCCCAAATCCTCCCCCCACCAGTTCATTTACCCCAACAATGGCTCCTCCCCTGTCCTCCACGCAGGCACACACTCTAACCACCCCTTAGATGCGTTAAGAAGGCTTCAGCATGCTCCTCCTATTCCTGCCTCCTCCAGCCCTTCCTCCACCTCCTGTTTCCCGGCGTACAGCACTGCCCAGAGGTCACCTCGCACCCCCACCCCTCAAGGTCAAAGAACTCCCAAAACTCCAGAGACTCCAGGTTCTCCACGGCTCGGGCCCCTCTCCACGCCGCCTCTCTCTTGCCCTATGACCATGGGTGCAGGGGGAAGAGGAGTGCAGACTCATCTTCCTCATGGTGTCATTGTGGGAGGCTCCCCCCTCTCTCCATCTCCCTCCCTCTCCCCGTCGGTTCATAACATGAACTGTGTGTCTCCTCGCCAGCGGTCCCGCCACCCTTCCGCCTCTCCTTCTCCTCTCTCTGATCAGGGAGGAGGCCTAACGGCTGCAGGAGGAGGGCCGATGGGAAGTAACATGTCTCAGAGGAGGAAATCCACCTCTTCCTCTCCCGGCTCCCCACTCCCCGGTGGCTCCCCAAACCCCAGCCCCCACTTCCCGAAGTACAAGCTGGAAGACCTCTTGGAGCAGTTCAAGAACTCAGGCAACAGCAGCACTAATAACCACCACCTCCTACTCCCTGCTAACCTTTCCTCACTGACCAACCAAAGCAGTAGCAACCCGAATGCTCCCCCCTCAAAGGCCTCAAAGAGCCCCATGAGCCCCATTTCTCCTTCACCTCTGGGGCCGTTTCTGAGCCACCATCACCGCCATCAGGGGAAGCTGTCCCACCCAACCTCTTTCCCTGCGAGTAGCCTGCTCTCTGCGGCTGCCAAGGCTCAGCTGGCTAACCAGATAACCCACGGCCAGAGCTCAAAGGGGCCCAGCAACCTGGTGAGCCTGCCCTCTTCTCTGGAGGTCCTGCAAGACGGACAGCAGCAGCAACACTCATCCAAGGTAACGAACAGCACTTTACACAGTAGCCACCCTCCCTCCTTCAAAGCTTCTACTAGGCCTCCCCACCCTTCCCTTGCAGAAGCCTCCTCCGTCCTTTTCCCTCCATCCCAGTCGCTGGCTTCCTCCCTGCCCAACCTACCTCCCACAACCGAGCGCAACGCGTCGCACAGGAAGCGGCAGCGGCGATCTCCCACTGTGCTCAGCATGCTGAGAGACACCCAGCAGCTGGCCAATGGGCTGCAGAAGACCCCTCCGGGAGACGGCTCCTCTGCTACAGTCATCAACCTGTCCTCCTCTTCCTCTTCCTTCCCCACCTCTTCGCACTTCTCCTCTACCTCAGCTGTGCACAACCAGAATGCGGCCGTTCTAGAAAACCACCATCACCACCACCATCTATCCGGGCCGACGCCGAGGCTCCCCGTTTCTCGACAGGTGGCGCACCTCCCCAGGCCTCCTAGACAAACCGAGGATCTGGATTTCACCACAGGCCTGCCGCCCACCCCTCTGGGCTTGGACCCTCCCACCCAGCCGCTGTCTGCTCTGTTGCGCCTGCTCAGCGTGCAGAACGCGCAGGCCGCAGCCTCGGCATCGAACTCTGCTCAGCCAGGGCCTGTGGCTCTTGAAGGAGGTGGACACACCAACAAACAGAGCCCGAGGCGGTCGCCCTCGTCTCCCGCCTCTCACTCTACCGCCAGGCAGCCGCAGACTCGCTCACCGTGCCCAACCAGTAACACTAACCCGCTAGCCTCGGCGCTTCGGCCGCTTTCTCCTCCCCCGACTTCCCCTCGGTTCAGATCGGTGCAGTCTCCAACGCGTCCTCTGTCCTCTAAATCCAGTCCTCTACTGAGACATTCTGCTGGTTCGACGACACTGCCCAACTCTAATTTAGCTTTACACAACAGCTGCAGCCCATTTCAGCACGCGTTCCAGACTCCGGACAAGCAGCAACTAACCGAGAATCGCGCTCTTACAATGGAGTCCGTTTCCCAGGAACGATCGCAGGAAACTTCACTACAGGGCACCGGGGCCACTGAGATCGGTACTAACAGCATACATTCATCAGTGGACCTGAGCCATTCTCAAGGCAGTGTCTCTACGGCGATATCCAGCTCCCCAAAGCCTCTTGATCTTAGCAACCATGTACTGGCCCTCCTGGCAGCATCTTCCACCGCGCCCCAGGGGGAGGGCAGCTCCTTTGACAGTACCACCGATGTTGGGATGTCTTCTCAAGGAAATCCCACTGCAGGTGAAGATATTACGTTTTTTTTTTTTCTCATAGGTTATTGATGTGTGTGCACGTGCTGTTTTCTAGCCAACTATTACATACCTGTATGTGTCAACAATCAGGTTTAAATCCTGTGTAAAACACAGCACATTTACCCACCTCCAGGCGCTAATATGTGTTTCCTGATTGATAATTCAGCCCTGACCAGATGTGAATGATTCATGTCTCTCTCACAGGGCTAGATGATCCTAGATGTGTGGATCCGCAGATCTCCATGGTGACCAAACAACATCCAGTAGCCACGAGCCCCGGGGATAATCCCAGTCATCATCCACCTTCAGCTGTGGGTGACGCGCCCTCTCCCTTACCTCTGGCAGAGGCCTTCCCCTTCATGAACCAAGAGCAGCTGCTTCAGCTGCTGTCATCCACAGGGGGTCTACCGTCCCTCCTGGACCCAACAGTCCTGGCGTCATTGCCCCTAGGGGGGCTATGGTTGGGAGGGCAACATGCACAATTACCCCCTGCGACTGCACCACAACCACCACAGACTCTTGCAGAGCAGCAGCAATCCGAGCAGCAGCAGTTACTGATACAACAAGAGGCACAGCAGCACAACCAGGATCAGAAGCAGCTAAACAGCAGTTCTCTGTTTCCCTTGTTGCCCTTGTTGACCGGTGCACAAGGGGAGCTGCCTCTGAACCTTTTGGGCCTGCTGAATCCACTCCCACATCCGGCCTCAACCCCTAGCCCGGGACAGGAAGCTGATTTAGGGCTAAACGATAAACCAAGCCTTCAGGCTTTGATAATGGCGTCCTGGTTGCTCGGGCAACAGCATGCTCCTTTGTTACCTCTATCCGGGCTAGGTCAGTTGAGCCAGGTCAGCTTGGAAGTTCCTCTCCAGCAGCCACAACACATCACTACCACTTTGGAAGGCCTCACCTTGGACAAGGCCTCCGGCCTCCTGGATCCATCAAGCCTATCGGTGGCGGGGCTTTTGGAGGTCGCCCAAGGCCTCCTCCCCATTCCCCCAGGAGCCGAGGGCGCTATCCAAGCCCTACAGTCTCTGCTCCTTCCTGGGGCTCTTCCTTCTTCCCCACGCAGCCTTCCTGCCCCTCAGCCTGCCTTGCTCTCTGCTGCCCTGAGGTTCTGCCGAGCTCAACCCGTCTCCCACCCCCAATTAGCTTCTGCACAGCAAACCACATACCACTCAGGTAGCCTCCCTACCCGATAGTGTTTCCTCTGAGCTCCCTGTAGTTTCCCTATGAGCTCATTTCCTTTAACTGCTCCATGATTTTCCTTTTTAAAAAACTAGTTTTCCTTTTGTAGCTAAATTATTTACCTCCCATTTTTGGGGGGGTTGTTTACAGCCGGTCTTTTACAGACAATTAAAGAATGTGTCCGTCTTGCCAGACTGTATTTCTGACCCCGTTGATACTTTTGTTTCACTCCTCATCGGTCCTGTACTTTACTCTATTTTTAAAGGTACCTACTGATGCTGGTGTTGACACCCTCATCCCGCTCTCCCTCCAAGGCAAAGACAACCCCATCCTCCAACAGTTACTGCCCACTTTGCTCAACTCTGCTCTATTAGGTGAGTCGATGCACACCTTGTGTAGCACATTTTTATTTTAAGAATAGCCTCTGTACAAAAATGTGTTCTCTGTATTAATTCTTGAAACATTGCAGATATTTTGTCTTGGTGAGCCGTTAAATCAGTACAATTATGAAAACTCTTTGCAGGAGATCTTGCTGGCATCACAGGACTCCACAACATGTTGGGGATTGGAGCAGGTTCCATCCTCCTGCCCCCAGTCCAGACCTCCGCTTTGGGCATGCCCCTGCTGCAGGGTCACGATGGAGCAATCAGCTTGCTGAACAACCTCCAGGTAGGTGACTGGCTTGTAGCTCCGGGGCCGAGCCATTCAGGGGGCGGCTTCGCATTTTGAAGTGGCCTTGACTGTTGCTTTTGTTGTTTAAATTGATTGACGTCACAGTGGCCGGCTGTATCAGCTGTCGCTGAAGGTAATTCTAAAAGTAACTAAATGATTTTGCTTTTGATGCGGTGCTCTCTAAGTCGCTACCCACTTTAAAACTGAGTGGACTGCGAGTCAGAGTGAGCGGTCTTCTCTTTATCGGGTCGAGTTGCGTTCACCCAGTGAAACCTATTTTACTTACGTACTCATCTTGTGCTAATAGGCTATTACCTTTATGAACTGAATAGTTTTGGACCAGGACTGTTTTTCTGGCTGGTCTATTGCAGGATTTACTTAAATGGCAACAACGGTGGGTAATTTGCCATTGGATTCTTATTTAACAATGTCGAAATGCAATGTTTGTTCGTTAAGGCTGATTTTTTTTTTTCTTTTCTTTTTTACATTTTTCCTCCAGCTAAACCTTGCACCACCCTCCGAAGGAGACAAGCCAATGTCATTGCAGGAAACGCAAAATCCCGCCCCACAGGAAGACATTCCAGCAAGTCAGACGGCTCCCCAAGGAGAACCCAGTCCCGATCCCGTTTCATCCCCGGCCCATGAACGCAGCCCGCCCCCACAGCGGGTATCTGAGGGCAGGTCTGTTATCGATCCTTACACCTCTTTCATGGACACGATCTATACCTCCTTCCTTCAAGTCAGTGCTAAAGAGCAGGAAGGCAGGGCCCACATGGGGCCATCTGACCCCACTTCACCCTTCTGTGCCTTACCACCGGTTTCTTTCCATGTGGAACATCACACCCCGTCCACCCCTGTTCACACTCTGCCCCAGGCAAGTGCTCCAGTCTCCCTCAGCCCCCGTCGGGCCTGTTCCCTCCACAACACAGACTTATCCCGACTCAGCTTGGAAGCAGCAGCAGCCCATTCCCCAGCCCAAGGGACCCCCAAACCCACAGAGGGCGAGTCTACGTCCCCTTTACAAAGGAAACCGCTCATGGTAGAGGGACATGGACATCCTCAGCCTCCTCTGCCATCCATGTACTTTGAGGAGGCGAAGACAGACTGCACAGGGCCTGCTGCGGCTGTCTGCCCCTATGTGGAGGCCGAGGTAGATAGGCAGGGGCATCTTCCCCATGCGGGGTACCTCAGTCCCAGGGATGGATGCAGTGGGAGGCCAAATGAGGAGGCTGCAGGGACATTGCTGCGCCCTGAACAGGAAAGGGTGAGCGCCTGGGTCTCCTGTTTGCTTCCAACTTCAAAACAACATTTTATATCACAAAGTGGGACTGCATGATTGTCCTGCTGAGACACCCGCATTTAGTAGAGACCAATGACTGTGTGATTGACAGAATGACTGCATTTGTATTATGATTTTACCTCAAAGGATCAGGTGGGAGCAGCAGGTGGAGCCAGAAGAGGAAGGAAAAGGAAACAAACGTAAGTTGTCTTCTTAATAGTTACTACTATTATAGGGAATACTTCTCAGAGGGATTCCCCGTTCAAAGCAAATTCCGGTCGTTCTTCCACTGACATAATGACTATTGGGTGTATTTTATTTATGAGTGTGCTTCCTACTTCTCCATTCAGGCTACAGAATGTGTTAGAAGACTTCAGAGACATGGACGCTACAGCACTAGAGGAAACCAAGGCAACGGTGAGACTCGCTTATGTATTTCTTTAATTATCAGATGGTGTTGTTGACCTGTTGTTGGTTACTACAATCTTACTGGTATTTTCCAGAGGTCTTGATTTTCTTTCCCACGTTAACGCCTAAATCAGTGTCCTTTCCCCTCGCTCCACCATGAGGTTAGTATTTTTCAACTTTTCATCTGCCCAATTACGGTGACGATGGTAAACATATCTGCTAAGCAGGAGTACGTTAGCATTGTAATATCATGGAGTATCATGAGTATTTTCGCAGCATCAAATGGATGCTTTACTCTCTTTTGAATGAGCTTTAAATAAGACCACATTATCTTGGTTGGCAGATCAAGTTGCCGCGTTGTCATACATTTGTACTTTCTTTTGTTTTTGTCCATGTTGCTGTATTTAATTTATTTTTTTACTTCAAATGGGTTTAGTGGTGAGATTGTTTTCACAATTGCCGTTTCCAAGCTCCAGACTGCTAAAACTGCAAAAGCAAGGCACAGAATCTGCACAAGTTTGAGGGGTAGTATTCTGTCTCATAAACTGTACTCTTACGACCCTGTGAAGGAAACCAAAGCAAGATGTGAAGATTAATCTTTTGGTTCCGTAATGGGAATGATGTTGCAGTTCTGACCACCGCAGGGGGGGGATGGAAGGGAATACTGCTGACGTGACTGTGATTCCTGTCTCTGTCATCCTCCAGACGGCACTGCTGAAGCCTGAGAGGTCTGTGCGCGGCAGGAGGCGGCGTGGCGCCCGGTCTCAGAGGCAGTGATTGGCGGAGGGAGCTGTAGGTCAGAGCTGTTCACCAATCAGAGGCCGCCAGACGCCTCACTTTCCCCCGACAACTCTCCATCATCTTCACTATTATTATTATTTTTTTTTTTACTTCAACTGCACTAATATTATGCCGTTGTCATGTCAACCGTTGTCATGGCAACCACTATGAAAAAACACATAGGAGAGATCTAGCCTGATCAGTTAATTTATAAAAATGTGTAAAAACTAACTGAAGTTTTGCGGATATTTTTTCTCTTAGGTCTAGTTCACAAAGTAATGGTTGCTTAACATTTTGATCGGAGATCTGTTAATTATGGTTAAAAAAAAACATGAACTTTCTCTTCTCATCAGTGTATAACTGAGTCAGGTTGAAGCCCAACTACTTGAACGATGCTCTCTGTTGAACGTGTGTCTGTACGTGTGTCTGTACGTGTGTGTGTGTGTGTGTGTGTGTGTCTTTGTGTCTGTTGGACAACAGTGCTGCTGCTGCTGAGCCCTTCACTGTCCGACCGTTAGTGGAAGTTATTTTCATTCTAGGAAATGAGGCCCTATGTGTTATTTCGATAAAGGGTTCTCTGCAGAGAGACACAGTGGTTCTAATGCAAGGAAATGTTTTGAAGGGTTTTCGGAAGGTGCTGGAAGAGAATATAAAAAGAGTTTTTTTCTGTCACAGTAAAGAATATCCTCTATATAGGACAAGCCAAGGAAATAATGTTCTCCTTATCAGGTTTATGAATGCGTTTACATCAGCCATTTCCATCATGATTCCATGTGAGATTCTTCCTTGTGATTTGTACATCACCAATAATTCTCTGAACTGAGAAATCATTAACTTAAAGTTTATTTACCACCTTTGACTCATGAAATGCAACCCGTCAGGAAACCCTGGCAGGTCACTGAGTGAATCTGACGACCTCCATTTATTAATATTTTTAAGGTCCACGATGAATGTGGAACAATCCAGAAAAACTTTTGAGCATCAATTGTCGCTTTTTAGCAGCCCACTTGCATTTCACATGCTGTCATTTGTCACTGTGAATAATTACACCAAGCTGTGGTGTGATGGACCATACACACACCCAAATGTTCACTCCTCGGCGGGGAGATAAATGTCTGGAAAAAGGGTATTTCAGTCTAAAATTAAATATCTGCAGGAAACCTAATTTCATATAAAGTACCGTATGTGATTTGGTTGGTTGGATGAATGAATGAATGGCTGGATGAATTCAACCCAGTGAGCGAGAACGTCTGATGTAGATCTGTTGAGTCTGTGTGTTACTGTGGATATTTGAGAAATATCTTCCCTCTGTCTCTTCATGTCACTGTTTGAGCTCTCCTCCACACACTGCCCTGCCCAAAAGTACTGGCATCTCTTGCTGTATTTAAAGATAAAAAAGAAAAAGAAAGTGAAAAAGAAAGCAGATTATGCAATTTCTACACTTGGAGATTTGTATATATGTACAGTTAATGTGTTTTATTTTGATTTTATATTGTTAGAGAAAGAGACGAGAGAGAAAACAATGAATTGTGAATTTTTCTGGAAATTGTAATTAAGTATTTTTCTCATTCTACCCCTTGCTTTCAATACTTATGTTTAAAAAGACAATTAAATTGTGGACTGTAGCTTTCTTTTTATATGGGAGTCTTTTTTATTTAATATTAAACTATTTACAGAAAATGCACCTTGTGTTGATTTCTCTTCTGATAGGATGTGAGGAAATTGCCTCAAGCTCTCAAACCTTGTGAGTTAAGGATTGTCATCAACAGGAATAACACTGTAACAGGCTGTTACTACAAAATATTAAGACGCTTGAGCTTAACATAGCAGTATATCTGCGGCATTACTGTCAATGGACATATTAAATATGCTCAAGTCCCAAAGATTCTTATTATTAACCACAATTGCAATTAAAGTTCATTAAGCTGTGTTTTTGGACCAGTTTTTTATTCCGGTTCTCTTAAATAATAACGCATTTAATTAAAACTCGACCAATCTATATGGGGATGCAGATAAATATATAATGGAAGCTCTGTTGCCTTTGTTCACTCATTTTAAGTATTTCTTGGTGACGATTTGACATTGTGCAGCATCATCCCAGTCACACCGGACACTGATGCTGCTTCAACGACCCACACATGAGGTCATTTAATCACTAATCTCCACAGCATCTTTACACCTTCCAAGAAATGCAGCCGTGTCGGAGAAGGGCCGAAGCACGACTGAATGAATCCCCGCATCATCGGGCCTTTCGGCCGCTTCGCGTGAAATAGCAAGGTTATCCATGACGTAACGACGGACGGAAAGCACGTGACGCCACGTCGCTTCCGCCTGACACGCGAGGGAGGTGATGCCGTGGGTACCACCTCAAAGAGACGGATGCGGACCACGCCCTTCCTTTCCTCGCCGATAGGGGGCTCTGTGGCGTCCATCGCAGGCCGATTCCTCAGCAGCAGCTTTACCCCGCTGCCCTTCCAGCAGCATCTCACCTTCAGCCCGGCCCGACGCACGTCCACCGCCGCAGAGCAGAACCGAGAGGGAGAAGAGAAAAGAGCAACATCACAGTCGGTGGTTTTAATGATGTAGTCAGTCGGTATTTGCTTTGACATCTAATTTAGTCCGCCCGAACCTCTCTGCGACAAGGAAAGACCGTCCAGCTGCGCACGAGCCAAGTCGCATCCTCTCGAAGCCGTCCAGCGTCCACGCGGTCCATCCGACGGAGAAGGACAAAGTCACCGCGCACGGCTCGTCGTTTATTTTTGACGGCGCCATCGGCCCGATCAGCGTCCATCTCCAGCAGCATCTCTGCGCTCAGCAGAAAACAGCATCCTTCCTCCGCCGCCGCCTCCTCCTCCTCCTCCTCCTCGAATCTGCGCCATGGCCGACGTCCCTGCGGAGTGTAACATAAAAGTGCTTTGTCGCTTTCGTCCTCTCAACCAGTCGGAGATTGTTCGTGGGGACCATTTCATCCCCAAATTCCAAGGAGACGACACGGTCCTCGTCGGGGTGAGTCAATGGAGGCGCTTTGTTGTGCACGGGGGGCCCTTCATCAATAAATCATCAGCTCCACTCATCCGTTTTGGGTCGTGGCCGGACGGGGGGAAAAAAACACCACGATCAGTGAAGTGTGATACCCCCCCCCCCCCTCCTCCCTCCCTCTCCCCCACACCAAAAATAATCTTTTTCCTTAACATGACGAAGCATAAATGCGTGTAATGTTGTCACATAGTGCGTAACGTGGCCTCCCGCATCAGCTGATGCGCTCAGCACTCTGCGGCCTGCGATGGTGCGCCTTGTTATTGTAAACACACATCACTTCATAAAATGGATCGTGCGAGATGCTACACAACACAACACACTTTCACAACAGTTGAATCAAATCTTCAGTCAAAATTGTAGAAAATGATTTTCATACAGTTAGGTTATCCATGACGTAACGACGGATGGAAGCATGTGATGCTAACTTAACTTTCTTGCACAAATTGAATTATTCTAAGAATTTAAGGTGTTATTTTTAGAATTATCAAGGGAACAAACTGACTTGTTTATGTTTTAAAGAAACAGACACTCATCTTAGATTTTGTTGCATCACTTATAAATAAACGGGCAATTATTATTATTACATTGACTTGAAATTCAGAGAAATTATCCGAGCAACAATCCCCAAATAATTTCAAATACTATCAGCATACACATAAATCACAACTTTGTTTCATGCAAGTTGTATTGAAAATATGCACACATGGAAATACAAATACTTTTAGATGGCATACACAAGCTCCTTCTTCTCGTTCCCTCCAATAATTAAAACAAACAGAACGTACATCATCCTTTCATATTAGATTCAATGTTATGAGTAGATCACAATTTTCAGAACATTACACATATTCAGGCTATCTCAAGCGGCCCAAAGGTGTATTGCAGATATAAATGTTACATTAACTACTAAATTCAAATAGAATAATTTTGGATACCCTAATAACATCTCCCCTTTCTTCGTCTTTGAGTCAGGAGAGCGATAGTAAGCTTTGGTTCTGCGGAGGGAGGGGTCATGATTTTACTTTCTTTGGCCATCTCGGCCTGACCGCCGTCTCTCCTCTCAGCAGGACGATGGACGACAGAGTCAGAAACTGATCTCTCAAATTGCTCACAGAGAAGATCAATAATCACCCGACAATCTAATGCTTCACAGGTCGAACTGCTCCTTCCTGTCTCTGGTTTCGACCGTCTCCTCTTCCATGCAGTCTCACTCTACTGTTTCTGTCGCTCCAGTTTCTGTCACTTTGACCCTCACCCTTTGCTCCACCCGTCACCATTTTAATTTCTCGTTTCCTCCCCCTTCTTCAGTCCCTCCCCCCATCCGTCCCTCCCTGTCTCTGGTAAATCACTCTGGTCTGCAGATGAGTCAATTTGTTAATGACGTTTGGGGAAAATTGATCTCATGCACTCTGTGACCTCTCCCATGATTACATTTAATACTGCACCTGTTCTATCAGCTCATTGTGCCATTCTGTCACATTCAGGGGGTTTAATAGCGTGATTTCTGCAGCAGTGGCTCATCGGGGCCGACTCAATCGTCTGTGTTTCATGCAAGATTGCTCTTTGTTTTAGAACTGATTTATTTTGCAAGTATTCCTGCAGATTTTGTTTCTTACGGTCATATAACATTAGAGCAGAAATCAGGGTAAAAATCAAGGAACATTTGTGTGTTTGTTGTTGTAACTGTAACCTGTAACTGGCTATTGGAAAGAATATTTGGAAACATCTCAAACTTACTGCACCTTTCATTTATTTGAATGCACTGAGAACCAAATCCTGGTCTCCATTATAAACCACCTTATGTTGTGTTTTTTGTTAATTGTTTGTTGTGGTTCACTCACAGGGGAAGTCCTACGCCTTCGATCGAGTGTTTCCGACCAACACCACCCAGGAGCAGGTCTACAACACCTGCGCCAAACAGATTGTCAAGGGTACGGATGATTGGGCAGGTTATGTCAGATGTTTGCAGTGTTCAGATCACATCTCTGTAAACGCCCAAGTCAGGTCTTATCATTCTGAACATCTAATTTACAAGTTATGACACACAGTTGTAGCTTTCTATTAAACCCTCTGAATAAAGCAGATTAACTACAGAGCTGCTGAGGTGATGTGACACCTGCCCCGCAGTAAGAACGCCGCCAATTTCCTTTGGCATCCATTTTAACATTCTACTTACTAGACTTTGCTTTGCCAGGCGGCAGAATACATCAGTGAGGTTTTAACTCCCAGTTGTGCAAAAAGGCCTCTCGGATCAGTCCAGGTTTGCGGTCCGAGGGTGAATAAGCGTTTTCTGTACTGGCACCTGAGCTCTGGTACCTTCTTCCACGTATCGATCTGCTGGCACGGTTTCCGCTGTCTAATCCCGTCTCAAGACACATACGGCGCCCTGTTGTGAAACACTTGATTTTAATTTTGTTGGAAAAGTTTAATCTCTCCAACCTTTAATGGGTTTGAAGGATTTATCTGTACATGTATTTTTCTTGCATTTCTTTATATTTTGTATTGGTGTTAATATACCCTCTAATCAAAGCACTTTCTATTCCCAGCTTGAAAAATGAGATACAAATAAAGATGATTGTTTGTTTGTTCTTTTGTCCTGTTTCTTCTCATAGATGTTCTGGGTGGATACAATGGCACTATCTTCGCATATGGACAAACCGCCTCCGGGAAGACTCACACCATGGAGGTACAGTGTTCAGAGCAATTAAGCAACTTGATGTCTGCGTTGATTTACGTTTTTTTCCCCATCTCCTATTAAGGCTCACTAGAGACTGGTAGCAGGTCTCACAGTGTCTTTCTATGACACCACAGCTACCAGAATAGCACTTTGAATTTTTTCTGCCGCGACATTTACTTTGGTCAGCTTGGATCCAACAGTCGTTTTATGAGAATTTAAAAGCATTATTGCATATAGTCGCCATTTGTTCTCCTGTCAGAATCACAATCTCAGTCTTACACCATTATCTGTGACTTTCAGGGCAAGCTGCATGACCCTCACCAGATGGGGATCATTCCTCGCATCGCTGAGGACATTTTCAACCACATCTTTGCCATGGATGAAAACCTTGAATTCCACATCAAGGTGGGGTATCTGTGCTGTGTTGTTCTTGTGTTAATCCTTCCTTCCATGTTTGGATCAATATCTTCTGTCAGCAAACAGTTCAACAAAAGAAAACGTGCGTTCACTTTTTATTTATATAAAAAAACAATTTCTTTTACACAATTACACCTATTTTTCTTTCTTCTCCAACAGGTTTCCTACTTTGAAATCTACATGGACAAAATCCGTGACCTTCTGGATGGTTAGTGTAAATTTGACTTTTTATGGAATGTAAAATATCCCGTCTTCTGAATTGTCCGCAGCAATTGTTTTCATCCAAAAAGCTGTTTGTCGGATGTGCTTTGAAATATTTTGAGGATGTGCAGAAATCTTGCTAAAACAATTACATTTATTTATAGATTAAATAAGGTATAGATGCCATATACACATTCAAAGAGTTTACTTCACCTACCTACAAAAAGTAAACAAGTAAAAAATAATGCCAACGTGTGTGTTAACTCAACAAGAATCACATAAAAGTTAAGTTAATTTGCACTTAAACACATTATTTGAAAAAGTAATACATAGAGTTTTACTTATATATATATTGAATTGTATGTACATATTTGTAATAGTCACCTGGCACCTGAATGGAGTGTTTCCCTAAACATAAACCTCTAATTCAATACTTTCTCTCTTACTTTTATTTTAGTGACAAAGACCAACCTCTCTGTGCATGAGGATAAGAATCGGGTGCCGTTTGTCAAGGTTTGTGAAAGTCCTTTGTATTTTTGGGTGATCATCTTCCCGTGAGGTTCGTCGCGCACATGATGTTGAATCCTCTCCTCTCCCCTCGTCCCCTCCCTCCTCTCCCCTCGTCCCCTCCCTCCTCTCCTCAGGGATGCACTGAGCGTTTCGTCTCCAGCCCTGACGAGGTGATGGATGTGATCGACGAGGGGAAAGCTGCTCGCCACGTTGCTGTGACCAGTGAGTCTAAAAATATGTTGTTGCAACACAAGCTATAAAGTACATTTTCCAATTATTAATATTTTCAATATAACTGACAAAAAACATCACAAAAGGCAACAGCTCACAGTAAATCATTTTTAGATGTTCACAATAACAGAAGAAGAATAGAATCTCTGCCCGCAGCCATCATCCCAATAAAATCATTCCTAACAAACAGAATCCGCTCGTCTAGCATCTTTAAAATGAGAGCGCTGCGCTTAGGCTCGTTAATAATATCTTTGTTCCAATACTGTTCATTACAGTATAAAAACGCAGCTAAAAATAACATGTGACCTAATTACCAGTAAACTCAGTGATCACTACTGTTGAGGCAGATTTTGTGTCACTTAAATAAAACCTTTGTGCATTAATATTCCTGCTTATCAGGTCGAGTCCTTAATCACTTTAAACTGAATCCCTGCACTCCGGCTTCCTGACAACGATGACGCATGATGGTCTCAGCCTGCCGGTAATAAGAGATGAATCACAGGTCACAGTGGACTCACACTTCAAACAAAGTAAAGTTGGCGACACTTTAGAAAAAAAGGCTACAAATTATATACCTAAGTAATATTTATAATTATTTAATGCCTCAATTAATGCAGGTCTTCAGAGAATTCATGTTGCTCACCATTAAAACAAGTCAATATGACTTTGATGAATGTTCGTAGTTACGTTGCACCACATGCAACATGTGATTAATTGGATCATATTTAATTATTGATAGAAAGGGGGAAGTCATTTCCAGAGCTTTTTGTGTCTTAAAGGGTGAAAGAAGCCAAGTGGACTCAAAAAAAAAGAAAAGGTTTGTAAGGTTGTAATTTGAAGATGAAAAGCTCAGACTGCTGGTGTAGGTCTGATGATCATCTATCCATTGAGCAGTTCGTCCAGTCAGAACAAGAAAATAGTGTCAGACTCAATTCATACTTTTAACATTGAACTGTGGCTCCAAAGGACCTCTGTTCATGTGAAATTGGAATAAATATTCATATCCACCTTTATGATACAACTTTAATAAAGAGCGTCATTGTAGTGTTATATAACAGGCAGGCATAGATGAGATTAGGCATAAAGGGGATTAGGCATAGATGGGATTAGGCATTATTTTTGGATTCTACAGATTTCAGAGCGGATGCAAAGACAAATCTCTAAATTGTGACAAATTAGATAGATGTTAGACCAACATACTAATGCAATATTTACTTAAATTAAAAAAAGGTTAGCTCATTAGAGCAGCAATAATAACAAATATCCTAATAATGAAATCCTACGACAATCTGTCTTTGAAAAGCAGCTGCCTGCGAGCGGCTCGACGCTTCCTTCACAAGCAGCGCAGTCGTCTCTGCTTCCCGGTGGAGGGCTGCTGACTCACTGCACAGTGCTGCGCTAATAACAGATATAGTCTTACTCTGTGAAATGACAATGCTATTCTTCCGCAGTAATGTCTTGTCCTGGTGGAAAGAAAAGATGTGGATGACTTCAAATACAGAGATAAATTACTACAAATGAATCAGTTATTACTTTTACTACAGGGAGTTGCATTTATCCTAAAATGTGCTGGTTCTACTTTAGAGAGAGGAAGGTAAATAACAGATTGTATGTTTTGTTCCTTCACTCAACTTGCTTCCTAAAGGCTATCGTTTGGTTATATCCATTTCAAGAATTCTTTATGCTTCTGAAAAGCGGGTTTAAACACAGATTTGAACCACAAAACAAAGACTGCCTTCTTCTGACCAACCAACGGTCGCTTTTCTTCTGTCTTTGTCCAGACATGAACGAGCACAGTTCTCGCAGCCACAGCATCTTCCTGATCAACATCAAGCAGGAGCACGTGGAGACGGAGCAAAAACTGTGTGGAAAACTGTACCTGGTGGACCTGGCTGGCAGCGAGAAGGTAGAAGACCCTCTGCCTTAAAGATTGATTATGGATAAACAACTCCCGACCTGCAATTCCGTCTCCCGTGAGGTTTTCTTTAGCTGTTAATCGGCCATGTTTCATTCTGCTGACTCTCCTCCTTCACTCCAGGTCAGTAAGACTGGAGCTGCAGGAGCCGTCCTGGATGAGGCTAAAAACATCAACAAGTCTCTCTCTGCTCTGGGAAATGTCATCTCTGCGTTAGCTGAGGGCACGGTGAGCTTTCTTAACACCACCTACCGGTATTTGGATGGACAATGGAGTAACAATTAAGACCGCCCCCTTTTTATCTCCTGCAGAAAAGTCACGTGCCGTACCGTGACAGTAAGATGACCCGCATCCTGCAGGACTCCCTCGGAGGGAACTGTCGCACCACCATGTTTATTTGCTGTTCTCCCTCCAGCTACAACGACGCAGAGACCAAGTCCACTTTGATGTTTGGACAACGGTAATTACATGTGGAGACGGCGAGTGCAGCTTGGGAAATACTATGTTTCTCAAAGCATGAGAACCAACTTCTTTTCAGAGTATTCTCACATGCTGCCATGTTTTTCAGTAAAAACACAAAGTCTGATGATCTGTCACTTCTTAATAAACTGATTCATGTCTTTCCACCCCGTATCTCTCTGCCTTCCTCCATCACAGTGCCAAGACCATCAGGAACACCGCCTCCATCAACCTGGAGCTGACGGCGGAGCAGTGGAAGAAGAAGTTTGAGAAGGAGAAGGAGAAGAACAAAACTCTGAAGGATACTATCCAAAAGCTGGAGATTGAGCTCAACCGCTGGAGAAACGGTGAGATCCATTGAGTGTTTTCTGACCAACTGAACTCCTTCATTTCAGCTACGTAACTTTAGCTCTTCTTTGATGAAATCACTAACAAAACTGTCTTATCGTGATGTCCTCTTTGTCCCCAGGAGAGAACGTGCCTGAGACCGAGCAGACCAGCCAAGAAATAGTGACCCCTTTCGAGACAGTCGAGGAGCGTCCTATTTTGGACAACGACACCTCCTCCATTGTTGTCCGCATTTCCGAGGAGGAGCGGCAGAAGTACGAGGAGGAGATCCGCAAGCTGTACAAGCAGCTGGATGACAAGGTCCTGCTCCATAACATGCACATACTAACGACAACGGACTGTCTGTACATTTAAGTAATGCAATCTCAATTGCACCATGCAAATTAAGATGTTATTTTGTTAAATGTAAAACGGAAAATAAATGTAAAACGGTCATAGATACGGTAGATGAAAGCCTATAATATTCACACAGGATGATGAGATCAACCTGCAGTGCCAGTTGGTGGAGAAACTGAAGCAGCAGATGATGGACCAGGATGAGGTGAGTCATCACAAACTCACACGAATAACTACACACTGTATGTGCGCATTGAATATTTAACACCAAGCTCCAGAATAGCATAATTTGACAAAATGTTGATTATTTAATATCTTTACTGTAATTTGTCCCCCTCTCTTTTCGTTCCCTCCCTCCAGCTTCTGGCATCATCTAAGGGCGATGGGGACAAGGTGCAGGCCGAACTCGGCAGGCTTCAGGTGGAAAGTGACTGCGCCAAGGCTGAGGTGAAAGAGGTGCTGCAAGCGCTGGAGGAGCTGGCCATCAACTATGACCACAAGAGCCAGGAGGTGGAGGAGAAAGGCCTCCAGAACCAGCTGCTGGCCGACCAACTGTCCCAAAAGATGGTACGTTTTAACAAGGAGATGTGAGCTTTACCAAAGGAAAGCTAAAATCAGAGACAGTTGGTGGACCGGAATGGAGCTCAATTGCTTGCTGTTTGAAAAGGAGTGACGCCGAGAGCGAAAAGTGGTCGGTAGCAGGTTCCTTTTTCGGTCATGAAAATACTCATTTATATGTAATTTGCATGAGGAGAAGGAGGCGGGTCCATGTTGCTTAATACCAACTGAGATCGACTTGTGCCGTTCTGAAAAAGGAACCTGGACCACTTTTCGCTCTCGGCGTCTTTTCTAGCAGCAAGCAATTGAGTTCCATTCTGGTCCACCGACTGTCTCTGTATTTTTGCTTTCCTTCCTTCTGCCAGTGACCACTTGCCGTTCCCGGCGCTACTGGAGTAAAGGGTGAAGCTTCTCTGATCCTCTCCGCGTCATCTCTTTTTCTCTACAGGCCAGTCTGATGGAGCTGGAGGCAGAGCTGTCCCGTATGCAGGAAGTCAGCGGGCAGCAGAGGAAACGCATCGCTGACGTCCTCAATGGTCTGATGAGGGACCTCAGCGAATTCAGCACCATCGTGGGCAACGGGGAGATCAAGCTGGTGAGTTGGACCTAAGAGTAAAAACATGTTTAAATCAAGGGTAGAAAAGTCCATAAACTCTTTGTACTCCGTACAACACATAATAGAGTGAGGGTTTTTTATATTGAGTGCCATGTTTGTCCTGACTGGAGGAGAAAGTATGAAAGTGACAAAAAAAAAATGTCCCCCAAATCCTCAGCCGGTGGAGATCAGCGGTGCGATCGAGGAGGAGTTCACGGTGGCTCGCCTCTACATCAGCAAGATCAAGTCGGAGGTGAAGAGCATGGTGAAGCGCTGCCGCCAGCTGGAGAACATGCAGCTGGAGTGCCACCGCAAGATGGAGGAGACCGGGAGGGAGCTCTCCTCCTGCCAGCTCCTCATCTCTCAGGTGGGAAGGGATGGAAGACATGCAATGGCTGAAAGTTAGTTTGAGGTGTTTCTAAAGCACTTATTTTTGTGCCCCATGCAGCATGAAGCTAAGATCCGCTCTCTGACGGAGTACATGCAGAGCGTGGAGCAGAAGAAGAGGCTGCTGGAAGAGAGCCACGACTCCCTGAGCGAAGAGCTGGCCAAGCTGCAAGACCAGGGTAAGGAGGGTTGTGTACATGTGCACCCAAAATACTGTTGAAATATTAAAGAGTCCACTAAAGGAAATGCGGAACAGTTTAGCCATCCCCGTTCTGAAATTGCCTCAAGATGTTATGAGGCTGCATCTCTGTGATGAATGCGTTCTCTCTCTTTGTGTGGTGCCAGATAACTCCCTGCTTGAGGAGAGGGATGGAGAAAAGGGTGAGATCGAGGAGGGAAATGTGAAGGTGAGACGTGTTGTAAGGCTGTTTATTTGTGAGCATCTGAGTTGATTGGTTCAAGTCGTGATATGGACGGTATTGGTTTCAATGTCCAGAAGGTTGCACGCCAGCAGGGGGAGTCTCACCGTGGCCTCCATCACCAGCAGCTGGCCCGCCTCCGGGATGAGATCAATGAGAAGCAGCGGATCATTGATGAGCTCACTGAGTCCGTGACAAATATTATATACAACATCGCATTCGTCTTTTTATACGTTATTCTTTGCATTCATAAATGTTTGTTGAATAACCAGGCTCGCTGTTGCTCTTCTCCTTTTCCGTCCCGACCACGTGGGCTTTTGCTTGCGTCTCCAGTCGTAACTCCAAGCTGGAGCTGGAGCTCGCTCAGGTTCGTGCTGACTTTGAGCGCCTGAAGAGTCAGGACACCACCAAGACGGAGCGCCTGGAGGAGCTCTCGTGAGTGTTGTGGCGGTCTTCCAGTGTGGTTAAAATAGCTCCGTCCTTTATGTGAAATAGAGCTAGGTAGTTTTATTAGAGATCGTGCAAACATTTAAGTATGGAAGTGATTAATTGCTGTCTTTCTTCTCTTAAATTCCAGCAGATGGCCCGTAGCACATAGATACTGATTGTCCTGGAGTGCATATAAATATTGTCCTATCTAAAGATGGTTTTGCTGTTTCTGTCAGATTCCTGCACGAGCGCCATGAGCAGACTAAACAGGACTTGAAGGGTCTGGAGGAGACTGTCGTGAGTAAAATATACACCTCTACCTGTGAACATTGCTCTGTTTCTTCTCTCTTGTGTCACCTCAGTGTGTCCTCTTCCTCTTGTAGCACCTTCGTCTTAACATACAGAGCTGTCTTGCTCACTTTTTTCCCATCTCTGTCCTCCAGGCCCGCGAACTCCAGACCCTCCACAACCTGCGCAAGCTGTTCGTTCAAGACCTCACGTCGCGGGTTAAAAAAGTAAGCAGCCCCGGTTTATGAGCGGAGGCAGTTTTAGGATCGTTTTAAGGAACATGTGTGGTCGGAACCCCCGATAAAGACATCGCATGGTGTAGCAACATTCCTCTAACTCCTCTCATTCCCTTGACTTTTAGATTTTTAACTAAATACATTCACTTTTTGCGTAGACTAGTGGATTAAAGAAACACTTTTAAAAGGTTTATACGGTATGGATTGTTTTGTTATGCACAATTTACTATATATTTACATTTCTGATAAGGTGGTTTAGTTAATTTGTGATGTCAGTCCGACAGTCATCTTCAAAGCAGCTTAATTAAGGTAATCAGTCAGTCACTGGTACTTCTTTCTCGCTTTGTCTTCCTCTCTGCAGAGTTCCGAAATGGAGCCTGATGATAGCGGGGGGTCTTGCACCCAGAAGCAGAAGATTTCCTTTCTTGAGAATAACCTGGACCAACTTACAAAGGTTCACAAACAGGTGAGAAGGCAGAAAGGATAAGAGGAACTGTCCGTTTAGTGATGTAAACACAGTCCGCAGTTTAGATTGTATAAAACCAGATGTAATTGTGATATTTTCACCAATAAAGCTGTGGGGCCATTTTTGCAGATCATTTCCCTGTTAGTGACCTCTGAGGGTGCATAACAGAATGACACATTTATTGCTATTTTGAACCTAATTCAAGTCATGTAATTAGTATGTTACATTACATGTCATTTAGCTGACGCTTTTATCCAAAGCGACTTACAACAAGGTTCAATAATGTTCAAAGCCCACAAGTTGTTTGTGATGTAAACAAATTACTAAACATCAACGTATTGCATCACATTACTGTAATTGTATGTTGTTTTGTGTTTTTATTTGAGCATCTGTCTGTGTCATATTTGGCAAAATATCTCCTCATTCACTATTCTTCCTCCCGCATTCACCCCTCCCAGCTGGTACGTGACAATGCAGATCTGCGCTGTGAGCTTCCAAAGTTGGAGAAACGTCTTCGGTCTACTGCTGAGAGAGTTAAGGCCCTGGAGACTGCACTGAGGGACGCCAAAGAGGGCGCAATGATGGACCGCCGCCGCTACCAGCAGGAGGTCGACCGCATCAAGGATGCCATGAGGGCAAAGAGCGCCCTGAGGCGCCCGCACGCAGCACAGATCGGTACTGCAGCGAAGCTCTCTCGTTTGACTTGCTCTTGCACGACATTTGAGATGTGACTTTCTTTTATTTAACCTCTTTAAACTTCAGTTACCCATTGCATCATAGCTGCGCCCTGAATTTATCATCCTGACAGCCAAGCCAGTGAGACCGAAGCAGGTGCCCGTCTGCTCCCCCACCAACCCGTTCTACACTTACATCCGTGCCACCGAACAGGCCAACACCTACAGCAACGCCTGCTTCCAGGGCAACGGGACACAGCCGAGCGCCCCGAGCGTCCACTGCAACCCCAACTCTGTGCAGAGCAACGCGTGAGTCCAAATCCTTCCCTCCACCGTTTCCAAGCCAAGTCAAGTGTGTGACAGGCGACAGAAGTCGCTGTGGTCTTCACCACACAGCATCCCGTTGTGTTATCTGATTTTTTTGATGCACTGTTGAGTCATTTGATTATAGCCTAAATCTGGCAGGCTTTTCCCTTTGATATTAAGTATTGCTTTAACATTATGTTCCTTTTTACTCTTACTCCTTTTAGATTTTTTAGTGTCCCTCATATTTAACTGTCTTTTTTCCCTTTTCTCCTGTGGTATTTCCACAGAGTGTCCACAGCGCTGGGCTACAGAGCAGGCAGATACACTGGAGACATACTGGAGTCCTTCCCACTCAACATTGAAAACGGTAAGAACAAAAGCCCATGTACACAGATCACGTTAAGCATCCTAGATATTTATTGTCAGTAGATCAGTGTCCTTTTTGTGCTCTTTATTTATTTTATAGGATTTATAAATAATTGATCAATGAAATTAAAGTATTGTTTTTATTCCAACAGGTAACAACACAAGTGAAACGAGAGACATCAATGACAACAGGTGAGGATGTCAGTTAGCTGTTTAATATTTCCGGTCACTTTAAATAACTTTTATCTAGCTTGGAACAAATCAATTTTGGAGTTTTTGTTGTCAATTTACGTTTAGTTTGTTGCGTAATGACTGTTGCGTTTCTTCTATAACAGAAGTGATGTTCACTGTGGCAGCGAGGTGGATGATTCAAACAGGCATTACATCATTCAGCAGGAGACCGCTGCGAGTTAATGCCATGGTAACTAACTAACCACACAAAGTCACACGCAGGCACACTCGCAAATCTTCTTTGTCCGCGTGCCAAAGCAAGAGAGCGGAGAAGAGTGTTAGCAAATTGGTTTTCTTAAGAAAACTGCTGTGAACTTCAAAACGGCTGCTGGGTAGTTTGAAGAATCAGCGTCCAACGTTATTTCATACTTTAGAAAATCTGTGGGGATAAAAAGCAAAGGAAACAAAAGAAAACATTGCGATGGTCCTTTAATAAGAAACATCCGACAGAACTGTTACCGGATTTCTGTAATTCTCCAAACGCTGACTTCCTTTTATTTGCTTTTCCAGAAGATGACCAAAAACTGTTCCCGTCCAAGGATCCTCCCGTGTGCATGCAGCCTGTCTCCCCATCCCTCCACTGCATCAATGATGAAGATGATGACAACGAAGACCTGTAGCCCCTGTAGTCTTCAAACGTAACGGACTTAACCTCCTGCTCCAACGGTCACCACCTTCAGGTTTGAGGTCCAGTCTCCTTCCAGTTCAGCCAGCACAGGAAGTAAATTAAATCACATTTGTTTTCCTCTTATAAAAACAGGAATTTCAACTCCACCAATCTCACCGTCAATCAATTTGTCACAAGATATCGCTGACACCGAATACCTCCTGATGTGGTTGAACTGAAACAGGGCTAACTCCATCCCTGACGATTTAGGATGTTGTAAATAATAGAGCTGTATACTCCAGTAGAGGTTTCTGACCAGCAACTGTTTGTGTGAATGCACAGCCTCCCTCGTCCCCTGCACACACCTTCTTAACGGCATCATGTGAATGACACACTGTAGGCAGACGTGACCTTTATTTCTCTGTCGTAAATAACAGTATAGTGTTTAACGCCGGGCTTGTAACAGAAGACCCACACTGCATGTCGCGTTGCGGGTTAGCTTTCAAATCTTTGCATGTGTCCTGATTCCAGTCGGGAGTTGGAATGCTGCGGGTGGACAGTCCGATCGACTTCGACAGGTGTAATAGAGAGAGAAAGAGAGAGAGAGCTGGCGTTCCTTAATCCCGATCATGGTTTCCGTGCTTTAGATTCTCCACTTTAAAGCAAAACTCGGCTGTTGCGTAAATGTGGCTTTAACACTGGAAGAAACCACACTAAACACATTGGGGTCTAGTTTTAATTAAATAGATGATGCGGCCGTGTCGGGGAAGCCCAGCCCTGACTGAACAGCATGTGTCCAGGAAGCTGCAGCGATACTGCGATGTTGCAGCCGTGTGATGCCGTTGTACGTTTCAGGTAACGACGCCAGCATCAATGCATCCCGGCTTTCTCCCTCTGCTTTGCGCCCACACCTTGTTAGTCTTCATAGCGAGCCTTAACAGCAGATGACTTCTCAAGATGATCAAGCGCATACATCTGTAGTTACTACCTCTAGAGCTGCTCATATAAGCTTAATACACCAACATCTTTTCAAACGCTTAATAGAAGCTGATCTTAGAGTTTCTGTAGAAAGCAGCAATAGCTGTGAGTGGATTTAACAGATCTTATTAGAGCAGTAGTTATGTTCTCCTGAAGTTCATTTATACACAGATTCCTCCTCCATCATGCAACCAGATCAGGACTGAAGAACAAAATGCAAAATGTTCTATTGCAGCAGAGATGTAGTTTGGTTCATTACATCAGGGCCGATCTGACAGTGTCAAGGTATATGATGCGGACTAGCACTGAAATTATAACAATCCCTGTCGCGTTATGTTTAAAAACAGAAGTGAAGTAACCCCTTTTGGTCTAACTGGAATTTATTCAGTGATTTGTGCGTTTTAATCTGATCAAACAATCCCGTCCAATGCTGAGTGACTGCAAACAAGTCTCCAGCTGAGCAGGTACCAGTCTGGGACGAACATACAGCAGCTGTTTGTCGCATGTCGAGGCGTTTCTTCTGTCAGAAATCCTGACCAGCCAATCAGGAGGGAAGAAACCAGCGCGTCTCAGGTGCGTCACAAAGACGTGGATGTGTTTGGACGAAGCTCAGTCACTGGATTGAAGGACAGATTAAATCCAAAGTGTGTCGCTCTCAAAGGAAACAAACACAACAATGAACCAGCTTTTGCGCGACTAAACCTTCCACGTTGAATAATGTTAAAGTTCAGTGCGTTTCATTGACTGTAAATTAGCCCAAATAGGACCTAAGAATGTTAAGTGAAGGTCAGCTGATCCTTAACAGCCGCATCCACGACAGGTCTCAACTGGCATCAAGAACATCTCAGGGCTTCACGTTCACAGCCACCACGCGTCATCGCCACCGTCATCCGGAGGGAGTTGCTCATGTACATTCAGGCCGGGTTGTGTTCTTTGAAGTTAAACAGAAGGGATGATACATCTACAGATCTAACTTTATTTTATGCACAGTGTATAAAATCTCCATTCCAGCATGTGACATCCAAAAAAAAAGTGAAATCCCTCTGGTCAGAGCCTACTGTCCCTCTGTTTGCCGTCATGTTTTAAATGTAATAAATAAATCTGAAGGAGAGGGGGGATGTGTATTATATCGTCACCTTCTATTCCACTGTCTGATTTCAACATATATAAAATACATGTGCTATATATTGTTAATCTTGTAAGTAAAACAGCGTGCCATGACATAGTAAAAGGCAAAAGAAAGGTACACGCTAACTTTGTTCAGAGAAATGTTTGTTTGATTTTCTTTCCGTATGCCGTAGCGTCAACATGATTATGAAGAATCACAGTTCTGTATATATAGGCCCACCACTATGCTGTATTGTATGTGAACCATTGTGTTGTAGTAAAAAGGTCAATAAACTTGTAGAAAGAACTTTGTCCAAATGAATGATGAAGAATGAGAAATGAAGTTTTGAAGTGTGAGATAAAAAGACACAGGTGGAGCCACCATGTCGATGACTCCACCTGGTGGACTGAGAAGATTCTGGCATTGATACAGATTGAATGAAAGTTCCTTCACGTTAAATCACTCTCCTTCTTCTTTCAGCACATCTTCTCTGCCATCAGATCCCTCTACTATATTTTTTTGATAAAGTCGGCTTTATTTAACGAGAGGGATGTTTTATATATGACTCTTTTTCAAGCATATTGGTCCCCCATCACAGTGTATTGCAACTGACCTAAAAACTATGATCTCACTAACATCAGTCCCTGCTGGTGATTTGGGTGCTCTCTGTTGTTGATACGACCTCTAACCTCAACAGGAAATGCATTTCTTCAAAATTTGTTATGAGAAGGAATCTGTGATGTGAAAACCATGTTCACGCAGGCATAACTTCTTCTACTGCTTTGCTTCATAATCGACATGTCGTTAGGAAGTGTTCAGGAGTTTAAAAAAACTGCAGGTCAGTCAGGTGAAACACCACGTGCGTTTATTGTCGTCGTATGAGAAGAAGAGTGCGATTGGAGCTTCCTTTGTGCCTCTGAAATGAAAATAAACTGCTCTTCTTTTTTCCCATGAGAAAGGAAGCATTGATGTAAACAGCAGGAGCATGAGAGGCAATATCCTAATGTGGTTTGTGCATGTGTGTGTGTGTGTGAGAGAGACAAATATTGCATTACAGTAACACACACTGCATTCCTAAGAGATGACCAGACTGGGCTGGATCAGAAAATGTAATCTGTCACAAGTTTGGAAACTATCATGTCATGTATCAGACGTACGTCAAATGAAGCCACATTTCGATCAATTCAAGATCAGGCTGTTACACATTAGACATTCATTCGAATGACTTGTGAAGAATATTAAAAGTTTCTGGTTCATGAGTGTATTAAATGATATTAAGCCTGCCTGTTTGATTTATCAATATTGACCTGTTCGTCTCCTTTATTTTGTTTGGTTATAAGTTTTTAGGTAATACTTTTTTACAGTCAACCATGCGGACTCATTATGGAGATAAGGCATTTCAAATGTGCAAAGCTTCTGTAACTGACAGGCGCCGATTCAAATAATCGGCGCCTGTGTGCCTCTGTGTGTCAACCTGTGTGTGTGTGTGTGTGTGTGTGTGTGTGTGTGTGTGTGTGTGTGTGTGTGTGTGTGTGTGTGTGTGTGTGTGTGTGTGTGTGTGCATGTGTGTGAGGGGGGGAGCGTCCTGCCAAGCCCTGCAGTCTGTAGTCTTCCTGGTGCCGCAGAGTCTCCAGCAGGTTCAGCTTCCAGAGAGGAGAAGTTTGCTCCCGCATGTTCCTGCGCCACTGACGCGGCCTCCACCCGGACACGAGGAGCAGGACGAGGTACAGAGATCCCACATTCATAGCGAGAGAAAGCGATGTGGCCGCTGATGGTGGATGAGCTGTGAGCGCGTTCAGAGGCGCACCTGATCGTTCATGGATGTGATTTCATCTTAAAATGCTAAACAACGGAACGAGTTGTTACACTAATCCTTCACCGAATAGTGTGTTGTGTTTACATTTGATGAAATAGTGACTTGTTGCATGACGGGGACCCGGCGATGTTTTGCCCTTTGGTCAGTCGCACAAAGTCAGATTTAATTGCAGAACGAAACCGAAGTCTCGGTTTGTTGGTTTCATTATGTCATGTGTTACCGTCTTTGTGGTCTCGAGGCACTAAAGTTAGTAAAGACCCAATGTGCTGTGCGTTAATGTGCACACAGAACTGTAAAAAAGGGGAATGTGGTGTTTATTTTGTCACAATGAAACTGCAGCTACAACCGTCCGTTACAAATGCACGTACTGCAGGTCTGTGTCCAGATCCTATTAATAATAACTCATTTATGTTTTGTATCAAACACACATCAACACCCCGTGGACTATGTTGCACTTCAATGGTGGATGAATAATTCATGCAGATATCCTTTTATTTAGAAGTCCAGAGGGTGATCACCTTCCCAACTATTTGATCTGCAGGCAGTCAGTCACATGAATGTGAGATGATGTGACAGCGCAGGATAGTGTGCTCCAGTGTCACTCATCTGAATCAGAATTAGAGTGATTGAATGTCTGACTCCCCTTCAAACGGTTGATATGTGATATTGATCGTTGACTGGTGTTATTCCGCTTGGAGAGTTTTGTTACTGAAGGAGGTGTTGGTGGAAAGGCCCTTGATGTGTACTCTTATGGCTGCAAGCTTTCAGTATCTTAGACCCAGTTGCATGATTATTTGGATCATTTTACATCTTCTTTTCCTCTGCTGGATTTACAGAACATGACATATTTGTAAAGAAACAACTTTCCCGTCATATATCGTTCTTCACCTATTCCATTATACTGTAGTTTGGCATATCAGGAGCATACACTAATCTTGGTTGTAGTTTGAGTTGGAAAAATAATAAATAGATAATAATGGTAAAACACCCTAAACTGCTCTCCGTTTGTTTTTTCAAACTTAATGTTCGTCCTGTGTGACCGAAAGCCAGCTGTTGCTGTCGGTCTGTGTGGATGTGTCTTCTCTGCTGTGTGGGCGAGGTTATAAATAAGAGGCTCGAGTTTGTTGCGCGTGTGTGTGTGTGTGTGTGTGTGTGTGTGTGTGTTGTTTAACCAGCTGCTGGGAAGGTTTGTTATTCTCTGTCCTCTGAATGCAGGTGTACTCGCTGGCCTGGATGCTCTTCTCGTGCCCTTTTTAAGGTCCCCACCCAGACAGCAGTCTGAGTGACGTCCCGCTTTTACCTCAAGGATTAGTCTATTTGTGTTGGCTCAGCATAACCTGTCTCTTTTGTTTTGGCCGTCCGGGACCTTTTGAAATGTATTGTTGAAAAATTGATATTTTGAATGAAATATTTTACTGTTGAGTGAATTAACAGTTTGCTCCTCTTGTTTCAGCAACATATTTTCAAATGTGTGATCATTTAAAACCTGTATGTCGATTTATGTGTAGCTGCCACGTGACAGGCGATATATGGTACACACAGTCTATTCATGGTTTTTTTTGATGTCCTATTCCCCCTTTGTGCTATTTCTGACCTTTAAAACAGCTCCCCTAAGAAAAGTTACAGCATTTTGTTGTGTGTGTGTGTGTGTGTGGTTGTGTAGTTCCGTCTGTGCAGAAAGGAGCATGGGAAAGTGGCCTCAACGTTGCAGGGAAAACCACCAGCAATGACGGTCACATGTATATATATAGATATTGACAGCTTGATGACATCCACAGTGTAAACCATGACTTGGTCTCTATCATGTTCTGCAGTAATTCTCAAAAACCGAGTCTTTATCAGGGTTGTAAAATAAGTAAACAATATATATACATCTTTCAATTTCTCCAAAGTGTCCAATCCACTTTTGAGCCACATGAGAGAGCGTAGCTTGTTTGTTTTTACTAATGAAAGAGTATGAAAAGAGTATTTATTCGCATTATGGTATTAACATGTGTATGTTTTCAAAAACATGCAGAAAAAAGAGTTGTGATTATCAAGCATTTACTGTATCACTGAATGGCTAGTTTTCCTTTCCAAGACAACCTCATCTAATGGATAAAGATGGTGAGGAATCTTCTTATTCTTTCCATCCATTTGCAATCCAATTCACCCATTGTGAGATATCGACACATTCACGTATAAACAGAAAAATAGTGCTATTGATGACATCCTTTTGTCAGCGTTTTGCTCTCAGGGCAGTAAATTGCACTGTAGGAAAATGTGCGTACTGCTGCTGCAGTTTGTTGGTGATATGATCAACGGCTTTTTCTCCTTGACATTCAGGGCCAGCGATGCATGTTAATCATGCGGGAGTTCTGGCATTAGAACACTGGGAACACGCACTGAATGATTCAAACATGAAGGTCCAGAAGACGTCGCCACCAGGTCAGAACTCGGTCAAAGCTTTTGGCTCTTAGACAGCAGTTGGTCATTAGCTTATATCAGCATGAATATCTTGACCTATATTGTCGGTAATTTTTTTTGGTTAATTAAGGCTACATTCATTCTTATTATTCAATGTCCTGGTGTGATGCCTACTTGTTCCTTTTGTTTGTCCGTCTGTCTACTGTAGCCACTGTATTTCAGTCACATGCAGGCACACATACGCTCCCGTCAGAACAATGTGTTTAAATGAAATCCAGGCAGCCTCGCACTTCATTTAGAGTGACTCAAGCAGTGATTTATGGCCTGCAGGGTCGGCTCCCGAGGAAGCCGTGAGGGGTCACGCGGTCAGTTGGAAGGCCAAAATAGACCACGTTCCTTCTCTCCCCCACTGGGTCGATTCGTTTCTCTTAACCAAGAGCTGTCAATGTAAAACAAGTGTTGAATCACACAGCCTCGGTCCTCTGGTTCAGACCCTTAAAAGATCTAGAGACTGTGGACTCTAGAGCCGTTGTGTCCATTCAGAGTTTAGCATTTGTGCAGAATGTTAGCACACAATGGAATAGCGGACAGTTTAGTAACATATGTCACGTAGGGGTAATGACCATAATGATGACTTTCCTGCCCTTCGGTTAAGCGCCTTAGCAAAGTGTGTCAGTACGTGACATGTATGGGTTTGTCCCCGGGCTGCTTGTGTACTAGCTGTGCCAAACTGGATTTGGATTGACCTCTTTGGAGCTAGAAAATCAACTTGAAAGAAATTCTTCATCCTTAAACCAACCATTTGTTGTATCAATCACTCACGCGCGTTACCTTCAATTAGTGAAGATAACTGTTTTTGTGCCACGTCTCCTTGAAAAGGAGAATCCGACAACGGTGTGAAATCTCAGTAAATGGTGAAATAAATGGTGCCCATGGGAAACAACATCAGGGGATTTTGGTTATTCAGTCCCCAAACCAAGGCCGTGGTGTTTTTCCTCAGCAATCTGTCACATTGTGAATGTTCCTGACAATGGAAGGACCAGCTGTGGTTGTTGCTGCTTTTCCAAGTTGTTTTCCTCGACCACTGATTACAGATTGTGAAACATTGTGTTTAGTATGTTTTATCTTGAGTCAGAGCTCAAATATTTTCACATTCTTTCTTTTCGTCAAATGGTTTAACAATTGCTGGAGCAGGTTGCTGATTTGATGTTGCCAGTAATCTTGTATCTAATGTTGCTTTCTAGTGGGAAAGTAGAGCTTTTGCTCCCTTTAAATGTTGGCAGAATAAAGTAAAAAATCAACAAAACGATGAGTTTATATGGGATTCAGAATCATATGTTTGTTTTGTTTACAGCGCAAAAAATACCTTTCCCAATGAAAGAAACACTGAAGCAACCAATTGCTCCTAAAACTGTAAAAGATGTGAACTTCCTGTTGAGCCGGCTGTGACTCCAGCGTGCTCACTGGAGGAACGGCATCTTCAGCTGTGTTAACTGCTTTGCAGAACGGTAATGAGGTGCCTGAGCCGGAGTTCGGGCCCATGCGTGCTTGGAGTGCTGTGGATGCTAGAGGCAGAAATAGAAGGCTGAGGCTTGAGGTGCGTTTGTTTCCATCACCAGCTGGGATTAGCAGCTTTTAAACACTCTGTTCCAATGAGGCTACTGTAACAAAGTACACGGACAACTCATGAACACGTGTGCGCCTTTTTAAAATGTCTTGTCACAGTCTACCGCTGATTGCGATGCTTCCAAATACAGTAGTGCATTTGTTGTATTTTTTTTTATATCTGGAGCTATAAAAAATCTATCATTTAATTTGAGTTCGAAACATGTGCAGAAAAAGACAACGAGAAGCTTTTAACAGTAGCAATGACCTCGTTGCAATGGGAATGTTTTGAGTTTGCGTCCCGGCGACGGGTTCGTCATCGTCCGCTCTGGAGACCAGTTATTGTCTGCGGACACACACTGAATTTCATAAACATATTTTTTCTAAGTCCTTCTAACCAGGAAAACCGGTTCTGTGCAGATTGTATTTCACAAAGAGGAGGGGCAGAGATTTGGGATTAAGTAAAATGTCCTGTAATTTGAGTGAAACCGAGTGACTCGGTAAGAAGAGGATTTTGAGAGAGGGGGATGAGGACAAGGGCAACGAGGCCTTGGCGGGGACCAGTTGATCAAGAGCTTCTCCCCTCTGGCGAGGACACGCTGGCTCTGCTCAAGCATAATACCACTGACATGCTGTCTCACACACACACTCGAGCCTTTCTCCCTCTCCCTCCCTCCCTGACGCGTTCTCCTCCCATCCTCATACAGTAGAGTCGGGGCATTGACCGCCTACGGGGAGGGAGAAATGAAAGGAAAGGGAGTTGGATGGGGGAGCATAAGGACAACAACGATCCAGTGCATCAACAAAGACACACATGTTTGTCTCCAGGCATGTTCTCAACTCCAGAAGTTGAGGCGGAGGACACGCTGCGCTCCGATGCTTTAGGGTGCATAAGTTGTTCTGTTGCCGGGTAAAAAGAACAGCGGAGGTTTCCATCTAGTCTCATTTTCGCAGCCGTTGCATGCACGCAATTAGAGCGAGGCATCAATTAGATATGATAATAAGCTTCGTTTCAGCACCCGTTAGATGGAACAAGTAGCCGATTAACCAAGTTGATCAAATGGAATGAACAAAAGGGCGTCTACGCCATTCATGAGACTAACATGATCTGTGTTGTATCAAATGTAAGGATTATCATCATTTCAATCATTGTAAATCCAATGTCTTTTGGGTTTTGGACTGCTGTCAAACAAAGCAACCATTTGGAACTGTGCAGATCCGCTTCGTGTGTTGAACTCTGTTTCTGACCGTTATAGTCAGACCTGTGGTTTTTCCTGTGAACCAGAGTATACTTAAGTAGCTGCTGCCTGGTTGCTTGACAGAAGTACGTCATAGCAGGTGTATCGCTCAGTGTTGATGTTGTTTTGATGAGTGGTTCACCGGGCCAAGCAGTGGGCCACTTTTACTGAGAGACAACCGCTAGTTAAAAGAAAATGCAGATGATCACGGTTAGAAATCACCAAAACACATAGAAAAGTGTTGTTATGTTTCAACTGTGGAACCTTTATAGGTTCAACTGAAACTGGCAAAATGGCAAAAATATCAATCTACCGTGAAAATCTGTACATATGTACTTTTATATATTATGGAATTTACCGTTTTATTATGTAAAAAAACTGATTAAAGTTTCCATAATCACTACATCTATGTTAACAATGGATTCCATTATTATCAATCTCACACAAGGTCACACCTCATAACCTAGTTTCTTCTCCCATTGGCCACAGAGAGCTCTACTCTCAGCCTGAAAGGGGACGATACTCTTTGTGGTTGCAATTTCTGTCTCAAGGTGACAATTTCCTCAAGGTGACAATTTTAAACATGACCGTTTGACCAGATTTACATCCCCACAATACAAACAAACACAAACACACACACGGACACACTGTGTCATTGTCGCTTGCTTATGTGTGAGCCCATAATCCAAGGAGATGCACCACGACAAACTCTTAATAATTTGGATTTACTGAGGCTTGTCTCTCTCTCTCTCTCTCTCTCTCTCTCTCTCTCTCTCTCTCTCTCTCTCTCTCTCTCTCTCTCTCTCTCTCCCCCGCCTCCCCTCATGTTTGGTCGCGCTGACCCTTGCAGACGCACGCAGCGACCGACACTCAAGGTGCTGGAAGCGGGAGAGGGCAAACAGAGGCAGAAAGCAGAGGCAGGACAGTAAATCAGAGGCCGTGTGAGGGAAAGGAAAACAAATCAAGGACCAAGTGCAGCTCGGCTGAGGACTTGATGAATGCTCATTCAACTGGCTTTAGTTTTCCCTCACTCACTGCGCTGTGAGCGAGCGTCGCAGAAGGGATTTCATCCTGGTTCACCGAGCAGCTGCAGAACTGTAAATTTCTGCCACTGGTTTTGGATTATTTCATGGCGGCTGTTGGGATTGAATGGGGATGACAGCGTGCACAACGGAAGATGGTAATATGACGATCTGCTCTGAGATGCTTTCACCTCTGTTTTGTTGTCTGTTTGTTCACACAGGATTATAGTATAGTTGTCAATTTATATTGCAAAACGTAATCTTACTATTCGTTACCAACAATTTAACAGCTTAATATAAATAAGCGCAAATTCTGTCAGATACTGAGCTTGGATTGAATTGTCTAAAGGTGTTGGACGTCCTGTGGACTTTTAGCTTCCAGGAGTTCAACTCTTACTGTATTGTTTCCCTTTTTCATTTCACTTTTCATACAAATTGAATATCTTGATATTTAAATTTGTTTTTGAACTGTTGGTCCGACAAAGTGAGTAGAAGTATTAGTGAAGACATCACCTTTCACCCTATTTTCTAACATTTTTAAATGGTTAATCAATTATTGAAAAATAGCCCTAATTATCTCATAATACACACCTTTTATATTTCACAACATATCCAATGATACATTTCTGTAGAATTTCAATGTAATATATAAGACTTGCCAGTTACATCGTGACCCCCTCCTAAAATAGCGCCCGGTGTTTTTTACTAAATAGTCTTATGTTGAAACACGCATTGTGTACACGGACTGAGTGCAACTAAGCTGCCATGGCGCACACTGGCCGCCGCGCCACGCTGGACTATTTTGACTTGAGGTGAAGGTCTCAGGTTACCAAGCGATGAGGAAGATTTCCCAAACCTCGGTGCCCTTTGGCTGAGTGAGTCATGGAGAGGAGGAGAAACCAGCAGGAAGGTGATGTTGGAAATCAGGGCCGTCGAATTTGAATTTGAAACAAACACTCACTTAACTGCCTGCAAATCGTCTCGAGGAAGCTTCTGAATGTGTGTGTTGTCGCAGCCGGGCTGCAGAGGGTGTGGCTGGTTGCACATAAAGTGGATTTTGTTCACTCTGTGTGGATGTTATGTAAAGGAGGGGGCTGACTTTTAAAATGCCCGCCCGGCTCTCCTCTAGCTTTGAATTGGCGGGATACTGTGAGTGTGTGTGTGTGCACCGCCGTCCCTTTCCCGCCCTGTTTCCTGCATATTTACAGTGACGTTGAAGCCAGATTCCATTAACTTGACTACTCCGGTTTTGGGAGTGACCTCAATGTTTGGCTATTAGTTCCTGTGCTGACCCGGTTACACAGAGCATCCTTTTTCTCTCAGCAGAAAGACGTCTTTTGTCGTCCTGGTGATTCAATGGAAATGGACAACAGCTCTGTTTGCAGAACTACAACTCGTCACCTCACCGTTACATGGAGCAGATTTTATTATGACATTGTAGCTACGCAGCAGCACTTTTTATTTTCTGTGACATCGAGCTGACTAGTTTTCTCTGTTGAGTTAACGTCAACTTCCTGAACAAAACATACACTGAGAATTTCCCTGCGTAGCTTTGAGGTTCAGTTTATCAAAGACTTATCTAAAAGGTTTTTGTGGAGATGTACATATGAATATACTCAAACAGACTAGAGAGATAATGATTTTATCTGTGTGTGTGTGTGTGTGTGTTTGCACAGTTTTAAGCTTCACCGAGATACATTTTCAGATTTGATGCAACACATTTTAATGTCTGATTAGAATACCTGAGTGTAGTTCATCATCGTGTTTTCACCTCTGTCCTGTATCTAAGTGATTGTTTCTGGTTGTTTGCTATGATATATGCCAGTGTGCGGCACAGTAACAACAGCAGTGGGTTAATTACAGATGAGATGAGTGTGTCAGTGAAAGCTGAGCCACACTTCGATATAATAACAAGCCTCGTGCACACACACACACACACATACACGTTAACTCACTCACGATGAGTTTAAATATGTGCTTAAAGTCTCGGCTCGTTCATAACTCCCTGACGTGTGTTTAATGACATAAACACGTGCCTGGCGGCCTCCTGGCTGCTACTTTACGGCCGCCTCCAAACCGCGCTGCAGATCCGGGCCATCGTGATTAGTGTTTGCCCTCCGCAGGCTCCGATTCGCTGATCCCGGTGAAGCCGCTAAATGCACCGTCTGGCCGTCTCGCTGCCTGTGTGGTCATGTACAGTACCTCCACACAGCCTGCGTTTATGTCTGACCTCAGTGTAATTGGGTTTTTTTGCTTGCGCATGGAAGTCAGTGTACGACAACGCGGCGGTGAGGGAGAGGGCCACAAAACGATGCACTCACAAAAAAAACTTGTTTTCTACGCCGAAAGGTACAAACTTCCGTATCATCCCTTTAATCCCAAAGAGTACAGCCTTCCTTGATGAAGGAGCTTCCAAGCTGTAAACAGCACCGGAATAATTATTCACTATTTATTTACAAAAAAGTTTCAGATTGTGTGAATCCTGATCTCTAATCTCCTGTTGCATGATGTCGCAACAATGTAGGAGGCCAATGAGTAGCATTAAACATCCAAATAATCGCTAAAATGAATCAGTTGTAACTGTAACAAAGCCTTTGTAAATATGGAGTCTTCATTACATTCAGTGTTATATTAATGGAGCTTCAAAGATTTGGACATGTAATTTATTACTGCAGGAAAAAGTTTGGAATATGTGGTTTGACTTGTTGCTAAACCGTTTAAAGAATCTTAACTCTTAGGCATTTGGCCGTAGTGTATTTTAACAAGGGTTTCTTCATCACCACACATTTTGTTACACAGACCTCTGCGCACAACTTCAGCGTTACTCACTAATCTGTTTACTGAGCAATTGAATTGTCCTCGAAATTTCCAAATAGTTCAGGTTGTTTGTCACTGTCGATGTTTTCTGGTCGGGCATGATAGCTTTTGTCATTTAGGAAGTTGTTATTCTCAGTGAACGGCTCATCGGAGCAGCAAGCTGAAAACAGCAGTTTATCACACCGTTTTCATACAGTACTTATAAAATTAAGTCGTCAATTGCTTTTACTCAAAAGCGGCTTCTCTGGTTGATGACCAAATACTGTCGGATGGAGTCGCTTTTTATTTGTTTGTCAAATCAGAGCTGATGAAGAATTACGTTGCCATGTGGGAGCTTTGTTGACCGACCATGCTGATCCCTTGGTGACACAACCTCTACCGTAGTCTGATTAATTAACACAAATTGTCTCACAATATTTAGGAAATATTTATACACCGAAAACCTGAGGGCTAATTGCCTTGTTAACTCATCGTAAAGCGCACTCATTCAAGCCACACAGGTCTTGCTTCTCTCCGCAGAGTCCTTCTGCCCATTTATATCCAGATTAAAGACGTCTCTGTTTGCTGCTGCCTTTAATTTACCATTTCTGCATTTTGGTACATTTCGGCATTTTATTGTTGTTCTTAACTGTTTTTAAATCTCCTTGCTTTATGTTTGGATGTTTTTAATGGTTTTATGTGGCACTCTGTTGTTAAATGAGCCATACAAATGAAATAGTCTTGCCTTGCATGTGTACAGATTCTAGACAGCAACTTTGTGATTTTGGACTAAACAAAGTACATTTTACTGAATGAATAGGACTTAAGCAAATTAGGACTTAAGCAAACTAATGACATTCCAGTACTTTAAGAATATTCCAGATGGTTAAATGTGTCATTAAGGATCACCTTGTCTGATTTGTGCTTTTAGGGCATAGCAGGAGGATACAGGACTATTGTGAAGCTAACATACATAGATTCAATCTAAAGTCCAATGTACTAAGTAGCTTCACATAATGTGTTTAACCAGAGTAGTTTTGTTATTTTGACTCTTGTACCTTTTTGTCGAGGCTATTTTCATGTCCAGTATGAGGATAATATGCACACCGTTGTTTTTTAAAACACTTTTGAAATGAATAGATTGTTACAACTTAGAAGTATGACTTCTAAGACTTTTGTTCAAAGTTCCTGAAAAGTCAAGATTGTTTCAAATACATATTTTCCAGAAGTTGTAATAACAAACAGGAACTCCTCCCTTTACATAAATCCATGTCCGTCAGCTTCCCTTTGTGTGGGCAGCAGTAGTCTGTGTAATCCAATGGGGAATCTTTTTTTGTTTGCTGAAAAACCGCAGACATAAACTCAGGAAATGGGTCCGTTCATGCTTATTTAGTGTCTGTAGAGGCAAGTTTGGCCAAGTCAAATCACTTATTGCTTATTGTGCTTCACATTTTTCTCAGGCATTTTGTATACAATATATCACACTTCATTGAACTGAGGGTCTAATCCTGATACTACCATGTTAAACATCTTTAATACTTTAATGTGAATGTGTTAATTCTTGCCAGCATTAATTTTGTATATATGAATGGATCTGTTTGAATGTGGTTGCCATCTAATGGCACAGTTGGGGTCATATAGGTGTCATAGTTTAGGGATCTAAGATGCAAACTGTGTAATTGTAACCTCGCTCAAATCAACTCATTGCCTTTACCTCTCATTTACCATCAATCATCTGCCAGATGGTTTCAAATTAAAAGTAGTTCAAAAGTGTAAAACTTTATTACAGGAGAAATGTCCCACAGGATTTTTTTTTTAAAGAGTATTTAGATGTTGTCCGGACAGAAAGCTGCTTGACCCCAGGAATGTGTAAAGACTATTTCTGTGTCATAATACCCGACAGAGACATTCAAACTGTGCTCAGCTCCCGCACTGGGACATCTTACCCACAGTAATGTGAGTTGTCATTTATTTCAGTGACTGAGTGAGAGCGATCTGTGTGTTTATAAAGGGCCTCGTGAATCTGCAGCAGCCCGGTGCTGATCCAGGTCCACGCGGCCCCCTTGTGCACCTCACACCGCTCACTTGTATTACCAAACACTCTCCAAGTACAGATATGTTCTTTTCTTGTAAGCACTGCAAAGGCCCAAAAGCATTTGCATGTTCCATCGCTGCTGCAAGGGGACCCAGCCCAAGATCTCTGTTTAGTCTTCTTCTTAAGGTCACATTCATTTAAATTTCAGTAATATCCAAGCTGCCCTTTGCCAAAAATCTGAGAAAAAACGTATGACAGAGCTGATGAAGGAGGTGCATATCGTCTTAAAGATGTAAAAACAATATTTGCTGTAAACTGAATTGTATTTGTGCTTCTCAGCCTACCACTGTCCTCATTCAACAACAACCCCCGTTGCCCCCCTTCCAGCACCCTCCTCCTCCTCCTCCTCCTCCTCCTCCTCCTTCGTGTCATCATCACGATGACCATCACTGTGCTTTGTCCCAGCGTTTTGTGGCAGGACTGACCAGAAAGCGCTGAGTCACAGTGATGTTTCTGAAGCCGCGGGGGCCGATTGGCTGAGAGTTCTGCATTTTGTGCTAATAATGTAGGGAGATGAGACAGAGGGATAGAGGGTTGATGGCCCGAGTTTGCACCAGAGAGAAAACATTTCACTGTTTTTTATCCAGTAAATCATATGACCATAAAAAATGTCAACCTATAAAATTGTTTTTTTTTCTTAAAAGCAAGACGTAACAAAAGAAAATTGAATTCAGAGTCTGCTTGCAGATCCTGCAAGACCAAGAGCGCTACTTTTTTTTCTTGCAGGTGCAGCGAAGGTTGTGTTGATCTGAGAGGACATAACTCATCACACATTTACACACCCTACGTCCACGTCTGTCTTTCTTCATCACCTCAGCCGCGGAATCTGTGACTTCAGCAGAATGTTTTTAACAAACATGTTTAAGACTTTTATCGCACTTCTTATTTCACTCCACCAGTAAGCATTAAGTGTATGTAATGTATAATGTAATGATTTACTACACTTGAGGAAGATTACAGTATACCAAAAGATTTTTGAACTAAGAAGCAACTCCGACATTGATGCCCTCTCACACAGTAAATGAGACTGAACACATGTCTTGGAGGTGGAAAGGGCAACAACATTCATGCTGTTCGTGGACATTGACACGCAAACCCTTCCTGACGCCGTATATCTCCCCACAGAGCCCCGCGGCCATGCGTGCGTATACATTAACCCCGAGGTCCTCGGCTGTGGCCTTTGCCGGGCGCTAAATAAAGCAGAGCCTAAAAGCGGGTTGTGGGCCGCTGGTTCAGGTCAAAGGGAATGTGAAGCTTTAAACCGGGAGGCCCCGAGACCAGCCGTCACAAACTGTGTTTATTGGGATGTTTGCTGTCGGGCCGACTGATGATCTGTTTAATGAGGAGCACAGAGGGTTTGTGTTTGTGTAGCTTTTCCCCCAGCCGGCCACAATGATGAGAACAAGGGCCTTTGTAATTTACTGTGAGAGACGCCAGTGAGATGAATGTGAATGACCTCAGCTTTCGTCTATTGTAGCACTGCTACCTTACAAGGGATCTAAAAAATGCTTTTTAATCAGTCTCAAGAATAGTTTAATAACACATTTTAATAATCAATTTCTTGCTGGTCGGATAAAGTCTTAAGACTTCTCCCCTGGCTTTCGTGAATTGCAATTCCATTTCCCCCTATTTCCCTTCATATAATGGTATTCCCTGTATCAATGCTGCGGCGTTTAGATTTCCAAGTAATACAGGTGTACATATACAGTAACCACTGATCATTGTTTTTGTTTTTGGTGTAGCAGGGATCAACAATTAACCAGAAGGATACCAAACAAAGCTGTTCTTAAACATCTGATTTCTCTTTCCTTGCATTTTAAGAGCCTTGATTCTGTGGAGGGCTCGATCCGGTACCTGTTGTCGGGGCTGTACGCGCCCTTTGAGGCCACCGCCCCAACTCTCCTCAGCCAGCTCTTCCAAATCATTGATAGTCGTTATCGGGGAGATGCTCTGCGGTGCCTGCTGGACTTTCTGGTCCCAGCCAAACGCATCTTAGAAACCGTGCAGCAGGCTGCATGCGTAAGTCACGTTCTCCACATTTTTCTCACTTTCAAATAGAGCTGCTCTAAGATGTTCTTGCTGGACTTCATTTCTAATAACAATACACATACATGTTGATGGACCTCTAACACTGAACCCCTATAATGTCCATCTCTCCCTGTAGGCTCGGTACTCGGATGTACTTTTCCCGTGTGAGGGCTGGCCTCTGTGTTTGCGTGACCGAGTTGTCGTCCACCTCGCTCCCGTCAACCCCTCGCTACTTCAGCCTGGCGACTTCTACCTCCGAGTGGCACCATTCTGTAACCAGTCAGCTCGCATCTTGGTCTGCAGCCTCCTGGAAGAGGAGGGCCTTACAGTGGAAGCTGTAGAGGAGGCTCCGATCGTTGATACATCCTATCCCTGTCTTTTTACCTGCGACTGGTTAGAGGAGATCAACCAGGGCCGCCATGGAAGGCCTCTCAGCCAGTGCCTGCTCGCCTCGGAGCAGGGCGTGGTGAGGTTGCCATGGGAACGGGTGGCCGCGCCTGATTTTGTGGATGTGCCACTGTGTGCTGGGAGTAGTATGGCCTCTGCTCCTCACACGCATCCTCCTTTACCGCCTCCGCTTCCTCATCCTCCACCCCTTCCTCATTTTCCTGAGGTTTCTTCGTCCAATAGTTCACACCCTCTTTCTCCAAAGACACCTTCACCTAAGCAGCATCCTGTAACCAGTTCTACTGCATCAACCTCCTCACATCCCTCCGCCTTCTCTGTGGAGACGCGAATATGTCCAGCGAGGCACGGCATTGCTGTGTCACTCTGCCTGGTGGATACTAGCGGTGCTTCTTCATCTAGACTTGTTACAGTGAAAGAGACTGGCAGTGAGCCTAAGCCTATTGGCTGGGTGTCTCCTAATACGTGGGACAGCTGCTTCCCTGGAAGAGGCCCGAGTACAACAAATGAACCGAGCATGGTTTTAGGTACTAGCACCCCTGCAAGTGGAGAAGCTACCTGCAAACGTGAAGATAAGGGTGTAATTGTTTCAGAAATTACAGCACTAGATAAACATAAAGATACAAACATTAAAGATATGACAAGGAGAGAGCCAGCAGGCCGCACTGTTGCTGAAGGAGAGTATATTGACATCCTCCAGGCAACTATGCTTTTTAGTAAAGCTCAATCTGCAACTAAGGAACAACACAAATTAGAAATGCAATCGCGTGCAGAAATCAACCCGCAAATGCAAAGATATCCACATAGACAAGCTCAAATGCATCCATGTGCACAAATGGAGTCATACAGGCAAACACAGAGGCAGCCAAACACACAGACGTCACCCCAAGCACAGTTACAAGCACATGGGCAGTTTCCTACAAAACCACCAACACAAAGTCATTCTGGATCAGAGGCTGCTGTTTCATTAAAACCCAACACGTCCGCCGAAGCCGCTCTCCACCATTCCCAATCCCATCACCCGGACCCGGATCCTGACTGCGCTGAACCTTTCCAGTGTGTCCGTACGGTCCGTTTCTCAGAGAAACCCTGCACGCCGTGCATGAGGAGAAGACAAGGCGCAAAGGCGTCCAAATCTCAGGAGCTGAGGTGTCGATTCAGGGACTCCTACCAGGCTGCGATACAAAACCCCGTCCCCTTTGGACAGGAAAAGGACAGGGGGAATATGTTGGCTGTGGTGGAGGAGGGCGGTGATTTCTCACATTGGGAGAAAAGAGCACTGGAGACCAACGCAGGGCGCAAGGTTCCAGGTACGCGGTTTGATTCTGGGATGCAAAACATGTCTCCTTCTTCTGTCAGTGGAGCCCTCGGTAAGGAGTCAGGAGAAAAGAACACAGTTCCATATTGGAAAACCGGAGATACAAATGCTGCCCCCTGTAAGGACTATAGGGGGACGTATGTTTCTAAAGTTGGTGGGCCACCAGAACAAACAGCTGAAAGGACCACTGTGCATTTCAGGGAACCGAGGGATTCACACAATGTGAATGGGACGAGCTTGAATGATCCTAACCAGTCAGATGCAACGTCTGCCAAACACCACCAATTACCATTAACTTCAACTGACGGTTTGGAGATGAAAATGACCCTCAAGCCTCGTGAAAGGCTACAAAGTAGAAACAACTCCAAGGGAGTTGGTCCAAACTTTCCTCAGTCTCTTTCAGCACCACAGAGCAGACATGAATTCATCTCAGATGGAAGATGTTCATCCCTCTCCACAGCTGTGGTGGACACCTCAGAGAAGTGTGCGCTGGTCATTGTTGAAGGTCAAAGCGTTAGAAGAAGAGACGATACTGGGTCCTGTGCAGAGATTCCCCAGCTGCATGTAGTGAAATGTAAGAACAGCACAGCCTTTGGATTGGTTTCACCCAAGATCAACAGGAAGCAGACGGTCGTTCCAGGTACAAAGTAATGTTCTTGTTCATAATCTCATCTGAATTTGATCTTGAGCATGTAGGGTTTCATTCATTGCTATTTACCACCATTTAAATCAGCCCCCTTACGGTGCATCCACTTTCTTAAGACGCTGCTCAGCCTGGCAGGAAGTTCATAACCAGTAGAAGTGGCCACCAGGTGGAGAACCCTTCACAGAGCGATCCACCTGCAGCAACAGAGACCCGGAAGGTCTCCGCGCCGGCTTCTAGTCGTCCCAGACCTGACCACCTTCCCCTGGGATCCCCTGACCCCAGAGACCAGCCCCTCTACTTAGGAGTGGCCTCCATCACAGGTAAGCCACCACAAACCTACACAATAAAACAGGATCATCATAATAATCAAGATTAATTGTTTGGCAACCTTTCAAAAGCAGAGACACAAAGTTCTTTAAGGTGTGTTAAACGCAAACCTATAAAATATATCTATTAAATAAGTAAATCATTAATCGATTCACTTAAAAGCTAAGAGTAAAGAGTCTGCAAAACAACTATTTAACTGTCTTTTCTCAAGTCTTGAACAGTAACAGTAAAACTCAGATACCTGCAGAAGCTCTCACCCTCTCTTCACCTTTGCTTTGATCTGCGTTTTCCTCTCATGTGCTGGTATCAGTTTGCATTCTATGTTGAATCTGTCCGCGTCTAAACATACAGAATAATGACTGAGTATGTCCCTTCTGCACTCGCTTCCAGGTGGCAGAGACAGGACAGGCAGGGCGATAGTTGAGCTCTATGGACACCACCAGGGATGGAGATCTTCTGTGACCAGTCAAGAGCTCTTACAGATGCTGCTCTACTTCCGCACGATCACCAGGTAGGCCAGTAAATCACGAATGAATCAAGGAATCAACCTGTAGATCTAATTCATGGTAGAAGGGACTTTTAGCATCATTATGGTCATGTCTGTTTTGTGGCCCCTGTTTACTTTTTATCTACCTCCGTTTTTAGGAGAGAAATCAGAGAAGCTGGGCTGATGCTCATTTTTGATTCAAGGAGGACAAATCCTCAGCCTCAACTTTATAAGGCCTTGATGACGTTTCAGGTAAGAAGCACAGAAGGTTCTACAATACAGACTGTTTGTGTGTTCATTTTCGCCTGGCTTACTGCTGAGTGAAATTATATTATATTATATATCATCTCCGGAGCATAAACAGCATATACGTCCTCTGGTTATGGAATAGTAGAGTGTAATACAATGTTCATCCTCTCATTTGTAATCAAATGTAAAATATACTTAATTGTGTATTGTACTGTACGTGTTGTTTGTTTTTATTCATTTAATACACAGTATAAAAAGACATTGAAAGGGAAAATATTTTCTTTTGTTTCCCCTGTATTTAAGTTTGGTAAAATATTCTCAAATGTATTTGATGATCAAAACAAATACTTGCTCAAAAAATGCTCAAATGTGGGTACGATTTATGGAGTGTTTTACTGTTACAGGAGCAGAATCCCCACGCAGTAAACTGCTTCGTGCTGCTGGTGAATAGGGAGAACAGCCTTCGACCAGAGAGGTGTCCCGGCATCCAGGTCCGCTCGTTTAATATTAATGTCAAATAGTGCTTTCTTTGTGGTCTCTATAAACAATAATGTATCTGAGCGAGCTCTACGCTTCATTGATCTGTTTGGTCAAGCTGTGTTTTTAGCAGTGTAGCTACAGAGGTCTGTTTATTGGCTTATCGCTTTAGTCTAGACTGTAATATCTTGATAACACATCCACAACGATAACACAATGATCAGTGAAATATCTCAACACCATCTGAACACCAACTTTGGGAGCCACAGTAGGTCTTCAGTTGAATTAACACATCAGATTTTGTTTCTATTTAATCACATATGAATTCAATATTGAGACAGTTGTCAATATATAATTAATATTTAATCCAAATAAATCCTAAATTAACAATGTAAAATAGGCCCCAACTGGGTTTTAGTATTCTGTGTGAAAAACTACCATCAAATCCTTTGCTTCTATTTCTAACTTCAAAGGATGCTCTAGCACTATGGGCAGGAGAATTGTGCCTTGATATATTATACACATTGAGGATATACCTTTGCAGTCTTTTGAAAAGTTGTTTTGGCAAGAGAAACATGAAAAATAAAATGAATGAAAACAAAATTTGCTACTAACAACCCGTTTTAACCTGGCACACAAATACAATGAAACAAGTCACTTTTCCCTCTCAACTTTTGACACTAAGATATTAGTTTGGTTTCACAACAGAGTCTGGCCTGAGAAGTCAGGGTCCGAAGGTTAAGATCTACAAAATCAGAAAAATAATGATTAATAATAATAAACATAGTTACTGGTGAACAGCGCAGTCAGACCCCACGTGTTCCCTTTGTGCTGACGAGCAAGTTAAAAAGATGAAAGTGAAACATTACGGTTCCAATTCATACCAGTTCATTGCAGCAGCTAAATAAAATAAAAGGAGTAACATTGCAGACAGGCAGTATGTTAGGTAAAGACCAGAGTGGTTACTGGGTGAATGAAGACGTGAGATTCTCCCTGTATCTGTGAAAACGCATTGATGCTACCGTGAGACTTTTTGGCTCGACGCAGACTGAAGTGGTGACATCCATGAAAGGCCTGTTCAAGCTGGTGGAGATGAGTCAGCTGAGCTCCTGCCTGGGTGGCACTCTGCCGCACAGCCACAGCGACTGGATAGAGCTGCACCAGGTGAGCCAGTCGCATCGGTACAGCTCCCTCCTCCTCTGCACTGACGCATCATTTACTCACATCTTTTATCCCCTAGAAACTCTTCCCATTTGTGTCTGATCTTCATGAGGCGGCCAGCCTTCTTCTGAGGGCCATCACTGAGTTAGAGGAGCCCCAGGGGACGGACACTGTACAGGTACCTTAAAGCTGAATGCTCACTCTTGTTTTATCCTTAGTATGTAACTCAATTGGTAATACGGTGTGTATATATGATATTTAGAGCCATTTTAGCTACATGAAATACTTTAAAGGTCTTTATGCCATACAGACTGTGCAGCAGTGCATGATGGACCAGAGGACTCTGATGAGACATGTCCTGGAGGACAGTCGGTTAGTCAGCCTGCAGAGGGAGGGCGGGGCCATCCTAGCGAGGCTGAGGAAGGAGAGCGACCTCAAATACCCGCATTGTGAGAACCTCAGGTAAACACAGCTCAGCCACAGGCTCTCTGTTTGCACTTTTGGTACCTTGTCATGTATTTGCTCAAAAACAATCGTCTGGATTACAGCCGTCCACCACACCAATGATTCCTGGCACAAATTATTCAATTGCGCAGCTGCAGCATACTTCCAGGAGTATAATTTGATAAAAGGGAATTTCCAATACACAGGACAGAAATGAATAGTAGCCTATTGTCCGTTGAAGAGGAAACACCATCATGCTGCTACAAATCTGACTTAACGCACAAAAAAGGAAGAATCGTCAGGGTCAAAGGATTGCTTTGGTTGGCTCTCCAAAGCAATTGTTTTCCAAACCAATTTGTGCCTAAATATGCTGCCTAAATATAAGCTTTCCTTCAGAACGCCAGTTTACTTCATCTATTATTTGTATAATCTGTCTCTTCCCCAAATGCAGTGACGCAGTGGACTCGGTGACGAGCATGTACAACCAGGTGGAGGAGCAGGCTCATGTCCTCGTGCAGAGGTCCAACATGTCCCTGGAACACCTGGAGTGTCTGCTGGAACTCAGAGAGGTGGAGGGACACTTAATGCAGGTGCCTTTTTTAATAACTGACATTCATAACTGCCTTCAGATGTTCAGATGAATGTAACTTGCATTTAAAATATATTAGGCTTGGTTTGTCCACCGATGGGACATTACATGAATGAACACCCAGCGACCTGATCTGATCTAAATATCCATCAGGTAGTCATGGCGATGGGTCGATCAAATGTAATTTTTGTTTAAAATATATTTTATATAACTATTTGATGTGTTGATGTTTATGTTGCTGTTTAGTAATGTGAATAAATTGTGACATTATGTGTGTAATATGTTTGTGTGTGTAGTATGTTTTATGTCACTAATGCGCATGCTGCATTGCATTTATTTCTGGGACTGATGGACACGCTGCTTAGCATGTTCTTTTACCGTGTTGCTGTTGTATGGGACACTGACGCTGTTTAAACATATGCATAATCAATAAGAGAAACGCATAACAAAAGTGAGAGGGGAAAAAAGAAGCACCAACTGACTCTCTGCTGTTTACTGAATTGGGAAAGTGAACGAGATCAATTTGATTTGAGCCCATGCTCATGCCCTTGAATGTACGTATTTTTCTCCTTCTTTCATGACTGCAGATGCAACAGTGGTTTCACATAGAAGGAGAGCGCCACCTGCTGGAGGCCGAATCCGTCAGCAACTCTGGGGAACAAATGGAGCAGATCCTCAACAGCTTCACTGGTTTCCTCATTGAAGCAAATGTGAGTGTGTTTTCACGTCATGTATCCATGTGTCTCTATCTGCCCGCCTGTCTGAATCTCTCTCCCCCTGCAGGACCGAAGGCACCATGCCATGACGTTGGTGTCGGAGGCAGAGCGACTCCAGCAGAGCGGCTCCCAGTACACAGAGACGGAGGCCTTCGGGGATCTAGTCAGCACCTTCAGGTCGGGCCTGGAGAGCTTTCTGGTCAGGGCGGAGGCTTGTGGCAGGGAGCTTCAGATCATGGTCAACGTGTGTGATTTTTGTGAGCAGGTTGGTATAAGCTATTGAATATACAAGAGATACATAAGAGTATTCAAAGAGATCAGTATGCAGCTTGTGCGCTCAAAAACTTTTATTCTGTCCAGTTCTGGACCCAAACCAACAAAAGCATTGTTTGGTTTTCATAATGTAAAACTTCTTATTACTCTTTTGCCAATATCCTTTTTGGCAGTAGAGACTTTTAGGTTACGGTTTGTCTGTAATTTATTAATGACTGTAAGTTCTAGATGTTGAAAACTTTCCAAAATAATAATTATTGGTTAAATAAGTACATTAATGAACATCTACTCAAATGCTTTTGCATGGACCATAATTGCTGAGTAAACCAGTTATGTTGTTGTGAAGCATGTAAAGCATTTGATGTTACTTTGATGCTCCTTTGTCGTGTAAAGTAAGCTCAAAATAATTAGGTCATCACTTAAGACAGAGATTGGTTGAATATTCACATTCTGTTGCTCTTTCACAGAGACTCAATGTATACGGTAAATGCATATAAATGTATGAATGAAAACCCGTCTGATATTCAAACAGGCTACAGCTCTCGCCAGCGAATGCATTGAGTACCTGGATCAGACTCAACCCATAATCCGTGACCCGACTACAACACCTGTCAATCAAACAATCACTCAGCCAATACAGCGTCAAAACCAAGACCCCGGACTGAGCACCGCATCCCTTTGCCCGCCTGATATCCAGGCAGCGCATGGCTCATGCCCAACCGCCACCAGTGATTTCCTGCCAAGCACTGACACCTCCGTCCTCCAGGCTTTTCAAGACACGTTCCTTCAGTTCAGCATGGAGCGATTTCAGGAGGTGAAGGCCCAGGCCGGCGCCCTCCAGGGCTCCAGGGGGATGCAAGTCTGGAACGTAGCCTGGCTGAGATGCCGGGAGGCCAGGCAGCAGCTTCACGAGAGGATGCAGGGTGTGGAGGACGTTTCCCAACACCAAGCAGATTCTAGCAGCTTGTGTGAACTTCACTATGTTGATGTGGTGAGCACTAATGTTCAGTCGCCCTCCTCCGGCGGCCGGAATCTGGTGGTACAATCTACACCCGGGCCTGGACACCCTCAGTGGGAGGGCATCGTGTCGGGAGCGGTGGATGTGGGGAAGAGACGGCCGATCCTGGGCAGGAACAACACAACCTCAACAAATGCGGCCTGCTGTAACGTCACATCTGAGGATCACAGCGATGCTGGAACCAGCCAGGGCTCAAACGTCACGCCACAATCTCCTCAAAGGTAAGTTCTATCCGTCTCACTCAAGGAGAATTTGGTAGTTGTTGATGTTTACAGAATATTCCCATCTTATGCCTTTATGTCATTTAACGATAGGTCAGCAAGACGAACAGAAGGAGAGGCGAGGAGGAGACAGACGAGCAGAGCGAGGAGCGAGAGAGATGCGGCGGCTTTGTCTCAGTCCCACACTGTCGGCTGCCAGTGGTTTCCATGGGGACGGGGTCTCAGAGCGAGGTCGGCGAGCCAGGACTCCTGCTCCACAGGAGAAGCAACTCCTCCGGAGCAGCCGCTTCGACCCCCGTCATCCTGCTCCCATCACGGTCAGCCGTCTTGCCGGATCCTCCAGGAGGCTCAGAAGTTCCAGATCTCCCGCCACGGGAGCTTCTGCTCGACAGAGTCCTGTACGAGCGACGGGGGGGCTGCAGGGGGTAACAGGACTCCATACTGCAAACACGCCAGCCTGCCTGCCGGGAGATGCGAGGAGGCGTTTTGTTTGGCAACTCCACAGGAGAATGCCAGCAATGCCCTGTAAGTTGCTGCCATATAATACTTTGGTGGTTGAATGCCTCTAATCTTACTAATCTTGTAACTCTTAATGCTTTTTCATTTGCTCTTTCTGTCTGTAAGCTTCCAGTAAAGTGCTACAGGTATTGTTCTTCTGATTTTCTTTGCTTCTCTTTTCGTACTTGAACCCGACACGGACCCTCTGTTTACAGTGAAGGCTATCAATGATAGTTGGCAATTTCCCAGTAACATTTTTAGCACCTGATAACAATTGAAGACCTTTAGAATGAAGCAAGCAAATGAATGTGCATTATGTGTTTTTTTTCTTCTTTTATTTGCAAATGAATAGAGCTGCCCATATTTTTATGGGCTACAGTGTACAGCAAACTTAGTGGATCAAGTTAAATATGTTTGCGGCAGAAGAGCTGCAGGACACGAGAGGTGCTTAGATGTGCACAGGGACCTATTCTCATAATCCATTCATACTTATTATATTTCGGAGAGTAAAATGACAGCATGACACTGTATTATGTGCTGAAATGTAAAAGTGGCTTATCTTCTCACCTGACTGCAGTGATGCACACATAATATATGACCCCTTGACATCACTGTTGCTGGCGTTCCGAGACTTGGCCCAGCCAAGGCAGCAAAAACGCTGCTGTTCAGCCTGGTGTTCAGTCGCTCCAAGTATTATTTAAGTCAATTGTTCAATATCCTTTCAACCCTAGACATTTTTAAAGTTAAAAAGAGACTTTTTTCAATATTTTGGGGTTTGTACAGATGCAAACATATAAAATAAATTAGAAAAAACAAGGGATGAGAAGAAATATTAATGAAGAGCCCTTTTCAAGTTCCCAATTACAATGTGCACAACAGAAAACGCACAACACACATTAATAAAATACAGAACATGTTTGGAGAACCAGAAGTGAGGAAAAAAAAGAGTTATAAATGATGACGCTTGGTTGGATATTAAAGGAGCGATGGTAAGAAAGCCTTTGGAGATGTACTGTCGTGTCATAGGTGACTGTCTGTGTCTGAAGCTGGTGGAGATTTGTTCCGTTTGTGTGACCAGGAGGCTGCAGCGCGTCATGGAGGAGCTGGTGTTCACAGAGAGGGAGTACGTACGCTCACTGGGCTACATCTTGACCCACTACCTCCCCCTGCTGGACAGACCAGATATCCCCCAGGACCTCAGGGGCAAGAGAGGGGTCATCTTCGGTAACCTGGAGAAGCTTTACGACTTCCACAGTCATTACTTCTTTCCAGAGCTGGAGGCCTGCCAAAGGGAGGCTGGCATGGTGGCCCGCTGCTTCCTCAGACATGTGAGCCGAACAGTACGACTGTAATATATAAATGTCAGCCAGTCTTCTTCTATACCGCTTCTCCTCCCCACCAACTAACCTAAGCCCCTGAGCAAGTCTTTGGTCTGTGGGGGCAAACCGGAGAACCCGGAGAGAACGCATGCAACCCCGGAGAGAACATCACAAAAAAACCTATATATATTATTTCTTATGTAATGTTTGATTTTTGTGTTTAATCTAGTTTTTACTGGATTTGTTTAAGCAATATTTTGTGTATTTGTTATTTTTCTAATTATTGTATAGTTGAAATCCCAGAATAGTCCCATCCCACTTCTCAAGACGTGATGGGAAGGATTGTAGAAGGATTTCAGTCATACTATCATGATATGAATATAGATATATGTGGGTACCAAAAGTAATGGTTGGCTTGTGAATGGTTGTTTTTCTTACATTGTTTAACCGTTTCCACAGAGTGAGAGCTTTGGCCTGTACGCTCTGTACAGCAAGAACAAACCTCTGTCAGATGCTCTTATCCTCCACCGTCGCCACGACATTTTCAAGGTCTGGTCACATGTCTCGTCTTTTTCTTGTTCGACACATAAAAGCATGAGAGTCTCCCATTCGTCAAGTAGATGTCCTACATCCCTTTCTTTTTGGTGGCTACACTACGTAAAGCTCCATCTTCCACAGAGATTTACATCTCTTTGTAGGACTTGCATGGACTAAACCTGCATTGGAACCCAATTTGTTTGTTATAGAACTTTCACTTTAGCTGCAGTAGAGTTCTAGTGTCATGCATGACCTTTTCGCCTTTAGAGCCCCATATTGTTTCCCCTCGCAGAAGAAGCAGCAGGAGCTGGGCGACATGATGGACCTTTCATCGTACCTGCTGAGGCCCATCCAGAGGATCAGCAAGTACAGCCTCTTGCTGCAGGACATGCTGGCCCTGGCTGGCTCGCACGGGCCAAAAGACGTGATCCAGGACACACTGCTCGCATCCAGTGTGTGCGCACAAAGTGTGTGTGGCCCAGGTTCACGCGCGGCCGATCCGACGAGCATCGAGCCGGACCGGGAGAGGGCCGAGATCCAAGCTGCTGCAGATCTGGTTCGTTTTCAGATGCGACACGGCAACGATCTGCTCACCATGGACGCCATCCAGGAGTGTGACGTAAGATATCAAAAGGAGCAAGAAGATGCACCTGGTTCACATCAGTTAAATTAAGTTAACAGTGTTTCTCTCTGCTGTGCTCAATATGTCAGGTGAATTTAAAAGAGCAGGGCCAGCTCGTTCGCCAAGATGAGTTCACCGTTTTCTTTAGGAAGAAGAAATGTGTCCGCCGCGTCTTTCTCTTTGAGGATCTCGTCCTCTTCAGCAAGACCAGGAGGACAGATATTGGCAACGATGTTTATGTCTACAAGCAGTCATTTAAGGTTTATATCAGCCTAAATACTTACAGTTTGCTCTACATCACAGGCGTTTTCTACTGTAAACGTTTGGTGCAAAGCTTCCTACGGAAACCACGTATGTTGGTTTCCATCATTGTAATTTCTGTTTGTGTTTCATCTGCCAGACGAGCGACATCGGGATGACCCACAACTCCACTGTGAACAGCTTGTCTTTTGAGATATGGTTTCGCAGAAGAAAACGCCAAGACACCTACACCCTGAAGGCCTCCAGCATGGAGGTGAAGAAAGTGTGGACCACCGACCTGGAGAGGATTCTGTGGAATCAAGCCACTCACAGTCGAGGTACTAACAACATGTCTTACGAATAAAGCACTCGCATAATGATGAAGTTTACAAAGTGCTGTGGAGGATTTCTTTAACTGGGCTACACGTTGCAGAGCTGCGCATGCAGGAGCGGGTGTTCATGGGAACGGGCCGGAAGCCCTTCATGGACATTCAACCCAGTGATGCTGCCATCTCCGACCGAGCGGTCAGCTGCGCTCCGCCCGGGAGAAGTAAGAAGCACAACAACACAGAATACTTCCATCAGACTGCCGGCAACATTAGTGAAAACATTTTTTACTCCAAACTGAGTTTAGTAACGCTTCATTTGTATTACATAATATATCTGTGAATCAATGGGTGGTTGAGGCTCTGTGGATAGATCAACGTCTGGCGTTTCAATCCACAGCTCCTACTTGTCTGAGCGTCCTTGAGCGAGACACTGAAACCGAAGTCTCCCTCTGGAGCTTAATGGCCACTGCTGCAGAGCTCAAATCATGCTAGACGTATGCGTTGAAGATACACGGGGTTGCAATTTTAGCGTGCTAACGTACTAAATCAAAACAGTATACTTCCTAAGCAGCAGCACGGTAACATTGTGATTACATACATACTGTTCACCCTCACAGAGCAGCTAGTGGGCTTTAGACTAGACTCATTTAATTTTTTTTCCTTATTTATTTTCTTTCCCATTTTTATATTTTTTTAAAATACAAAAATATATATCCTTTTTCATGATACAACTGCTTGTGCCATCACTGACCCCGCTCATCATTTTCTCCTTGATGGCATCTATCCGTGTGTGTGGTCAGTGCCTGTGGCCTGTTGTTCACACAGGAGCATAGACTATCCAAGGCCGCACTCCGTCGGCTCAGGCAGCACCGCCTCCACCAACCTCAGCCAATCATCTTCCTCCTCTGGACGAGGCTCGCTGCCCCCTGCCGGTTATCCGGGGAACCAGTCCCAGGGTTTGGAGAGCGGCTTCGCTGTCTGCTCCTCCCCGGAGAGTGTAACTGAAAATGAACTCAACATTCATCATCTTCGTCAGCATCCTCTTTGTCGTAGTTGTGAACAATGGAGGAGTCATCATCCCCCGGGTGGGTTAAAAAAAAAATAGCGCAGATGAGTTCCAGTGACATTTAATGTGATTATCAACCTAAAGTAGTACGACATTTGAATAGGAGAAAGTATTTTTAAAACCACTGCTGATTTGAAAATTCTTTAGTCTGGCTCCACCTGTTGGCAGCATCCACACTTTAGCAGAGGTCCTCGCTGCTTTAGACCATGGAAAATGTGAACATTCTTGGATGCTTGAAAAATGTACTTTTTCTCAAAGTGTCAAGTAATGAGAAATTCTCTGTTTCTATGGTTTATTAAAGGATCTGAACCATCCAGAGAATGCATCGACCTCTTTAGCAGCCCGTCTGCTATTGGTGCAGAGCTAACTGCATCCTACAGTTCAAAACTCCTTCCACCACCTTGTCGGACCCCCAGCCTGAGGGAGAGAGACAGCTCACCTTTGGTTAACAGAAAGAATCAAGGAGGGGTCCACCAACCTCCACATCTGGCTAACATTCAGGTACAGGTGAAGGTGTAATCGTACCAGCCGCTTTTTCAACTGAAAGCAACGGGTCAATACTGAAAAGGGTCCCAGTCACATGTCGTTCCTCCGAAGCTGTGGTTGTTTGAAAAGGGTTGGAATGTGTATCAAGATGAGATGAGAAAACTCTTTGATAGTCCCACAAGATAATACTCAATGAAAATGTAGCTTTATTAGAACATCAAATCCACAAAACAGATGAACCATTAGAGTTAAACATGTTTCTTTTTCTTTTAACCATGTTTTTGACTTATGATGTAATATTGAATCTTACATTGCAGGTGGATGACATTATTATTGGAAAATCAACAGAAGTTTAACACTGGATTCCCTGCAGGAGGTAAGAGTGAAAATGTAAAAGAAAAAATAGATATGTAATGTAATGTAAAAAAGAGATATACACTATCTCATCTTAATTTTGAGTTTCTCACTTGAAAAGTAGAATATAATTATAAGTTTAAATCTGCTTTGATGTATCTTTGCGTTTTGTTTCTTCCTGTTACAATCTAAATTATCCTCCTTGTACATAATGTCATTGTTTTTATTATTTTTACCATGTAAAGAGACTTTGGCAGCCTTTTCAAAGTGTTATATAAATATGTGTTGTCATTATTATTATTATAAATAAACAATACACACAGTAACATTGAAATGATGACTTTTCAAATATTGCAAATGTAAGTCCAACCCCTTTATTTGATGTAGTCCTAATTTAACCAATGAATCCTTTCTATGTTTATACTAGTATCCATCTCAGATAAACTTGCTTTCCATTATTATTATTACCAATGTCCTCTGTAAGCACAAGTTGTTCCTTAAATATTGTTGCAGATCATCTCCTGCAGCTGCTCGTCCTGTTGGAGATCCTGTGGCCACCAGACGTCCTTTGATGATCACAAGACAAGTCAGCTTTGTCTGGTCAAAAGTTCTTGTTTTAATGATTTACCGAAGCAATTGAAGTTTGATGTGTTGGTATCACGTGTCGGTCATTCAGACGTGGCTGTCTTACATCACCTATGGACTTAACAACACTCAGGAAAAGAAGGGGATACTACATGGATGATGTGGTAGACGGATTCCTCATGAGAAACGATTTTGTGGGATCTTCTGTGCTGTGCAGTCATTAATGTGCAGGGATCACAAAAGGTTGCATTCGTTATTGTGATGGAAATAAACCGCTTGTGTGAGGGAAGCACACAGGACCAGCATCAGCACACATGCATGGCTCTGTGTTGCATGCTCCTTTTCATTTGTTATCAGGCAGAGCAACATGATTCTTTTAAAAACTCAATCACGTTGTTATGGTTACAAGATGTGGAGAGGCATGTGGATACAGAGAAAGAAGTAAAAATTATATACATGTATATGGAAGGTTACTTCTTTTTCTCCACACTTTAGAAACCTTACAGTAGTTCTGTATTTGCCAGATGGGATTGACCACTTGCATATGTGTTTTCACATCTGGATTTTAACTGCTCTGTAACCCACGGATTTAATACAGAAAGTAAATAGAGAGAGAGCAAATATTTGAAAGACCAGGTTGTCATGTATTCTCTGGATAGTGACAGATACAGTAGATGAAGAGAAGCTTTCAGGGAAAAAACACCTTAAGTTTTGTAGGATCCACTAATGGTTTCATACCAACATCCCACAACAAGAATCTTTTCTGATTATTTTGTTATCTTAACAAAAGATGAATGAATGAATCAGTTCATAATGTCATCCTCTATTTATTTGATCTTCAAGCTACTCACCTTTTTTCCTTTTGTTGATATGTTACATTACTTTTGCTTATTTAGCAGTCAAGTTGACTGTAGTTTGTGTTTCTTTGTTTTGTAATGTGAGGTTGCTTCCCTCTCAGCTGACAGACTGCAGTAAAATGAAGATAATTCCCCAAACTGTGATGATGCTTCACTTTCTTATTCCACAGACAGTCATTTCCATGGAGGACGCCGTAGACACTTATTGCAAAAGTTTTCATTTCCTTTGTGCAGGTGTCACTGTGGTGCGGACCCCGAATGCAGTTAAAATCACTTCTTCAGTTTTGTATTTCATGTTTTATGGGTATTCCTCTGGCTAATAAGCTTTAATACATTTTGTGGAATAATAGTAGGAGATATTAACCCACATCCTCCTCTATTGAGTTGCAGTCATGACCTTTTTACAACTTCTCCCAGTTGTTGAAAGATGTAAAAGGGAGAATCCTATTATATGGCCTGAGATATGTCACAGAGTTTACTGCCTTGCGACAAAAACAGCTGCTAAATTGCGGATATTGTTTAATGTATGGTGTGTAATTTACTTCTTTACATTATAGAATTTACAGTTTGTGATTAATGTTGAATGATAGTATTTTATTTATGTTGAATCATAAATTGATGAAGATTGTGCAGCTGCAGAAAAAGTTGACTATAATTGACTAAAACTACTATAAGGCATCTTGTACCTGTGGATCTGTTTATTGCTTTGTGTTATATTCTATATTATGTGACCCACACACACAACAGATTACCGATTTGGTTTTTGGAGGTTGGTGTAAAATGTATTAATAAGGGGGAAAAAGTATTAGAAGTATTAAAAACAGAATTAGTGGTGCAACAAATTGTCAGATGTGGGCGCCAAGATCAGGTTGCAAATATATAGAGGGGCCGTTACACTGCAGATGAGCACAGGCTTTACATTCTGTACATGTTGAGTAAAAAGTATAGAATTTACACACAGTAATCATAGGCCTGAATGGAAAAGTGCCCAGTTGACTCTTGACCCTTTGACCCTAAGTTTGCTCAATTTAGAGCGCAAGACCTGCTGGGTGTATTGTACTGGAACCAATGAAGGGATTTCATTACTGAGAAATGTGTTCTTTGTGCATGTGTAAAGATTAGGCTGCTACATTATGAACAAGTAGCTCATTTGTTTCATTTATTTCTAGGATATTTTATTTTTGTTGGATGCAGCAAAGAGTAGACAGGATACAAAAAGTTGGAAATGATGCAACAATATCAAAGTCATCAATACCAGGAGACCCCCTTCGGCCAACATATCTATTTGCAGTGTTAGTTTAGTACTTTGTGTGAACTGAGCTTTGTGGAATCAGTAGACCGGAGGAGTGTTTGTAGTTTTTTTACAGTAAAATACAGCTAATAATGGATTATTCCATTTTATCCTCATCTACATCAGAACATTGCATAAGACGCGGGGCCGAGTACTCGACCAAGTTAGGGAGTCCGTGCACAATGCAACAGCTCGGGGCGCTGCAGGCCACTTTCAAGGACCTGACATCAGACCACATGCTAGTTTCGCCATCAAAACACTCAACCTTAATCATGGTGGAGAAGCCGTTGTAGCCCCCCACCACAAAGACGCGGTCATCGATCACGGCAATACCGAAGTTACTGCGGGCGGCCAGCATGGAGGGCACAGCGCGCCAGGTGTTGGTGTCGGGGTTGTAGGCCTCAGCAGTGTTTAGACGGATGAACCCGTTGAAGCCGCCAACCTTTAAGAGAGAAGAGGATTAACATGTCGGTATTGCTTCAACCAGTTTTCTGTTCTTCTTACTTTATACTCAGCAGCGCTCTTGCAAGGAAGGGCAACGGACACAAAGTTACATAGTATTTATAGTAAGTAGAACCTAAACTTAGCCCTTTTGTGCAAAGTTGTATTCAAGGCAGCTTTTGGTGGAGTTGCCAATGGAAACCAAGACGAAAAGGGCCTGATATAGATGTATCTTTTAAAAACACTGCATTTATTTAGTGCGTAACAATTTCACAATTTCCTCATCCAAATTGATTTGAAAAAAACGTTTAAATCCTCAAAAAGATATTTAGTTCACTATTGTGGGAACATTAGGAAAACCTAAACTAAGTACCTATATATAATAAATATTTATCTATTTAAAACCTTTTTTCATTCTTGAGTTTTCTTCCAGTCTGAGCAATGTTTAATGTACTTACTGCAAAGATTTTGCCTGCATAGGCAATGACCCCCACTCCAGTGCGCCTGTGGCCCATGGAGGCAATCAGTGTCCACTGGTTGGTCTCTGGGTTGAAGCATTCAGCCGTTGACAGGCACTGACTCCCAGTGAAGCCACCGCAAATGTACACCTGAGGGGAATTTTAGAGGTAATAAGTAATTAAAGTTTAATTGAATAATGTATATATTATAAATAATAATGTGATATTTACTTGATTTACATTTCTGATTTTCAGTCAAGCTCAAATGCTCAAATAACCGAACTAGAGATCCACTTGTTCCCTCCCCGCCCTCCCTCTCTGTTACAAAGTGCTGAGGCATTGACACCTAAAACCTGAAAATAAGTTAGTAGTTTTGTATCCAGGTTCCCTCGACTAAAAGTCAGAGAGACTTCATAAATGCTTATGAGTTAACGTTTTGTTCTACAATATACCTTCCTTGGTGAATTCCAAAACCTCTACGTGGCTTTTAAAAAGCAAGATGTTTTCTGCAATAGTTGAAACTCCAATGAGCTTTTTGTGGAGGGAACCAATGCTAAGCTAACTGAGGTTTGGCCTCTACACAGCCAGGTCATCCCTGCAGAGCTGCACCCACCTTGCCACGGAGGGACGTGCAGCTGGCGTCACTCCTCTTCTTGTGCATGGAAGGAATTAAAGTCCACTGGTTGGTTCTGGACTCGTAGCGCTCAGCACTGCTGAGTCGATCCAGTCCATCATAACCTCCCATGGCATATATGCACCCGTCCATCACAGTTACGCTGACATAGCAGCGGGTCCAATGCATTTGTTTCACCTCTGTCCAGGTGTGCGTGGCCAGGTCAAACCGGTGCACGCTGCTGAACCGCTCAACATTGTCAAAGCCACCGACAATGTAAACTGCTCCATCAAGGAAAACGGCGCCATGGTAGGCCCGGGGAGTGTAATCCCCGTTTTTGGGGATATCGACCCAGCGATCAGCGCGGCTATCATACGCCACGATGGCATCGGTGGGACGGCCACCGCTCCAGCCTCCAAGAGCCAACAGGACGGTCGGGGACAGTCGCGGGCGGGACAGAGGCTTATAGAAAATAGTGTCAGAGAACCTGCTTGTATGGAGCTCAAGCATGGCCGCCAGGGAGTGTTTGAGAAGCGTGTGGCACTCCGTGCTCGCCAGCACCAGTTCGTTGTTTCTCACACTGTTTGTGATGAATTGTAGACTCGTTAAAGCCAGCCTGACCTACACAGGGAGACAGAAGTAGAAATTAAATTGTTTAAAAATACGGCTGATATTACACACAAAAATGTCTGCCTTTTGTTAACACCAGATACATCCGTTTTCACAACCGAATCTACAAAATAATTATCAAAAACAATTATGTTTGCCAATTAAAATTGGCCAAAGGCCAAATTGGATTTTTTTAATTCTCAAATATCAATATATAATCAAGTAACTTTAACTGTGGTAGATTATGTGGAAAAACCTTACATTCAATATTGCTCATCTTGCGACTGTTTAACCTTTAGACACAATTTACATTTATCATGAATTCCTTAATTTAAACCCGGGCTTTACCACTGTTTTACTGTGACGACTCAAAAAAAGGAACAAATAATAATCCCGACACCTAAACATAAAATTTCTCATGGATTCAGCAGAATCTAGGATCCTCAATAATTGGACCACGATTAAACGATAGCTTTTTCTCCTCTACATCCGCTTTTGACCGTTGCAGACTATACTTTGGTTGTTTCCACAATAGTCCTGCTCGTGCTGTTCACGATCCCACAAGAGCAAGATGTCAAACGTACAAATCAAAAATGATTTATCTGTCACTTACATTGGACAAAAGCAGAGAGATGTGTTCTCTGCGCTCCTCAGCGGCGTAGGCGATCCAGCTAAGGATGGCGACAAACACCGTCTTCTCCTGCTTGACGTTGAGGTGGTCGTCCTCAATGATTTGAACCAGTTCCTGCACAGACAGCAGCGGGAACTCCTCTGAGACGGAAGCCACCTCTTCAAAGTGGGTCAGCGTGTAGAGGAAGGCCTTGTTGGTCAGTTCAGGGGTGTGGTAGACACCTGTGAGCCGCCAGATGCCGATGCAGTTCCCCGGGGCCAGATGTTCCTCCAGGAGGCTGCAGCAGGCTTGAGTGATGCCCGTCACGTTGAACTGGTGCGCCGCAATGAAAGACTCTTGTACATTTTCTTGCGTCACAGCGGGAAAGGCGGTGTAGGCAAACTCGATGATGATCTTCATGATGTCAGGAGACACATGGGGGATGTCAAAGACCTGCCTGTCTTGGGTTGACCAGTTGGTGAAGAGGGCTCTGCGAGACCGGAACGAGGGACATGAGGGTTTGAAAACGATGGAGGTCCATTCACTCCATTCACAATAGCACTTAAAATAGTAATACATGCAAACCGCATATTGGGATGGGTGATCCAATTGCATTTCCCCCCTTGAACCCACTGTCACACATATTTGTCTGTTTTTTAGGGGGGTTTACCATGATTGATTAAGTTGTGGCAAGAATTTGCCACGCAGATTTGTTGATAAATGTAACAATTTGTTCACAACTAAATAATTGATATCAAATTGAAATACCACATTAAGACATCAAGACATTGGGAAATACGGTCAAAGAATCGTCAGTGTGCCGCCATAACCAGTCACTGCACAGATTGGATGGCATTCGTAAAGTAATGTCGTATATCAAGTCATCTTTATTACAAATTCAACTCAAAGGGATGTTATCTGAAACAGTGGCTTCAAATCACCTTCGGCGAGCTGAACGTGTGCAGACAGTGAACGTGACCGTCACAACAAAAATGTATGAGTACATCCTTTTAAAATATCCTATTCACATGTGTTTACTCCCTGTGTATCTTTTTCTGCTTATCCAAAAACTCACTTGAAGTACGGGCTGCAGTTGCAGAGGACGATCTTGTGCACGTGAAACCGAGCGCTGCCCACTGTGATCACCGCGTCACAAAGCTGCTGTTCCAGACGGAGCTCATTGTACACCGACATCTTTCCGTGTGGGGGTTTCTTCACTGAGTCCACTGACTTGTAATTATAACACACTTATAATTCACTATTTTGATGCTACTCTCAGTTCATGGCAGGATTCTGGAAGGGAATTCTATGACATCATAGAATGAAGAACAGCAACCACCCTTCCAATAGAAAGTTCTAATAAAAAAGGGTTCTATGATGACAGCTTTTGCCATAATGCACATTGATCAAATCTTTACTGAGTTGTGTTGATGCAATCCTCTAAACAGCAGCCAGGTGGTTTATTTAACTGCTAATCCACAGACATACAATGCTGCTCTGAAACTCTTATGAACATAATGAATGTTATTCGTTTGGGGAAATCAAAATCACAACCTTGTTCAAACTTTTTTCTCATGACCTGTTTTTAATACATTTTGTGGTATACTGAGACTTTCTTTTGAAATAATATAACATGACTTTAAGACTTTCTTTGACATACAACACTATGACTTTTTGAGAAAGAGTCATGACCGTTTTATAATTTTTTTCAACATTATTGGAGGACATTTTGTCAATTGTCCCCAACGAATTGTCCTCTTATTATTTTGTTACTTATTTCAACATACTCAACAGACTTTTTTAAATCCCTTTTTAATAACTACACAGATGATTCTTTTTGTTCAATGAGACATTGAGACAATGAGACACATTGTTGGAGATGAGAAAGTTTTCTGAAAATAGATCAGCATGACTCCATCAGTGTAGCTTGCGAGCCGGTAGCCGCCTCTGGTATAGAGGAGATGTGTAAGGTACTTTATACATAAGGTTAAGTACAAAATGTTGAGAAAAATCCAAGAAGTCCTGATGTGTTGTTTTGTAAAGTCTTAATATAGTACGTTATAAAAAGGGTTATAAATATGAAAACGTGTTTTATAAATTCATAGTATGCGATCTAAAAAAATGGTGCTACAAAAATGTATTGGCTACTTGATTTGGGTTTTGTCCTGTTGTGTGTCTCTACAGAAAAGTACACTATTTGGTTCTGTTATGGTAGTACGGTATCATTGTGTGGCGAGAAACACAGTAACGATCTAGCGTACGAGAACAGTGAAGCAGACAAGCTTTAAAATGCTGCTGAAATCCTTCATGGAATAAAGTGGTAGTATTAGTAGTATATAAGTTAAATTTACTGTTGGTTTATGTTTTAAATCAAGACAGAACCAAATAAATACTTTGAATATCTACTCTTAAATAAAATAAAAAGTTCTGACATCGGGGGTTATTTTAAAGCACCAGCTCCAAATATCAGTTTTCTCACTGCATCCTTTTACTGATTATGTGATATGAATCACATTCCGCATGAAATACGTTGTGGTTCCACACTGTTAGAACACAATAGTCCATCTGAGGATTCACTTTAAAGGATTATTTGCTACACGATTTTGTTCCTGAGCCGTTGCTTTTGCAGGTACAGCAACGTAATCTTATACTTCCTCTCCCCAGCAGCAGAAGCTGTGATCGGTTTATGAAAACGTAAACAAAAAGGAGAAAGTAAACCATTTTTATTAAGTTTTATAAAACTTCTTGAATATTTTTTTTCTGTATACAGACAATCAAATATGAGCTAAACAAATGAGACATACTGTTCAGGTCTTGACAGAGATCTGTTGGGTAAAATCATATGAAACTGTTGTGTACCAAAAATGATGGTGGTGAATAAGTCACACTTCTGATCCTTAACTTATACGTTTTAGGGGTTTACGGCTGGTGTCCTCATTTAGAAAAAAAGAAACATAAGAAAGGGAGTGAAGAGATGTTGCTGCGTCTCTTCAGTAAAATATTTCATCACGTAGAATCTACACACCTGTTGGACTAAGTAATATGTATGAATTAGTATTCATTAATTTAACAATACCAATTTTGAGATTTGAGATCATTACCAGTCCATATTAGTTTACATTCAAGGTTTTTTTATTTTTTACCAAAACACGCTATATAAAAGGTCTCCATCTGCTCCACTAAATCTTGATATTTCTACATTGCCCAATTCTGCATTCTAAAACGTAATATTTAATACCCGTGTTTTTTCTCTCATCTTTTACCGTAGATGTTTGAGTTATTATACTGTACGACTGTCCTTTTAACAGAATTTTCATATCTCAAGCATCCGTCCAAATTAGTGCATGAAAACAAATGGGAACTTTGAATCACAAAGTTTTAGCCTGTAAACGAGAAAACACGCTTGCAAACTGGGGCACAAAAGTAAAGCACGTCTATTGTCTTTCTCTATGAGGACAAAACCTATTTATCACCGTCTTCTGACCACGTACTTTCATGAAGCAACCAAAAAGCAACAATCTGATGAGATCTAATTTTACATACACATTAAAGACCACCTACGGGCCAATAAAAAGCCACCAACAGAAAACCCAAAAATAAAACTGAATGGTACATCCTCTTCACAGTGTAGTCACAAGCGCTTGAGATCCATGAGAGCAAATGGCCGTCCTTTGATCACAGACTCCACTAAACATACCACGCTGAGAGACTATTTGATTGACAGGTCCTTAGAGCAAACATTTATGTCCGTCTAAACATCGCTTCTCTGGCCCGCCCTCCTCCTTAAAAAAAGTAAAAACCAAACAGGAAACAAACTCGTTCTAAGCTGGTGGAGCGGAATCCTTGTCGATCGAACGCGCGCTGGGAAAATCCAGAGCAGCAGAGTCTCAGTTCTCCTCTGCAGAGCATTTTGATTTCACCAAACGATGCTTCCAACGTCGCGGCCTCGGTCCGGTCTGGAGAGGTTGCCGAGGGAGGTTTGACCACATTCGTAGTCCGACCGGTGAGGCGGCTGGAATTGTTCTGGGAATCAAACATGTGGCCGGGTTGGCTCGGGGAGGGGGCTCGGGGGGGTGTCGCTTCTGGTCCAAAGACCTCTCAGTCGGTGGAGAATAGATCTCCGGCCGAGGGGAGAGGGGCCAGACCCCCGGTCACATTGGGCAGGAGGGAGAGGTCGGGGAGAGACTGGATGTGGGACTTGAGCTCTTTCCTAACTTGGGTCACTCTCGCCAGTTTCTGCTTATACTCCTGAAGAGACAAGAAGACGCAGCACAAGCATGAGCGACAAATGACTTAAAAAAACAATTTGTTATCACAATTCCATTGGACATTTTTATTCCAGATTTGGATTCCTGGCCTGTTTGAAAGACATTTTGGTGACTTTTTTTGGCTTTAGAAGACAATAAAGATACATTAAAATTTGGGCCTTGCTTGTCTAGATGTGGCCACCAAAATGTATTGTAAGTCATTTCTAAAATATGAAAATGTATAAAAGCCGTCAGATGGTCAGACCAGTTGTAAACGTGCTGGATGCTACTGTGGGACCTTCTTTCCTCTTACTTCGCCATCAATCCAGATGTCAGTGGTTAATAGTGGGAAAGATTATTCTACTGAAAGGTATTATTGACAAAAGTATGAAAATAGTAGATAGACCTAATGTGTAGTACAACAGAATTGAATCAGGTGGAATGTTACCAGTGTGTCCACATTTTCTTCCTTCAGCCAGACTGGGTTTGTCATGTGCTGACCACTTTTCATTTGTGTATTCAAAAACAAGTGTGGATTGCACACTCCATTTAGTATCAGATTACAAAAATGCAAAGATTTGACTAAAGACATTTGCGATTATAAATTACAGGTTGGCTGCACAATTAGTGCCGGTTTGATTACTTCTCAACGGGATAAAAACTAAGCCCTCGCTGTTAATATGTGAAGGAGACCCTTTCACAACCCAGATGCTTGTATCAGTTCTTGTCATACGGTCACAATCGTGGATGCTGCGCCTTGCCTCTAGTTTCTTTTCTCTCTCCATGAGCACCTCCCTCTGGCTGTTGATGTACTCCGTCAGCATGCGAGCCAGCTGCCTGCGGTCCTCCAGCTCTGCAGCCAGTCGCCCGTTGTACTCCGCCAGAAGCAAACACGCTTCGTCCACCGTCTTCGACAGCTTGTCCGCTGCCTCCTTGTCTACATCGGTGTCAAAGAGGCTCGTAAGGTCACAGATCAACAGACTGGGTCTCAAAACACTTTATCATTAGAGAAAAAAAAAAAACGCCACACAGAAAAATGCCCATCATTTGTAAGCAGCATTTATAAATATTATGAATATAAATATCATTATTATTGTAATGTAAATACAATGCCGTTTAAAGGGTATTGCTGCACTAAACTTAAACAGAACAACAGGCAGAGTAACGTGTTTTGTTGAAGACAACCTAGAGAGTCAGGCTTGCGTTGCTTGCGTCGAAAGCCTAGAAAAATGTCTCGACACACGCAAGGACGCAAGGAGGTGTGAAAAGCGACGCAAGGGACACGCAAGGGGGTCTTGCGTCGCTCTGAAAACGCAGAAGCATAAACTAGGCTTTACCCCCGATTTGCTCCAGCAAAGAAACGTCCTGGACTTCCTGCGGCAGAGATGCGATCTTCTGACGGACCGCTGCGTCGCCCGAGGCAGCGTTCTCCAAGTCCTGAAGGGCTTTCACCAAATCCTCCGTCTGAGATGGTGTCAGAGGGGGTAATACAGGGGGCCGGTTAACAGGAGTTGAAGAGGAGCGGGGAGGAGAGCATTGGGGGGAATTGGGAGGCGGATCAGAGGGGTCAGGAACAAGAGAGGCGCCAAGAGGAAATAATCAAATGCAGTGGAACAAGCAAAAATCATAATTATTTTTCCTCCTGCATTGTGTACCATCGAAGTGAAACACACCAGTTGGGTTGCGGATATGTCTGCATTGCGAGGCGAGGCGTTGCTTCTGTAGTCGTCATCCTCATCATCATCTTCTTCTTGGATCTTCTGATAGCTTCTTTTCACAGCCTTCTTCTCTTCTGCAGGGTCAAATTTAGAGGCCAAAAAACAATTTCAAATCACTCATTTGAATGACAAAGTGTGAGTTTTAAAAATTCAAGGTTGTGTGGTAATGTGGACAGATCTACAGTACCAGTCAAACGGATCGCTGGTGCTGCAGATCGTTTAAAAACCATTGAAATCCCTCTTAAAAGCCCCTTTTTATAACAAACATATTATTATGGATGTAGCGGAAGAGTTGTGCCACCTGACGGCCGGGGGCTGTTAGAGTCTTCTATGGCCAGTTTGAGCTGCTGAATGAAGTCTGCTCTGTAGAGGGCTCTCTCTTTCCAGATGTTCAGCAGCCTCTCCATGTGCTTTTTACAGCCGTCATCTGCTTCCCTGCAAGGAGGCGGGACAGCAGAGGGCCAGAGAAGGAGAAGAAGAAGAAGAGGAAGAAGATTGATCGAAAGGGTTGGGGTTTTTTTACAGCTCAAAACAGAGGAAAAAGATGATTTCGGGACAAAAGACTGGACACAATTTACTCATTCAATTTAATGAGAAAGTGTGTCCAAACCTTAGTCTGGTCGCAATATACTCAACAATTTCCTTAAAAGGCCTCCGGCAGTAAAGGAGATTCCCAAACACACGTTGTCCCACCTACCTGGCAACGTGGGAGCAGGCGTCGACGAGGACGGTCTCAAAGTCCTTTGTGAACTCGGGTCCTTTCTTCTTGCTGTTCTGGATGACGTCGTTGGCCAGGTACAAGAACGTTAACTTCCTGGAGCTTTTAGCTAAAAATGTACATGAAATGAATAACGTTAGACATTGGGATTGTACTCAGTACTGATGTTGAGTACTAGATTTCACGCAACTAAATACTAATACTATGCTGAATTTCAAAGGCAAATATATGCATGTGTATTATGATAATTACAGCAGTAATATCAACCCGCAAAGAAGGCATTTGACTGCAGAATCAATTATTTTACTGTTGGTTAATTGATCACATATCGCTGCCATGACATACCGAATAAAGGCTTTGTATGCAGGACGTTACATTGTAGTCGAGTATTTCCACTTAAATTACGTTAAATGATAAGAATACTCTTTCACGCCTGGTAATAACACTTTTTTTTTTTACAGAACTCCTTTATTCCACATTTACACTTTAACTCCTCCTCGCTCACCTTTCTTCAGCTCTCGGTGCCACACTTTGACGATGAGGCCCGAGTGCTTGCGGTGGTGGATGATCCACAGCGACAGAGTCTGGACGCTCTGCTGCGAGCTGCTCAGCTCCGTCAGCTTCTTCTCCAGAGCCGACTCGGAGAAGGACGACATGGTGCGCGCGGCGTGTGCCTTCGCCCCGGGAACCGAGTGGACCCGAGCCGAGCCGACCCGCTCTAGAGGAAACCCGAGCTCTTACCTAGTTTAGGGGGGTGCAGAAACTCGCACTGTCATCAAAACTGAAGTTGTGGCGCAAAAGCTGCAGACATGCAGCGTCAAACCCGCCTCCCGCCGACCGCTCCCCCTCACCCCCCCACTAACGTTACGTCCCCAGCGCTACGTTAGCGGTCCCCGGGTGAATGCAGTCGACCACTTATACCGAACGCACCTGACATGCGGGGGTCCTTTTATCAGCCGTGCTGTTCCTCGCTCGCTGTGGTGTTTGTTTACAGCCGCGGCTAACGTTAGCTTTCCGAGCTAACCAGCCATCTGCAGCCCGGTGCAGCGCCGAGCCGAGCCGAGCCTGCGCCGGAGCCCGGGTCGAGGAAATATTCGGTAATATTCGTGCGGAGTTTCTCTTCGATGCACCGACGCGTGCACACAAAACTGCCAAAGAGCGATGGCGAGACTCACAGTTTGCCTTTGCCTGTACAATCAGGAAGATTCCATCGAAAAAAAATGGCAGCTCGCACTTTCACCTCGACATGTGCGTCGCACAGTAGTGACGCAGGCAGAGCCCGGCATCGGCCATCGCCCCCGTACATGTAATAAGGAGCCATGCTTCACCCAGAGATACAAGAGTAGTGTGGATCAAATCTACCCCCTCCTACACGGCTACGTGATATTGTTAATAGCTCATTTGTTTCGGTGCCTCAGAGGGTCTATTTATTTTAGCAGCAGAAATTACAGCTAGTATCTTAAAGAACTGTGAGGACTTGGAAAGGCAGCGATGAAGATCAGATGACCTGAGGTTCATGATTTGCTTTACCCGTTAACACAAAATGAACAAATCATGAATCTTGAATCATTCATTATTTAAAGCAGCAGCCTGATTTGAATGTTTGAATGGAAACCATAAGGGTTAACTACTAAATACTTTTTCGGATTGAAAAAAGGAACACTCACACAGGGCTAATAGTTTCACTCAAAAAAAAAGTTTGTAGAGGCACAGACATTGAATACGTCCATTTGCCTTCATAATACTGCGGTTAAGAAAATGCACAACAATCCTGTCAAAACAATGGGTTTGAGTCCTGCACACCGGTAATCATCAAGCAAATTTCATGTTTGTACAACAGGTGTGTTTAACAAAATGAGCCTTCAATATCAACCAAATGCAAATTCAGCTGCACCTGCATAAACTTTTCTCATGACGGACATTTCAACTAAAAGTCAAGTCAAGTCAAGTCATTTTATTTTGTATAGCCCAGAATCGCAAATTACAAATTTGCCTCAGAGGGCTTTACAGTCTGTACACATACGACATCCTCTGCCCCGAAACCCACCATCGGCACAGGAAAAACTCCCCAAAAAATGAAAAAACCCTTACAAGAGGGAAAAAAAGGGAAGAAACCTTAGGGAGAACGTCAGAGGAGGGATCCCACTCCCGGGATGGACAGACTACAATGGATGCCATGTGTACAGAATGAACAATGTATAATACATGCAATTCCTATAACAGAAATGATTCAAGTAATTGTGAGTAGTAAGCCAGGCGCACAGCAGGACCACTGCAGAGGCAACCACCATCAGATAGAACCACCATCACATAGAACCACCATCACATAGAACCACCATCCACAGAATCCTGTGGGGAGGGAGAGCACAGAGATTTTAGGAGAGGGTAATGTCGGTTTATGAGTAAAGTAATATGATTAATATCTAAAATAATGATGATGATGATGATGATGATGATGGCAGCAGCAGGCGTCAGCATGGCCACAGTAGGTGTCAGGACCAGGGTCCCGAAGGAACCACGATCTATGGAGACCTGATAGGGGCGAAAGCACAAAAAAAACTCCCGGAAAGAAGCTGAATTAGTCATGTGCATTAATAAAACTTGAATTATGGTAGAAAGAGAGCGTGAGAGAGGAGCTCGGTGTGTCCTAAGAATTCCCCCGGCATTCTAAGCCTATAGCAGCTCAACTAAGGGCTGGTCCGGACTAACCTGAGCCAGCCCTAACTATAGGCAGAATCAAAGAGGAACGTTTTAAGTTTTACTTTAAAAGAGCTAACCGAATCTGCCCCCCGGACTGAAAGTGGAACCTGGTTCCACAAAAGAGGAGCTTGATAACTGAAGGCTCTGGCCCCCAGCCTACTTTTTAAAACCCTAGGAACAACAAGTAACCCAGCATCTATGGAGCGCAGTTGCCTTGTAGGGCAATACGGTGTTACAAGCTCTTGAAGATACAACGGTGCCTCACCAGCAAGTGCCTTGTAGGTGAGGAGAAGTACCTTAAAATCTATTCTTGATTTAACAGGGAGCCAGTGCAGAGAAGTTAATACAGGAGTGATATGATCCCTTTTCTTAGTTCTTGTTAATACACGTGCTGCAGCATTCTGAATCAGCTGGAGAGGCTTAAGAGATTTATAAGAGCAGCCTGATAACAAAGAATTACAGTAGTCCAGTCTGGAAGTGACAAACGCATGAACTAATTTTTCTGCATCACTTTGAGACAGGAAGTTCCTGATTTTTGATATGTTACGTAGATGAAAATAGGCAGTCCTTGAAGTCTTCTTTATATGCGAGTTGAAGGTCATATCCTGGTCGAAGAGAACTCCCAGATTCCTGACGGTGCTGCTGGGTACCAGAGCAATTCCATCCATAAAAACTGTATCACGCGACAGCTGGCTTCGAAGGCGCTCTGGGCCTATCAGGATAACTTCCGTTTTTTCTGAGTTTAGCATCAGGAAGTTGCCGGTCATCCAAGTTTTGATGTCTCCAAGACATTCTTGGAGTCTAACTAACTGGTCCGTCTCTTCTGGCTTGATCGACAGATACAGTTGAGTATCGTCTGCATAACAATGGAAGTTTATGTGGTGTTTCCTGATAAGATCGCCCAAAGGAAGCATATAGAGGGTAAATAAAATCGGTCCAAGTACAGAACCTTGTGGGACTCCGTGACCAACATTGGTGGTCTTTGAGGATTCACCGTTTACAAGCACAAACTGGGATCGGTCCGATAGGTAGGATTTAAACCAGCTGAGTGCAGTTCCTTTGATACCAATTAAATGTTCTAGTCTCTGCAACAGGATACAATGGTCTATGGTATCAAATGCGGCACTGAGGTCCAGCAAGACAAGAAAAGAGATGAGTCCTTGGTCCGATGCAAGTAGAAGATCATTCGTAATTTTCACCAGTGCTGTTTCTGTACTGTGATGCACTCGGAATCCTGACTGGAAATCCTCGAACAAAGCATTGTTTTGTAGAAAGTCACATAATTGATTTGCGACGGATTTCTCAAGGATCTTAGAGAGGAAGGGAAGATTAGAGATAGGTCTGTAGTTAGCCAACACCTCTGGAGCAAGAGTAGGTTTCTTAAGAAGAGGTTTAATTACAGCTACCTTGAAGGACTGTGGTACATGTCCTGTCAACAAAGACAGATTCATAATATCTAATAAGGATGTGCTAACTAAAGGAAAAACTTCCTTAAGCAGTTTGGTCGGAATCGGATCCAAGAGACAAGTAGAAGATTTAGACTTTGAAAATAAAGAAGTCAGCTGATCAAGGTTGATGGAAGAGAAGGCATCCAAACAGGCATCAGGGCCCACTGCTGCATCCAAGGAGGACAGGTCGGCACTGGTTGAAGGCAGGAGACCATCAATTTTCTCTTTGATAGTCAGAATCTTATCATTGAAGAAGTTCATGAAGTCGTTACTAGTGAGGTCCAAAGGAATACACGGCTCGACAGAGCTGTGACTCTCTGTCAGTCGGGCTACAGTGCTGAAGAGAAACCTGGAGTTGTTTTTATTTTTCTCTATTAATGATGAGTAATAAGATGCTCTTGCGTTACGGAGAGCCTTCTTATACGTTTTAAGGCTGTCTTGCCAAACTAGCCTAGATCCTTCTGATTTGGTGGAACGCCATAATCGTTCAAGCTTCCGCACAGTTTGCTTTAGGTTCCGTGTTTGAGGGTTATACCACGGTGCAGACTTCCTTCTTGTTGCTATTCTTCTTTCCAGAGGAGCAATAGCGTCCAGCGCCACTCTCAAAGAGCCTGTAGCAGTATCGACAAAATTATCGATCTGAGACGGACTGAGGTTTTCACAGGAGTCTTCTTGTATCTTGAGGCAGGGCACTGAACTCAGAGCAGAAGGAATGGCTTCTTTAAATAAGGCTACAGCGGTATCCGATAAGCGTCGACTGTAGAAACCTTTGGCAGGAGGAGGTGGTTCTGATAGTAGAAATTCAAAGGTTATCAGACAATGGTCCGACAGGAGAGGGTTCTGTGGAAAAATTGTTAAATGTTCAATCTCAATCCCATACACAAGAACCAAGTCGAGAGTGTGGTTAAAACAGTGAGTTGGTTTATTTACACACTGACAGAAACCAATTGAATCTAACAATGAAAGAAATGCAGTACTAAGGCTGTCGTTGTCGACATCCACATGAATGTTAAAGTCACCCACAATAATTACCTTGTCCGTTTTAAGGACCAAACTCGTTAAGAACTGTGAAAATTCAGAAAGAAATTCTGAATAAGGACCTGGGGCCCTGTACACTATTACAAAGAGAACCGGCTGGATTATTTCCCAGGTCGGTTGCGAAAGACTGAAAACCAGGCTTTCAAATGAGTTACAATCCACCTTAGGTTTAAAGTTTATTAAAAGGCAGGAGTCATAAATAGCTGCCACTCCCCCCCCTCGGCCTGTGCCTCGGGGAATATGAGTATTAACATGACTCGGAGGAGTCGCTTCATTTAAACAGAAATATTCCCCATTCAACAACCACGTTTCAGTAAGACAAAATACATCAACATGGTGATCTGATATTAGTTAATTTACCAAAACAGCTTTAGATGACAGAGATCTGATATTCAAAAGACCCCCTTTAATTCTCCTATTTTGTTGCACTATTGCATTATTAGTTTTAACTTTAATTAAGTTATTTACTACAACTCCTCGGTTGTTTACCTTTAACTTAGATACTAAAAGTCTCTAGATACTAAAACTAAAAGTCTGAACATCTAAACTAAAGCTGGTAGTAACTGTAAAACTCACAACAGGAATTAATGAAGCCTCTGTTTTAGTTTGCCATCACATTTTCACATCAGACCTTTTGACTTGTCACATAAGGAAAAATACAAGTTACAAAAAAAATATTATTATTTAAGTAATAAAGTAATTCCTGTGCTTATGCTGCTATAAAACAGGTTGAAACGTCTGCTGTTAAATAATTGTCCATGGAATTTGATGAGATAAAAAAAAGGAATTCAAAATAAGCATCCATTCAAAATCGTTTTTTAAAGTAGTTAATTTTTTCTTACAGGGTATTAGGCTGAAATAAACATTTTTTAATGGACACATCCCAAAAAGAACCCATGTTACGCGCAATTGGGATAGGGTGCACATGCAAACCAGCTGCGTTCAATGAATATCTCTTCTTTTATTGGCAGTGTATCATACTATGTTCAACCATGAGTAACAAAAAGAGAAAAGGACACCAAACTATTTTTTTCATCATGTTTCTCACTTCCGTAAACTCAGTGTAGGAAAACCTTGCCATAATGAACATTTGGTATGCAGGTAATTTATAGATGTTACTGAATTTGTTTTCAGACATCGTCTAATTTTTATAAACTCTGGCTATATTTTGGGTATTTTTATCTTCCATACACAGTAAATAACTTAGTGATCGCTAAAGTAGTCTGACAAGTATTAAGTCAAGTCATTACTGAGAATTTATAGTCCGAGTAAATGTTACAAGTTTGCAGCTGTTATCAGAACAACACAAAAATGTGGGGCTCATTATGTGTGCAGCAGATATAAATGATAAATAAAAAACAAACAAACAAATCAAATCCTAACAGTTGCATTGCTACTACAGCACGACAATTGCATTAAGATTTACGGCAATAGCAACTCAACATCCAAACCATATATGATATATATGTGTATATATATATATGTATATATATATATATATATATATGTATATATATATATATATATATTATACCGACAGTTACCAAATAAGTAACATCCACATCAACCCTTCTGAGGTTTATTATGTTAAGTAAAAGGTCTAAAAGACAAAAGTAAAATCAACTTGCGACGATAAATAGATCTGCAATAAGCTGATAACTGTGCCTGTGTTTGCTCTGCTGTACAGTTGTGTCTCACTTGTCAAAGATTTAAAAGAATTAAACAGATATGTTCCCCTTTTCATGGCTTATTACATGTATGGGATTTGTTTAATGGAAGGGGAACTCTACAATCACAAAAACAAATCCGACAAGCAAATATTCTTGACTAAACTAACACAATGCAAATGAGATTATCCCTATCGCTCAATAAAAAGCAGGCCCTGCTCCGTTGTGCACAGAGCTTCCACAGCAGCAGTTGGCGCTGGAGGTGAAGTATGGGTCTGTCTGGTGCTGTGCTGCTTTCCTTCGGCTGGCTGATGCTGTCGTTGGCTGACGGGAAACTGGACTACAGCTCTCAGGGACAAGGGATGCAGCTCCAAGGCGACTTCTTACTCGCTGGACTCTTTTCTCTCCATTACACGAATGAACCAAGTGCTGTTTTTCCTGCTTTGAGTCAATGCAATGAGTAAGTTTTACTGGACAGCAAACCCACCGCTCCACTGATCAAAAGCATCTCACTGGTGGTTGGGCTCAATCAAAATGTTGCTACTTTAAAAATGTTAGTTTTACATTGCTGTGTCCTAATTGTTCTCCTCTTTATAATTTTACCCTTTGTAGAGGTAAACCCAACAAACACGGATATTACCTTTTGCAGGCCATGAGATTCGCTGTGGAAGAAATCAACAACAGCAGCGGACCGCGGCCACTTTTGCCATGGGTGAAATTGGGCTACCAGATGTACGACACCTGCTCGGTGTCTGCTGGTATCCTGGCCACACTGGACCTGCTGGAGCAGCAGCAGCAGAGCCCGTCCACACCTGAGACAGAGGGAAACCCAAACTACAACAGGCAAAGGGCATTAGCTGTGATTGGGCCAGACAGCAGCAGCAAATCATTCACCCCGGCTGCTTTACTGGGGGCGTATCTTGTACCACAAGTAAGTTATGCCCTGGAAAGTTTTAATAATGGCCCTTGAATTACTGCAAATTCCACATAAAAGGCATCCATATGATCCTCCTTTGTTTTAGATCTCTTATGAAGCATCAAATGAAATGCTGAGCAACAAGAACGTCTATCCGGCCTTTTTCCGCACAATTCCAAGTGACAAGAACCAGGTGACGGCTATGATCCACCTTCTGGTCCGTTTCAACTGGACCTGGGTCGCTCTCTTGGGCAGTGACAACGATTATGGCCTCCAGGGCATGGAAAGCCTGTTCCAGCAAGCACCGCTCCACGGGATCTGCATCGCCTACCGAGGAGTCATCCCCTTGTACAAAGATGACACGGTCCGGACCATGAGGAACATTGTGGAAAACATAAAGATGGCAAACGTCAACACCATTGTGGTCTTCGCCAGCAAGTCAATGGCTAAGGGCTTCTTCACGTTTGTCATTGAGCAGAACGTGACAGGTAAGGTGTGGATTGGGACCGAGGACTGGTCAGCGTCGAGTCTCATCTCGGAGATACCTGGTATTCACACTGTTGGTACTGTGCTGGGCGTCTCCGTCAAATTTGGATCCATTTCTGGTTTTGAAGAGTTTGAGAAAAAAGTAGTTAAGGCCTCGATGCAACGTAGTGACGCCCGGGAAGTCTCTAATGTTACCATGAGCCCAGACAACGACTGTCTGCACAGCGTAGACCTGTACAGCCTGGCCAGCAACGCGTTTTCACTGGATAAATATGACATCACCTCCTCCTTCAATGTGTATAAGGCAGTGTATGCTGTGGCTCATGCTCTGCACCGAGGACTTGGTTGTGATTCTGGAGAGTGCCAAAAGAAGACGGTGCATTCATGGGAGGTGAGCTGATGTCAAATTGTGTTTTTTGCAAAGAAGAAAATCACTGCACTGATTTTCCTTCTTTCTCTCCACTTTAGCTGCTGCGGTGGCTTAAGGAGGTGAAATTCTCCCTTGGCAACACTTCTGTGTACTTTGATATGAACGGTGACCCGCCCACAGGATATGACATCATTGTTTGGGTCTGGAGGGGGACGGACTGGTCAATCAAAAAGGTGGGATCATTCAGCCCAGACCCCATTGATCTCTCAGTTGATGCTGATCAAATTGAGTGGCACGACACAGGAAACCCAAGAACGGTAGGCCTGCAACCTATTTGAGCATCCTCGAGTAAAGGTTTGGGTATAAATCCTCAAAGCTCTTATGTTTCTTATACAATTTAGTGGAAAATTGTGCAAACAGTGCACATATTTGGGAGAAAAATACAAATCTTTAACATTTTAAAACTTGAAAACATTTGAACCGTGCTAGAAAACACATTTTTTATCTGCTGCCCGAATAATACACAGTAATTTGAAAGGTAAGAAAAGTTCAACAGTAATAATAATCAGACATTCAACTGGAAAATGTTGATTCAGAGTAAAATATTATTTTTATTGTACCCTGTTGGTACCGTCTAGGTGCCGCCATCCATCTGCTCTCCACCTTGTCCGAGAGGCCACAAAAAGCTGCTGACGGGGCAACACGCATGCTGCTTCGACTGCGAGGCCTGCCCCTCCGCTACTTTTCTCAATATAAGTGGTAACATAGAGACACAAAAATTCAATGCACTTGAAAAATATTTCTAAAAAGAAGAATCTGAGAGGTCCGATGTAAAGGTGTATATTAGATGAGACTTTGCTCTGCGCAGGACCAACTGAGTTTATCCAAATGACCACACTCCAACACAGCACTGTTGTTCGGCTGTTGTCCGCCAGGTTTTCCAGCAGGTGGCGCTTACTACTCACACCATGTCCTCACATAGCCGCTGAACTCCCATTTTGAAATGGGACATTTTTACCAATTACTGTGAACCGATTTTTTGATTAGGATTCTTGTCACATTTAGCCTGCCCAGCTTTAACATCTCCGCTGCCTCTCTCCCTCAGAATCCACCACATGCCAGCCGTGCCTGCCGGAGCAGTGGGCTCCCTCCTCCAGCGAGCGGTGTCTGGACAGGACCGTCCTGCTGCTGGCATGGGACGCCCCCCTCTCCGTCGCACTGCTCTTCTTTCTGGCCGCCTGTCTTCTCATGACCTCCAGCTCGGCGATAATCCTCCTGCTCAACCTGAACACGCCCGTGGCCAAATCCGCCGGAGGCCGCACCTGCCTCCTGATGCTGGCGGCCCTGACTGCGGCCGCGCTAAGCTCTTTGTGCCATTTTGGCCAGCCGTCTCCTCTGGCCTGTATCCTCAAGCAGCTTCTATTCATCGTCAGCTTCACTGTGTGCCTGGCCTGCATAACCGTGCGCTCGCTCCAGGTCATCTGCATTTTTAAATTTTCAGCCAAACTGCCGCCGGTCTATGACAAGTGGGCCAAGAACCACGGACCAGAGTTCACCATTTTCGCCATGTCCGCCGCCGCCCTGTTCATATCTGTGATCCGTACGGTGGTCAGCACGCCACGGCCCTCTCGGGATATTGACTTTTACGAGGACAGCATCGTGTTGGAGTGCAGCAACACCCTCTCCCTTGTTTCAAGCCTGGAGCTTGTCTACGTATCACTGCTCAGTATCCTCTGCTTTTCTTTCAGCTACATGGGCAAAGACCTGCCAGCCAACTACAACGAGGCCAAGTGTGTGACCTTCAGCCTCATGGTGTACATGATCTCCTGGATAAGCTTCTTCACCGTCTACCTCATCAGCAGAGGCCCGTTCACTATGGCCGCGCACGTGTTCGCCACACTCTTCAGCGTTGTGGCCTTCTTCGGGGGCTACTTCCTGCCCAAACTCTATATCATCGCCCTGAAGCCGCAAATGAACACTACAGCTCACTTCCAGAACTGCATCCAAATGTATACCATGAGCAAGCAATGAGGATTGTATTCATTTGAGTTGAGGAAACATAGTTGAATTGTTTTGATGCAGGAACACTGGTTGAGTTTCTCTTTCAAATCTATTTAACAGCTGAGTTTAAAACATGAAACATGAGGCAGACAGAAAATACCGTAACAAACATCTTCTTTGCTGTGTTTGCGTGCACTTTTTAGATACAATTTGACTTATGTTGAGTTATTCATGCTATTCATTGATGACAACAGATGGAAATTTAACTTTGGATATCCATGACTTGTTCAATCACAATACTTTGGTAATTTCATAACTTATTATAGTTCCAGTCAGTTGTTGTTCAGCTGAATCCGCGTCCCTTGACAACACTGTTACACTTCTCATATAGAGCATTTGATACGCTGTGTATTGGTATAGCACACATTTTCCTGGCATAGTAAATATAGAACCATAGACCATAAATGGAAGTGTGTACGCTGAAGGGGATCAACAGCGCTCCTGGTGGCTGTACAGACTGTCACACCAACGACGATGTGATCGTGATCTTTTTTTTTCTCTGGAAAAATTAAATAAAGAAGAAAATGTTAACTAGTTTGATAAAATGATTCGTTTCTTGGTCTTTATTGTTTCCAGAACATACAAAATAATTGGTCTAAAACCTCACAGGTATCTATAAAATCTTATGATCAACAAGTGTCTGTTAAAAAAAATCTTTTTTGCTTTTTTGTCGGTTTAGCTCGACAAAAGCAAGTGACATGATCATATTTTCAGGGATCCGACAACAAAAGGCAGCTGGTCACAGAAAGAAAAGTTTCAGTATTGCATGACGTAAACTCTCATTGTATATCAAATAAATGCACAATTGGCCTGTCTTGTGTCTGCGCACACACACACACACACACACACACACACGTTGCTGCTGGCTGTTGTCTGAGAGGGGAGATGAAAAGGCCCTTTGTGGCTGGGAGGTCAGGGCTATTGACCAGTAGATGTGTGAGTGGTCCAAGCTTGGTTTTCCCACAGTCTCTCTGTCCACTCGCGGCTTAATACCCTCGGTCAACAATAGAAGTGTGCCATGGGTGAACAAGCAGGAGTTTTATTGTCGGCGCACCAAAGACCAGAGCAATGTGCTGCGGGGAAGATCTCAGGAATTCATTTGACAAACTTCTCGGTCCCTTTGAATTAAGAAAATGAATGATTTTGATCACACAATATTCAGAACATGCGTTTCATCTGGAAATCCTAAACTCGAACCATCTGGTTCTCTGTTGGTTCTTTAGTTTGGTAACATTGCATTTATCATTAAAGTAGTAGTGTGTGTAAAATCTTGTTATGTGGACTGAAATGTAGAGGAAACATTTACACTTTTTGTAGACGGATTCAAGCCACAAAGTGAGCAAATTCTGTTAATATAAAACATGGTGTTGAAAAATATCATACTAGATGCCACCAACACATAAAATCCTGTTTAATTATTCCCCGGGATCACATGAGTAAATGCTGCCTGGTCCCCTGTGTGCCTGCAGCGTGAGATAAGTCTCCTGATGGGAGACTGACAGCACATCACTCTCAGTCTGATATAGATCTCTAGGATGGTTTTATCTCTGCTGTTCAGCCTGTGAATACCTCACCTCCGAGTAATTGATGTGTGTCCCATTGTTACAAATCCCAACCCTCCATCCCAGTGTTATGCTGATAGCTCTGCAGCTTACTTCACCTGCACGGACATGGCTGCTTGCTCCTCCACAGCTACTCTGTCAATGAGCAACGTGAGCAATGTGAGCAAGAGGGGAGTGTTACGATGAGACGTCCACTGACTGCAGCCTCAGTGTGTGATCAAAGTCAAAAGAAAAAGTATGAAAAGATGTAAAGATATTCAGACTTGTGTAAGAAAATCTGTTTCCCGCTCACTTAATCATGATGCTACTGAATGTTGCATCATATTGATGAAAGATGCGTGGGAGGAATTCTATTCTTTTAATCCTAAATTCACACAACAACAAACACAACACGGGGATTACTGAAACAATATGACGCAAGGTTATTATTACTGTTGTGTAGTTAAAAATGTATGTTACATTATTAGAGTGGTTATAAAATTGTATGTGAAACACATTAGTATTTATCAAAACTTAATAAAGTAACATTGGAAAACGCAGCAGGACCAGACTATGAGTCTCCAATGAAAAAAACAAGCCAGTGTTGTTAACTCTTTTGCAACAAAACTATCGAGCAGCACCTGCTTCAAAAGTCAGTATCACCTGCAACAGCCACACAATGGATTTACGATTAAAAAAATGTTGCTGTTTCCTAGGTGGGGAAAGCAGGAAGGTTTCTATACTATTAGTAAGTATTAGTATAATGTTTTATGGCTTTCAACTTTAGTATTTTGTATGTTTAAAAACATTTGGACACCACCTCACCTAACATCACGTGACCAAATTATTTTATTGAAGTTTTATTAAAAAAGGGAATCATGACAGTTTGGTAAGATAGTAGGGACTTGAGGAAATGAGAATACATTATAGATATAATTCATATTTATACATAAAATAAAATAAAACATCTGGAAGCAGCGTTTTTATTGATTGTATCTTTTTATTTTTAATTGTCATACAAATGTACAAGAGCCTAAATATGATAGCACGACAGCAATATCAACACAAACATGAATACGAACATCCATTTATCATCAACCACATACATAGAACTTGGCATAGAAATTTCAAAAGAGAAGAGAAATATTCTCAACAGCAGCTGTCAGTATAACACAGTATGGCAGACAACATTATATCAAACAGACAAAAGATAAACTCCACTGGAGCAAACGTCATTTCACAAGAATATCACTCAATATCAACCTCCAGCTTTAAACTCAACGGAAAAGCAAACATCAAATGTGATTCAAAGTCAAAGCAAATAAGTAAGAGCCTTTGCATTTCCTCCTTGTCCATCAATGTGATGAGACAATGAGGAAACGCTTCACGAATGAGCAGGCTGGGAATATATTTCCTACACAGTGAGGGAGCGTCCCCTCAAGTCTCTGTCTCTGTGTGTCAAAGTCTCTACCAAGGTCTCCACACGCTCTCCACTCTGCTGCTGCTGTCCTGCAGCGCGGTGGGCCTGAGGGTGGAGCACACTGGTGCGCTGCTGCCAGCTCTCTGGACCGGATGGAGCTTCTGTTTCTGCCGCTGAAGGCCACGCGGAGGAGTGACGGGGCCCTCTGTGTCGGGTGCAGCAGAGAGGAAGTGCACGGAGTCCTCCCAGCAGTCAGAGAAGCCGTGCCTGTGGTCGCTGTCGGCGAGGCGCGGCTGTAGCTGCTGCCTCAGGAAGCTCACAGTCATCTCCAGGATGTCGGCTTTCTCCAGCTTGGAGGTGGGCTCCTTCTTGTGGAACTGCTTCTCCAGGATGATCTTGAGTTGCTCGATGCAGCTGTTGATGCGATCTCTCCGCATTTTCTCCACAAAAGGTTTTCTCAACTGTGGAAGAGCAGATAGATGCGTCAGCTCATTATTGAAACCAGCAATGAACACTGTGTCCATTTTGACCCACACAAGCCCTTTAATTCCTCTGAAGAACTTACTTTGATGGTGTCCTTCTCAGAGATCCTGATGTGGTGAATGGAGGAGTAGGCGGCTGAGCAAGGAGCCATGTCTGTGCAGGTGAAGGTCGCATAGACTGCAGTGTTAGCTGTGATTCCCCTGGAGGGGCTGCTCTTCATTTTATACCGAGACATTAGCATAACAAAGCCATGTGGCAGAGGCAGGGCTGAGGTTCCCACACTCTGACCAGTGGGACTCCCAGCACAACAATGGAGGACATGACAATAACTCAGAGAGCTTGTATCTGTGCCGGGCGTGTTTCCCAAGATAAGCCACAGGTAATTAATATGTTATCTGAGGTCACCTGAGAGTTAATCACGGACACGAGGTCTACATTCAATTTTTTTTAGATGTAGAATAATGTAAGTCAGGCATCTTCAAAGGGTGAGAACTGCAATCAAGGACCAAATGCTTCCCTGCAATAAAACAATATAAGCTGAAGGCCTTTCATTTTCTCTCCAAACAAAGCTTTGCTTCCTCCAAAAGGCATTTTAGTAGCAGACAGCAGCATTTGGACCCATGAAAACAGGTGAACAGAAAAAGAACAGATACCACAGATAACCCACCCATTAACATTAAAGAGTGACCTCAACTGGCTGCAGGTGAATCCACCTGTTGCTTCTTCAACTACGTTGCCTTCTGTTACAGTTCACCTCTTCTGTAAAGGGTGTGCGGCAGGAGTGATGTGTGACGAACGGAGACACTGATTAAAGGCAGTAAATGGTAATAACTCCTTAATATGAAAAATATGCCTATTTACTGCTTTTCAAAAATAGTGGGCTAAGCCCCGGTGCCATTGTTGAAGTGCAACGCTCACTCTGCAAACTGAGAAATCCATCATTCGTTTTAAGAACTGTTAGAATACAGCAAACTTTTCACTCACGAATAGTTCACTTATAAAATATCCATGTTTTGTAAGTATCACATTGGGATTATTGTCGTTTTTTTGTCACACGTTGGTCTCTTAGTTCCACCGAAAAACAGAGGCAGTCTTTCATCACAGGCTCTCGTCTATAACTTCAGCTCAAAGTCTGCAGACCCCGTTGTAAATTAACTGTGTCAAATTAGAGTCAAGTCAATGGCATTGTGAGCGGGCTGGCAGTGCGCCTCTGAGAGGCCTCAGTCGCTGGCCGGCCCCAGATGTGAAGCCGGCCTTGTGGGAGCTGTGTGAGTAGTCCCGTCTCCCCAGTTTCCCACCAGTCCCCAACATCAGCGTAAATGAGCTACAAAAGACACGCCGCTCCTCAATGCTCCACTGGGGAATGTTAATTGATCTTTTGTTTGCAGGACAGACAGAAACTTTGTGTCTCGGTCCATCTGGGGAAGAAAAAAAATCAAGTCAACCGGCTTCCCCGGCTGGCACAGAGCAGCGCGTTGGTCTCTGTTGACTCTTTTAATTTGTGGTTTCAGACGTCCAGCAGCAATAGTGAAAGAAGGACTCAACGTTTTCATTTATTCAGAGCAGAAATGCTACAACGGAAATACTCGCCCATTCAAACGCGTTACTATAGTAACCTGTAGCTGCTATAATGAATTAAATGGAGGTATATCAATTGATTTGAATTGGTGAAATAAACAAATGAACAAACCAACCTGAAGTAGAGAGATAGATAATATATCAGTGTTGTAACTTTGATATTATTTTAATTGACAGTACTTGTTTTCTCTACAGTTCCATACTTTTGTATATGTAAGTAAATGTATCTCTCTGCCATCCTGTCACCATTACAACATTGGGAACGGACGGAAACTGACAATCTGTCAAGTCACGTCCATGGTCTCTGTCCCCTGCGTGGATTTCACGGTGCACACGTTTGTGTGAGTATACGCACCTCCTCTGAAAGGCAGCGTGCACTGCACTGCTGCCGGGGGTCTTTGTCTACAAGTGTGTGTGAAGACGAGTCGCCCTCCCACCAGCAGCCCTGAGAGCTCTGAATTCCTGCCATAAAGTCTCGGGCCATCTCTGCGAGCCGCGGCGGGTCGCGGAGCGGCTTCCCGTCAGCCATCTCTCTGTGAGTGTGATATCTCCCGTTTCCCACACTCGGTGCCTATTCACTGGCCCAGAGACGGGGACAAAAGAAGTGTGTCTTGTTACACATCACATTAGCTACGGTGTTTGATCTCATGTTGAAGGGGGGGAGGGGCAGCCTTAGCCAGACCATCTGGCCTGGACAAGTAGACCCTGAGAAAGTCCCGGCCACATTCTCCACAAACTCTGCGCACACAAATAGCTGTGAAAGACTTTTGTGGCACTTGAGACACGATTCAAGCACTAGACAGCATGCGCCCTTCGCCACAGCAGAAGTGGGTCATGTGTGTGCCGGGTGTCACCTCAGTTTCTCAATTTTTTTAAAAACACCTGCGACCCAGTGAGGTCAGACGAGATGAAACTTTAATGAGGCCTTTGGGAAACACTCAGGAAACAATTAAGCTCAAAGTTAGTGAAGTAAAAACTTTCCCTTAGAATCGTTGATTCTATTGTTGAACATACAGGTGTTTTAATTTAATTTGTTCAATCAGGTCATTTAGATGTATCGTTCTAAAATATGTGTGATTCCCACAACAAACAAATCAGATTGTGCATCCAAACACAACTTCAAATCCATCAGCGATAGTTTACTTTGCTTTGTGTTGCACCACTGTTCAGCTATTCAGATAATATTATAATTATAATATTGCATTTGCTTTGGTACCATACTAAGTATGCACGTGGTTAAAATATGAACACACTGACCTATGGGGCAGCTTTGATTATCTGAGCAGCACATTCTTCACATTATTCAAAAGGAATGCTGCAGGAATGTAACAGGGATGTCGTTCACTGTAACGAGGTCGTGATGCTGTTGAGCGCTGACGAGCTCTCTGGCGCTCTGGTTCCCAACAAGCCGCGACAAGCATCACCTTCTTCTCAACGAGCAGCGCGTGCTGCCCCCCCCCCCCCCCCCCCCGCCCCGCCAAACCCTTCTGCGACCCACCGGTTGCAAACGTCTGCTCTAGTGGGACTGGATGTGCACTTAGACACAAACTACGATTTGTATGTAGGACTTTATTGTCCTGTAACACTTAAAAGGAAAGACTTAAAAAAATAAAGACACTGCTTTTGTTTATGTTTGTAAAACTTCACGTGAAGTTTTCCATTTATTTTTCAAGTTGAAAAGCAAACTTCTCAAGGAAGCGATCAACAGATTCTTTTAGTAAAGATAGATGTCAACGTAACATGCCTTTATAAAAGGTATAGACTTGAAGATGAGAAAAACATCTATTATGAAAATGACACAACACACCTTCACACATACCAAATAATGGCTACATAGAGTCATAATTAAGTACAATCATAATGCGATTTACAGTAAAAGTGAATCCATGGGATCCAATTCAGCGATGTTGTTGGTTCATCGTCACCCAGCTGATGAAATGTGTCAGTCGGTGATACTTGGTACCCGAGATACACAGTAGTTAAAACACATAAATCAAAGTGTCTCAGACACATAACAGTTTCCACCCCATGTGGGTGTTACAACAAGACAATTCTGTGACGTTTGTAAAACAAACAAAGGTATTTTTCCCCCACGGGAACACGAGTCAGCACAATTTCAAAGCGTATAACGTGTACATGTTCAGTAAAACCTGATATGACACTTCCTTCCAAAGGAATACTGGCACATTGTGCCCATTTCGCTGTGCTAGAACAACGATATCGAATCTTCAGCCAAAGCGAAAAGGAAACAGACTCCAATGAGTCCTCAGCGTTGTGTCTGTGACGTGTTCTCCTCTTCTCGGCGAGGAGGAGATGCTGCCTCCATCCTACCAGGGCCTCCACAGCGCACCGCCGGCCTGGCCGGCACCTTTGCCGGAGGTGACGCGGCGCAGCGGAGAAGCCGGAGGGGAGAGGCCGCGGGGAGCGGCGCCGGACGCCCGCAGGCCCTGGAAGTGGCTGAGCAGCCGCCGGTGGGCCTGAGTCTGGCCCTCGCAGTGCGACAGGAAGCTGACGGCCTCCTGCACGCAGCGGGAGTAGCCGTCGCCGCCCGCCGCCGGGCCGGAGGCCGCGCCGGCCTTCTGCTGCTGCTTGTGAAGCTGCCAGGCTCTCAGATAGCACACCGCCATCTCCAAGATGTCCGCCTTCTCCTGCTTGGAGTCGGGCTGCTGCCTGACGAACTCGGGACCCAGCAGAGACTTCAGCTGCTCGATGCAGGTGTTGATGCGGTCTCTGCGCAGCTTCTCCACCATCGGCTTTCTCAGCTGAAGAAAAAGAAAAAAAAAGAAATAAAGTTTAGAACGTAAAATCCCCCAAGTTTCCAAACCACGTGAACACTATTCGATACGGAAGCTATGTGACTTTCTGGAAATCCAATTTACCTTATGAGCCGGAGCCAGGTGTTGCTTAGGATTGCTCGCTTGTCCAAAAACAGTGGGCGCCATAGCTGTGGAGGCAGAGCGTTGCTGCTCAGTTCAGAGAGACAGTTCTGTGCTGCTTCCCCGCTGCCCGGTATTTATACACCCAAATCTCCATATGAATGTGTGGGTCTTGGGCTTGTTGGAGTTTCTCACAGTCCCCGCGGCCAATGGGAGCGCTGGGAAGGGCTTTTGAGGAACGCAGGGCTGCCACATGCTCAATGAAGTGTTTATGGCCGTGGGGACAATGAGTGTGTCTCCGGGGAGCAGGTGGAGGAATAGACCGCGAGAGAAAGAGTGCGGTGGGGGGCGGGAGGCAGGAGGGGGGAGGTTTGGGGTGTGGGGGGGGGCGTAGCTGGGAGAATGACCCCGTGCTTGTGTTGATATGGGAAAGTGGTGACCCCAGAGGGAAGCACGCCGCTGTCTCATGTCATCTCAACCGCCACATAATCGAGCACAAAGTGCCTCCGCCGCCAGGCACACGTGGGTGTTTTACGGAGCGGCGGCCATCAGAGGAGGCCAACACGCAGCCACTTCCTGTTTGACACGGCGGGCTGTCGGCGTGGAGCCGTGCAACAGTTGAGGCGTCTCAAAGGGGGAATAAGAAAAGCCAGCGTGGAAATCAAACAAAATCTACTCGATGGAGAAAAGAGAGTTTTAACAGCAACATGTTTTCTCGCTGGTTTCACAGGACCAGGCGGAACTTTCAATAACAATGATATAATAATTAATAATTAGTCAAACTGACAAATGTAAACATTCATCACAGTTTACATTAAACTTAATTAAACTGATCTATTGTACTGTTTCCAATGTAAAAATACATTATTACTGACTTTATTCCATTTAAGTCTTTCTGAAAAATCAATACAGACACTTGCTGTTTGGTGCTTTGAAAGTTCGGCCTGTCAACTTTAATTCAACGGCAGTCGAACATGATTGAAACTGTAAGACAAGAAAACGGTTTGAACACTCAGCCGTCTCCACACTCCGAGCACATGTTCACACATCAGGCGAGCGGCCGCACACTTGCAGACAGACACACTCCCGTTCGCCTTCCCTCGCTCCACGCACGCACACACACACACACACACACACGCGCACACACACACACACAGCTGGCTGACCTGCCTGCCGCTGGCCACGTCTCAGTCACACGCTCCCTTCCTGCTTGTGTAGAACGTGGGAGCCGCTGTGGTCCCAGGCTTCCCACACTTCAGTGTTAATGACACTGAGGCCGGCTGCACAAAGGAAGTGTGCCCCATCGAACAAAGATTGAGTGACCAACCCCCCTCCAAACACACACACACACACACACACCCAGGAACACCGTGCTGTCAACAGGGCTTCCAGGCACACCATCTGGACGGATAGTAAGCTATTGTCAGCCAATCAAGCATGGGAGACGCTCACCGTGAGAATTGGAGAGGCTGAAATAGAGACAGAAAGTGAAATAAGAGAATGGACTGTGTGGAAGGTGGATAGTTGGCCGGGAGGTTTTGATGCACGACATAAAAAGTTGTAAAAAGTGGGTTCAGGAAGAACACACATTGAGGACTCGAACATAAGAAGTGATGGCTGAGAAACCGAAACAATAATATGCTCAGTTGTGATAAAAGCCTGTGGTGATGCAGAATATTCAAATGCCGTCTTTCTTTAGAAAGCAATTGTCTCATAAGTTTTCACATAAGAGTGGAAGAGCAGTTCCAACGTCCACCACGTTGTTAAATGGACGTACTTCGCCATGTAGGGCGTCCTCGGGCGGAGTCGGTTCTTCCGCGTTCCCACCACATATCACTCCCAGGCGATACAATAACGAGGACGTCTCCCTCGCCGTGGCGCATCAGCTGAGCGACAGGAGTTCAACCGCGGGCCCCTCCCACCTGTTTGTTTGGATTGGGGCCATTGTGCCCCCCGAATTCAACTAATTCATTCACATCCTATTGTCATAACGCTGCTTTGTGATTGGCCCAACACTGTGAGAACCAGCATCACATTAAATCGATGGGATCGTTGGTTTAAGTATATAAAGGAGGGAGGTCGCGTTGAGTGAAATCACAACTCGGAGGACGGACTGGACGTCCGCTGACTCGTATTCACCATGAGGGACCAGCGCACCACGTAAGCTCAAATGGAGAGAACTCACATGGGGAAGAAGTTCATTTGGCAATTTGGCAACGTCTGTCTCATTCGGGGTCATCTGGGGTTAAAGTGAGGTTTTCATTCGTACATTCATCAGGAAAACGAATGACACGGGTTCCATTTGATCGTTGTTGTTGGTGATTACCAGTTTTTGAGATTTCTGTAACTTTCTTTAAGTCCTTCACGAACATGGAGACGATGGAGGCGAATGTTTGATGGCAGCCCACCAAGAAACCCTTTTCTGGGTGGTGCTTCTTATTAATGGAGGCTACATAAACCAGCAGGGACGCTAGTTCAGGGAAGACAGTTGCTGTTTGACGATCAATGATGGGAGCATTACGCATGCAGCAGCAGGACCGAGCATTCCAGTCGAGAAGTGTTTCTGCAGACGGATATATTTGAAACTGGCGTCTTTTCTGTGTATTCAGCATTAATCTGACGTTTCCCCCCCCCCTTTTCTCCTCAGAATGTGTAAGATGATGGTTCTGGAGAGGAAGTGCGCAGACAGAGCAGCGAGGCTCCGCTCAGCAGTGCAGAGCCACACGGGGGTCGGCAGCTCCGAGGTGTGGGACAAGACCGTCTCCTTCTTCACAGTGAAGAAGGCCTTGATTTTCCATAACGGCTACAGCAGGTCCTCCAGGGAGGCCATGCGGCTCTTCCCCTCACCCGCCGAGGACGTGGCACCACTTTGCTGCTAGTAACAAGGGGACACACACATGAGACAACGCGTGTGTGTGTGTTTCGACATGCTTTGTAGTAATGGACCAATTGAAAAACCTCCTTCAGATGGAAAAGGACTTTAAATGTTGTGTTCTTTTGGGTGCTTTCACACCACGTGAAGTGGAGATTATGGAGGGGATGGGAGATGTGAAACCATATACGCCGTGATCTCATTGGTCCACAAATACGCCCTACATCTACGTTTAACGCCGTAAGCCTTTAGACTCCTTCAAACTGGTCACTAGAGACCATGTTGCCAGGTGTTGATGGTATTATTCCTTTGTATAGAGGGAGAATGTGTATGCCAACGCATACTTACTTGTGTAAATGTTTTTTACATTACGTTGAGTGATTTTAGTTGTCATAACTGAGATGTGCAATATGTGCTTCCTATAAAAGTACAAAATAAAATACTGTTTTTCTAACATTTGCAGTTTGTGTTGACAATGATTTCCTAAAACGAATGACGATAAGGTTCCTTTGACTTAACATTTTCCAATATGAATTTAACAATTCATGTGTTCAGTCCGGTTGTTAATAAGAGTTTGTTTGCTTTACAGGCCCCTAGTGGCCCTTTACAGAAGCTTCACACCTCAGAGGTAGTTTACAGCCAGAGGTCCTGCTGGTTGTGTTGGTGTAAAGGAGCAGATCCACAGTGGGACGTTACACTCGTATGTTGGAGAAACACTGAGAGTCAAAGCACAATATATGAAGGATGCCGTATTGACCCAAAACTGCATTTAACCCTTTTGGTCAAAACCGATTAGGTTTCTCTAAACTCTAAAATAATTAACTGCAGTTTCTTTTTTAGGTTACAAAAAACTAATTTAAAAGCATACGCAAATACAAACTCATACACACCTAAAGTAATACAGCGAAGGAAGTCTGTAAGTCACCGCAGTGATCGAGCCTATGAAACACTGATGAAGCCTCTCCATCTGCAGCATTACAAATAGAGTCCAAGGCAAAATTCCTGAAAAAAAGAAAACTAATGTGCTGTTTTGGTGTAGAACCGCAAATTTATGTTAACAGAAGAGGTTACCCTGGATAAGATTTGCAATTATAACGGCTTTATTGATCATAGGCTAAATTCAAAAAGCAGACATTGAGCAACAGTTGAACATAATAGCAGCGGAATTATGAGTATTAACAACACACCGTGCATTCATTTCTCGAGGCGTCTTTAAGAAGGTCTGTAAATTAAAAGTCAATCTTTGCTTCCCAGTAATCTGTTCAGGTGATTGAAACAAGTGTTGCCCCGAAATAAAGAAAGTGTTGGGGAAGAAAACAAACTGACCGAGGAAGATATTAGTCAAAGAAAAAAGCGCTTTAAGGATATAATGGTCGGTTTTATTATTAATTTATACATTTCTGATATTTCGTTGCAACAGATGAAATCTTTCACAAGCCCAAAGTTTACCGGGTCACAAATGAGTAACTTTAACGGGGGGAAAATAAAAAACTTTTATTCATTCTTCTTTTGACCATTTTGCTTCAGAGGATGATAAAAGAAAGCTTGCACATACACACAAAATCCAAAAAAGAAAAAAAAATGTTGTCCATCACTCAAATTCCAGTTAGAAACTACAGACCAAACAGCAAGAGCCCCGAAGAAAAGGACAGCTTAGCCAACCATGTGACACTGAAACCTTCTCATCTTAAAAAGCCGGACCAAAACTAACTTAACTCAAACAAACCATATGAAAAAAAAGATAAAATCAAACGCCACTCAACACGTGGTGGGTCAAATCCCAAAACATTTTTTGTTACCGAAACATTGCAGCCCAATAATAGAGGAAGGTGGGAAGAGGGATGTGTGTGTGTGTGTGTAAAACAGAATTCCCTTTTTTATTCTCATGAAACAAAAAACTTTTTTTTTCATTCTCTCAGACGGCCTATCTGCGACACGTGTGATGTCCTCAGATGACAGAGCGGCAGTGGAGCCGCTAATGTCTCTGGTTTCAATCACCAACTCTGAAGCGATCTGAATCACAGGGACGAAGGCTAAACTCTGTTTTAGTGCAGTTTAACAACAGCGGTGCCAAATGTGGATGTTTCTTTAGACTACAGATAGTTTAAGCTTAAAGTTAATTTGAAGATGTCATATGAGGGGGGAGGTGAGTAAGAGGCAATGTGTGTACTCTGTGTGTTTGTGTGTGTGTGTCTGTGTATATACTCAACGTTTGCGTCAGCGTGTAAGAGAATCTTTTCATTATTTCAGTTGGTAGCCATCCAAA